CAATGAGCCTCAATCCTGGTGTCCCTGGTGAATAACACCAGAACCCAGCGGACGTGGTGCAGAGTGACCAGCTCTGCAGCAGCCCCAAGAGCCCATTTGTGTGTGTGTGTGTGTGTGTGTGTGTGTGTGTGATGTAAGCTACACAAATGAGAGAAACCCTGCCACATTTATCTAAGTCTGGCAACATGATGATCTTTAATTCCTGCAAATGAAATAAATTATTCCTTTTGGACAAATGAAAACTCCATTACATATATATGATACTTTTATCCATCATCTGTCTATGAATACTTAGGGTGATTCTATAACTCAGCTATCGTGAAAAGTGCTGCAATAAATGTGCAGGTATCTCTATGGTATAGACAAACTTCTTCAAGTATATATGAAGGCATATAATCATGATTTTCTAAGATAGTTCTGAGCAAAAATCCCAGATTTAAGATAGTTGCATAATCAAATTATGCTAGAAATCTTAATGTTTTTATGTCAAAACTAACTATAGGTCTACATCTAGCTTTTGTTACTCAAAACAGCCCACAAATGTTTTCTTGTCACCTCTCAATTTTTAGTGTTTGAATAACGTGTTAGGGTTCTCTAGAGAAGCAGAGCCGGTCTTGTGTGGGCATGACTATGCATTTGGTATGTGTATATAGAAAGATTGGCTGTAAGGACTCCAATCGGTGGGCATGATGAAGCCCTGGAGAGAGCTGGTGTACCCATCCTGAGTCCCAGCACAATGGAGTTTAGTGTATAAGGGTCATATGTACACCCATAAAATACTCACTGTAGCCAGACAGAGTTCTAAACAGAGAGTTCACTCTCTCTCCTCATTGTCAACTAAGTCTATGTAGAGCTGGTTTGGAGAAAGAAAAGACATGTTTTAGGTTGGCATTATAAAACAAGTTTCATATGAAGAGTGTCACTTATGAGAAGGCTGAGAGTTGCGAGTGTTGAAAGGCAGGGCAGGGGTCTGAAACTATTTCCTAAGGAGGCTGAGAGGAGTAAGAGGAAAAGAAGGTAAGAGTCACGGTCAAGTCAGAGAAAATACAATCCACTAATAAGCCAGAGACTGAGTAATGGGTAATTATGTGAGATTAAACACAACTGCGAAAGTAAAAATTATACCTCTACAAAGGGATAAGGTAGTGGGATATTTTATCAAAAATTTGGACAGGGGCTCATGAGACCCCATTCCTCCATGAGGATCTGTAGACAGTTAATGGCTTCTGAGGAAGGAAGAGACATTTTCTTCAGTTTTGTAGCCACTGGTAAAATGCCTGTGCTCCTAAAAGCAGCCACAGAACTCATTAGGTTACACACTCATCAGGTCCTTTTAAAGACATGAAATAGAATGGAAGCCAGGAGTGATGGCACACGCCTGTAACCCCAGCCTTCCAGAGGCAGAAGCAAGTGGATCTCTGTGAGTTCAGTGCTAGCCTGGTCTACATGGTGAGTTCCAGGATATCTGGGGCTACAGAGAAACCCTGTCTCAAAAAGACCAATATATATACTATATATGTTTTATGGGGCAGCTCAGCGGGGAGAGACCGGCTGCACCAGCAGAGGACTGAGTTCCCAGCACCCGCATGGTGGGGCACAGTCATCCGCAACCCCACTTCCCGGGATCCGACGCGCTCTTCTGACCTCCGCAGACACACACACACACACGTGTGCTCACATGTAGCCATATTGGAAACAGAATAAAATTAAAATTTCCTGCTAACAAAAATGTTGACATGTCCTAGAGGGGGAAGAAGTATCAACAGGCATGAAGTGAGCATAATTTAACTGGTACAAATGATGAGAGGCAGCATGTCTAGCTAAAGGGAGAGGACTTCACAAAAGATAAAAATTGATTATGAGATATCGGTAATATCCCAACTCAAAGTGTTAAAATGATTAAGATGTCATCTTGCATTGGGAGGGAGAGGCTGTCCAGCACAGAGAAGGATGTCCAGGACCTGTGTGAGTTCAGGCTGTTCACGAGCCTGGAGTATGAAGGGATCGGGTTCACAAACTATACAACCGTGGAGATAGTCACCAGAGCCTGTGAGATGTCACCCTGGGCTACATCCCTTTAAGCACATTGTGGGGTCACATTCTAGAATGGGGAGGGTAGAAGTTACTAGAGAAAAAGCCAGTAAGATAGATGAGGGTTGACTACGGCCAAAGGTGGCAGCAGCGTGCAGTCTTGGTGGTCTGACCATTGACTCAGCTCCACAGCCAGCTTCTGCACTGCTTCCCTCATGAAGTCTCCTCCAAGCTGCCCAGATACTAATTTACAACAGTTATATGTACAAATGCCCATGGAGGTGAGTGCTTTTTTTCTTTTCACTTGTTCCTCTCAGACTATTTACATTCACATTCTTTGAAAAGGAAGAGGAACTCTGGAACATTGAGAACACAAGGCAACAGACCAAAATAGGACAATATTCATTTTCCTCCAAGTAACATAATTTCATTCTTGCTCGTTGGCCAGCCATCTTAGGTGAATCAAGGACCTTCGAGTTCAGTGAGACACCCTATCTGAAAATTAAAAATGGAGAATGATCAAAAAGACACTGGGCATCCACCTTGGCCTCCATACACACACACACACACACACACACACACACACACACACACACACATATATATATATATAATATTTCCTGTATTCATTCATCTATTGCTGGCTGTCTTGGCCATCATGAATAGTGCTGCAATAAACATCGTAAGTACTTTTGCAGTAGACTGAGCTTTCTAGTTGAATCATATATCTAGTTTTAGATTTTTGAACCTCCATAGTGATTTCCAAGTGGCTGCACTTGTTTACAGCCCCCAGCAACATATAAGGGTTCCTTTCCCCTGAATCTTTTCCCATGTTGGTTGTCATTTATTTTCTTGATAGCCACCTGACTGAGGCAAGATGTAATCTCAATGTAGTTTTTATTTGCATTTCCCTGGTGGATGAGGATGATAAGCATTTTTCACGTACTTGAGGGCCATCTGTGTTTCTTTTCTTTGTTATTATTGTGTGTATAGTGTGGGGGAGGCTGGGTACCTCAGGGTGCCTGTGAAGGTCTGTGTCAGTCACTTCTGTTGCTCTGACTAATACAGCAATTTGTAGAAGGAAGACTTTGTTTGAGCCTACGGTTCCAGGGGAATCACAGTCCATCATGGCGGGGAGGCATGGTGGCTGGAGGCTGCTGGAGCAGGAGCAGCAGAAGCTAAGCTCTCACATCATCACTTAGGCACAGGAAGCAAGAGAGCAACTGGAGATCTGGTAAGGCTTAAGAACTCTCTAAGTCCACCCCCAGTGACGTGCTTCCTCCAGGATAGCCACACCTTCTAAAACCTCCCCAAACAGCGCCATCATCTGGGGATAAAATGTCCAAACACTTGGAGCCTATGGAGGACATTTTCATTCAAACCACCACAAAGTCAGCAGACAACTTTGTGGAATCCATTCTCTCCTTTTCTTGAGTCCCAGGGATCAAACTCATGTTGTCAAGCTTGAACTGCAAGCACTTTACCCACTGAGCCATCTTGCTGACCTTGTATTTCTTTTAATATCTGCCCAATTCAGGTGCCCAGCTATTGATTTTATGATTTTTACACAAAATGCCTGCTTTAATGTTTTAAAATTTTATTTTTAAATATTTTATTATTTTTATTTTATGTGTATGAGTGTATTGTCTTCATGTATGTAAGTGCACCTGTGTTGTGCAATGCCCTCGGAGGTCAGAAGAAGACATCAGATCCCCCAGAACTGGAGCTACAGATGGTTGCTAACCACCATTTGGGTGCTGGGAATCTAACCTGGGTCCTCTGATAGAGCAATCAGTGCTCTTAACTGCTGAGCCATCTCTCCAGCCCTAAAATTTTATTATATTTTGCATTTACTAATTTTGTATTCTTTTTAGATTTATATGCTTATTTGTGGGGGATGGTCTTCTGCCACTGGACACTTGGGCAGGTCAGAGGATGACTCACTGGAGTCAGTTCTCTCCTTCCACCATGTGAATTGTGGGGATCAAACTCAGGTCATCAGACTTGGTAGCAAGTGCCTTTACCCACTGAGCTATCTTACTGGACCCAAGCTTAATTTCCTGAGGGTTTTTTTTTTTTAACATATTCTAGCTATTTGTCTATGTCAGCTGTATGGTCATTGAAGACCTCTCACACAGTAGGCTGCCTCTTCATTCCGCTGATTGCTTCCTTTGCTGTCCAGCGCTTTCTTGGTTGATGCAACCCCATCGTCAGTTCTTGCTGTTGTTCCGTGAGCTGTTTGGAGTCCTTTTCAGAAAATCCTTGCTTATGCCTATATCTTGAAGCGGTTTCAAAGTTTCTGATCTTCCATTCAGGTCTTTGGTCTATTTTGAATTGATTTTTTTTTTTTTTTTGGTCTTTTTGAGACAGGGTCTCCCTGTAGCCCCAGCTGTCCTGGAACTCACTATGTAGACCAGGCTGGCCTTAAACTCACAGAGATCTGCCTGCCCCTACCTCCCAAGTGCTGGGATTAAAGATGTGCGCCACCATGCCTGGCTTGAATTGATTTTTGTACAGGGTCAGCTATAGGAAGTGTATTTCATTTACCTACATGTGGATATCCAGTTTTCCCAGTACCATTTGTTGAAAGATGCTCTTTTTTCCAATGCACATTTATGGCATCTTTGTCAAAAATCAGGTGGCCACTTGGGATCCACATAATGGAAGGAAAGAACCAACTCCTGTAATATGTCCTCTTACATACATACACACAAATAAAAAGGTAAGTAAAAATAATTTAATCATTCAGTATGTTATTTAAAAAATTTAAAAAGTGGGCTGGAAAGATGGCTCAGCAGTTAAGTGCACTGGTTGCTTTTGTAGATGACCTGGGTTTGGTTCTGGCCTCCACAGGCATTGCATGACACAGGTGCACTTACATACATGCAGGCAAAGCAGTCAAATACATAAAATTAAAACAAATAAATATATATATATTTTTAGACAGGGTCTCCTTATAGCCCCAGCTGGCCTGTAACTCATGATGTAGACCAGGCTGGCCTTGAACTCAGAGAGATCCACCTGCCTCTGCCTCATGAGTGCTGGGATTAAAAGCATACACTGTGCCACCATGCCCAGCAATAAATTAATTTAAAAAATAATAAAAATAAATCAAGTAGCTATAGTTATATGGATTTACTTCTGGGACTTCTATTTCATTGAACTACATGTCTGGTTTTGGGCCAGTACCATGCTGTTTTTATTTCTATGGTTCTGTAGTATAATTCTGGCTTGAACTCCTCTTTGTCAGTTATGAATATAGCTACATGCTGGCCTGCTTATGACTTCCACTTGGTTGGTATATCAGCATCTACCCTTTTCCTCTCTATCTCTATGTTTTTAGTGAGATATGTTTCCCACAATCAACCAGAAGTTGGATTTTGGGTTTTTGTTTTAATTTTTTTGGTTTATTTATTTATTTATTTTTATTTTGGTTTTTTGAGACAGGGTCTCCCTATAGCTCTAGATGGCCTGAAACCCTCTGCCTCCTGAATCCTAGGATTAAAGGCATGCACATGGTTTATTTTTAAGTTATATATATGAGTATATTTTCTGTAAGTGTACCATGTACATGCAATGCACACAGAGGCCAGAAGAGGGCGTTAGAGCCCCTGGAAATGGAGTTACAGGCAATTATTAGTCGCCATGTGGGTGCTGGAAACCAAACCTGGATCCTCTCCAAGAGTAGCCAGTGCCCAACCACTAAACCATCTCTCCAGCTCCCGGATCTTGTTTTTAATCTAATCACCTAGTATCTTTTTTATTGGTAAGTTAAAATTATTTACAGTTAAGGTTATTATTTTTGGGTTTGCTGATTCTTATAATTTTGGTGGTTGTTTCCGTGATTGGTTTGAATAGTATTTGTTTTTCATTCCTTATTCAAATGAGCAGTTTTCTGGTTTACTGAATTGGACATGAGTGATTCTTTCCTAGTCCTTTTTTTGTCGAAATATTTTTCTCATGAAATTATTTTTCTTGTGCTCTTGCTATTGAAATTCTTCTTCCTCTTGTATGTATAGTATTCCTTTAAGTGTCTTTTGAAATTTTTTTATGCTTTTAGGTTTTTTTTGTTTGTTTTGGCGGGTTTTTTTTTTGTTTTTTTTTTTTTTGCCTTTTTGAGACAGGGTCTCCCTGTAGCCCCAGCTGTCCTGGAACTCACTATGTAAACCAGGCTGGCCTTGAACTCACAGAGATCTGCCTGCCTCTGCCTCCCAAGTGCTGGGATTAAAGGTGTGCGCCACCACTCCTGGCTATGCTTTTAGTTTTTATCTCAGCTCCTTCTAGCGCATGAATTCCTAGGTTTGGTCTCTTGATCATGCCTATATTTATTGAATGCTATGGTCATATCTTTTTTGTAACTAAAAAATTGCTTATACTATCTAATAGTCTTCAATCAAAGAAATCAGTTACAGAAGCAATAGACATACTTTTGTATGCCTTGACCTGATCATTATCTGTCTACTCCAACCTGGTGGCTAGGATTCCATATATTCATATCCAGCAGGGTATGGTGTTTCAAAGCTGTAATCCCAGGTCTCAGGAGGCTGAGGAGGGAGGATCATGAGTTTGAAGCCATCTGGACTATGTGACAAGACTATCTCAAAAGAGAAGCAAAACAATAAAAAAATGACTGTGAATCCAGGTGTGTGTGGTAGCTCATGGCTAGAACCCACAGGAGGGTTGTCTTCCTGGGCTACACAGTGAAATACTATAGAGATTAAATTATTTAAATTTAATTAATTTATTTAGGGGAGCATGGCATACATGTGGAGGTCATAGGGCAACTTGCAGAAGTCAGTTCTTGCACTATGTGGGGTCTGGGGATCGAACTCAAGTTGTCAGGCATGGCAGCAAGTGTCTACCTGCTGAGCCACCTCACCAGCCTGTACCATAGAGATATATTAATGTCAAATACACTTGAAATTTTCTTCTATGCCCCACACAACAAAAATGCCAAATCTCTGATGAAGTTCAGAGGAAATTACGTTAGAATCCCTGTGGGTTTTTTGTTTGTTTGTTGTTTGTTTGAGATAGGTTCTCTCTTATAGTGTGGCCTTGAACTCCCTATCTAGCCAAAAATGAGCCTCCTGTCTCCACTTTCTAAGTTCTGTAACTAAAGGCATTCACCACTACCCCGTGTGTTTTGCATTTTAGATCTCATCTTACCTAATGTGAGACTTTCTGAGACAGATGCAGACTTCATCATCACAAATTCGTGAGGCTAGGTGTTAATTTTTTTTTTTAGAAATGTAAAAGTTGGAGAGGTCTAGAATAAATCTCCGTGTTCTGCCATGTCTCTTTCCCGTGCACCATTCTTAGTGCTGCAGGCATTCCCAGCAGCACCAATTACAAACCTTCTGGCTTTACTTGGTTCGCTGAGCTGAGCTCTGCTCTGTTCTGACTACTTCTAAAGCTTAACTTTGCCTTGGTTAACATCTTATGAGATATATGGAGCAAACTAGTCAGTACAGCTTAAACCAGAAGCAATCCAAGATATCCCTGTGCTCAGAGCACACACAGAGCTAAGACCAGGAGTTAGAGTAGTGGGCAGTGGGCATGCCTCCTAAAAGCTTCCTCGGTTACTTGTAAACACCAAGCCCAGGATGGAGTCTTTCAGTCCCAGACACAAATTCCTAAGGAAGGATGCTGATACCACATGGCCAGATGCCTTCCTACCTCCAGAAGTCATGGCCAAAAGATTGTGTTCTACAAACATGGCAGCCAAGAGCCACTACTGTAAAGGGTAGTTTGATGTTGGCATAAATGTTGTAGAAAGATGGGCCAAGAGGGGAAAGAGATTCTGGCCAGACATACCTTTTGGTGTCTACTTGTTAGGTTTTGGATAGAAGGGTAGTTCACAAAGGCACCGGGACAAATTACTGGGGAATAAGGAGTTTATTAGAAGTTATTATGCTACGGAAAGACAGAAAGGTAACAGCATGGCAGGAGTTTTCAGAGAGAGAGATTAGAGACCACTTGGAAGAGGGAGCTTCTTCTTACAGCTTCTAAGGATGGGGGAGGTTCACAGCTAGATTCTGAAAGCCAGGGTCTCCGATTCCCAGGCAGGATGCAGGGAAGAGGGTGAGGAGCAGGATGTGTATGGTGCCAATAGTACTAATATGCTCTCTGATGTTAATTCACTTCCCAGTAGAGAAATCCTGACACCAGGATATCTGTTAGGGACTCAGGATAATGTCCCAGCAGTAAGGTCCCTCTCTGTATCTGTGAGAGGGGAAACAGCTGCATAAGCAGCTGGACTCTAACTTTACATTCCCTGTACTACTGAAATTATCTGCAGCTAGACATTCAGAAGCTTTGAAGCTTCTGACATTTTACCCAGAAACAATAGGATCTTATGTTTCTTTAACTGTTCTTCACCCAAGTCTTACCTGGCTCCTTATTCATCTTGCTGATCAACTTCCAAAAGCCAATTGCAAATGTCAACAGATATTTCCTAGACTCCTAGGAGAGTTTTGCAGATAACAGGAGGTCTTTTTTCCCCCATATTTGCTTATTATCTATCTAGCTAGAAGGATTAGAAAGCATAAAAACTATATATAACACAGCATCTCTATGGCGCACTTAGAGTTCATTAAGCCTTTGCTGAGAATTTACCATTGTCTTGTTACAGAAACATGACATAGAAACACCCCATGGTGTGGTCCACATCACCATAAGGGGCTCATTGAAGAGAAACAGACCAGTTATCCTGTCATATCACGACATTGGGCTCAACCGTATGTATTTGATTTATAACTTCACTTTTTTCATGCATACTCTTTGTATATTAAAAAATGCAATAACAGTGTTCTAATAAAACAGACATGTTCCTCCTCTCTGACTTAACATTCCCTTTTTATTGCTACATTTATTAGTGATAGGATTAACATTCCTGGGAAAGTATGTAGGGAAAAGTATTTTAGAGGGAACTGGAATTACATTTTACCTTTGTGTTATGCCTGCTAAAGGATTGAAGATTATCTGATAAACTGATTAAGAAATTAGAAATGGGGGCTGGAGAGATGACTCAGCAGTTAAGAGCACTGGCTGCTCTTGCAAAAGACCCGGGTTCAGTTTCCAGCACCCACATGCAGACAAAACACTCATACATAAGAAATACAAATAAATAAAATATATTTTTTAATTTTTGGGGGGGGGTTCTTTTTGAGACAGTTTCTCCCTATAGCCTGAACTGTCCTGGAACTCACTATGTAGACCAGACTGGCCTTGAACTCACAGAGATCCACCTGCCTCTGCCTCCCAAGTGCTGGGACTACAGGCATGTGCCACCACACCCAGCTATATTTTAATTTTTAAAAGACATTAGAAATGGGGGCTAGAGGGGTGGCTCATTGGTTAAGAGCAGTGGCTACTCTTGCGGAGGACCCAGGTTCGATTCCCAGCATCCACATGGTGGCTAACAACTGTCTATAAGTCCAGTTCCAGGGGATATCCAACACTGTCTTCTGACTTCTGTGGGTATTGCACAACACTGGGGCACTTACATACATGCAGGCAATACATTCATACACATAAAATAAAAATAATAAAATATTTTTTAAAGACATTAGAAATGAAGTCTGATTTTTTTTTCATGTTTCAGAGTTTTAACTGTTTTGATTGATGTAATAAAGGTATTCTTTCTACAGACTTTTCTGTATGGTACAGATTGAGTATGACTAATCAAAAAACTAGAAATCTTAAATGCTATATATTTGAAACTGAGAGCTGATATGATTCCACAGAGAACACACAGATAAACCAAAAAAATTTATGAAATTATGTTCAATGCTGGTAGGAGAGCCAGGGGCACAACATGTTCACGTTCAGGTTCAGTCCCCTTATTACAAAAACATAGCAGTGAATTTTAATAATTACTTTAGCTTATGTTCCCAGGTATAAAAATAAATCTTTTATGTTCAGCTTTGGGTTCCATTCCCTAAGGCATCAAATTATGTATATAAAAGTATTTTCAAATCTGAAATCCATACCATATCTGCTACCAAGGATTTCAAAACAAGCATACCTAACAAGTAGTATAGAATTAGGCTCTAGCCACAGGTAGAGTCTGAAAATGTGTGTCTGCTCTGGCTTTCAGAGATGGTCCAAGTTTGAGTTGACAGTTCAGGGTTGGACCTTAGCACAAGAAGTGATGAAGGCCCTACACTAAGAGGGTAGAAATGGCACAGCATCCTCTCTGAGACCACAGCACCTTTGGCAAGAGACATGCTCCCGTGTGGGAAATGTCAGCAGCTGAGGATATCCCTCTAGCCAGGGTCATAGGGAATGGTCAGCATCTTCTTGTCAGAGCCAGGAATAAGATGCATGTAAAACAGCATTATGGATATGAGATCATTTTGTGGATCACCAAGAGACCCAACAAACATCCACAAAGTGGTTTCTATTCTGCATACATTGCATGGAGTTGAGAATGAATTGTTTTCCAACCACCAAAGTGCCTCCTATTGAGTCTTCCGGCAGCTTAAAGCACACACTTTGTCCAGACTCCTCACATAAATGGAATTGTGATTAGAAGGAAGTGAACGAACAATGTCACAACATTGCCTGAGCAGAGGAAAACTGGGGAGAGATGGAGGACTTGTGATCTACGGTTATTTTTATCTTATAGATAAATCCTGTTTCAACACATTCTTCAACTTTGAGGATATGCAAGAGATCACCCAGCACTTTGCTGTCTGTCATGTGGATGCCCCAGGCCAACAGGAAGGGGCACCCTCCTTCCCAACAGGGTAAGACCACAGGGGAGATCTCGGATGCATGCAGTCCAAAGAGCCAATGGCTGGGCTAAAGGGAGAGCAGTATTGTGTGTCCCTCCCACTTGATGGGCTCACGGTTGACAGGTGAAGTCCCTTGCCTGTGGTCTTCCTGTTTTCTGCCTTTGGTCTCAGAAGCTTGTGTGTAAGTCTGCTGGGGGATACTGGATGTTTTCCCATAGCCAGGAATGTCTCTGCACAGCTGGTGGGACCTGGGTTTCTATAATCAGAAAGCTTAATGTGTCTGAAACACCCACTTCCACTGACTTTGGTCTGTCCCCTACTCATCTCTTTTACATCTGTCATTTTTGTGTCTCCAGAACTGATGACTACATAGGCCTGGACTCAGACTCCTTTGAACCTCCCTGGGAGGACCTCTCCATCTGAGCTCCCATCTAGGGATGGATTTGGGGTATCTGGGTAACCATTTATTCTGAAGCCGGGGGTACCTCCTGACTGGCCTTGGCACTCAACATTATCCTAAACCTTCTCTGCGTGTCAGAGTCCCAGGCTTCCAATCGGACATGTTGTCAATGGAGAGGGCTTTGGGAGGAGGAGTGGGAGCACATGCTGTGCAGGGCTCATGCTTCCTCTCCTCCACTCCTCCAGAATCGTGTGCTGCCTTGGCCAGTGACTGTGGTAGAATACACACTGCAGGCAAGGAAGAGCCTGCACCTGCCTAGAACCCTCCAGATACTGCTTCAATGCTTTGTCTCTTAGCTCACTTGATTCACACAACCATACGGGCTACACACACCAGTACACAAATAAGGAGAAGAGCTGGACTTTCAACCCAAATAGGATAGCTGCAGAATCTGTTTACTCTCTCCTTGTTGTTGTGCCTCTCAAATGCGAGTTTTCTGGTGGCCACTGGATATCAAACCAGCTGTTCTCTGATGGTGCACAAATAGTTTTGAGAACACTGCATCTGTCCTTAACAGAGCTAGGCTGACTTCCCTGTTGGTTGTAGAGCAGATCCTGCCTCATATGGCATATGGGAGGCCATTTACTCTGTGTGCAGCAAGACTGACAGTCACCAGAGGCCAGAGAAGGTACTGCAGTGAAGCAGGGAGGGGAAGGGGGCTTTTAAAGGCAGAACACACAGCTGCTTCATTCCTGTGGAATTAGTAGTTGCACAGACAGTGGGGTCACACTGACCCTTAAATGCAGCAATAAGCAAGTACAGAAGCCAAAAGCAAGCAACTGTTAGTCATTTTCTTAACAGAGGTATAGAGACCTTGACAGTAAGGGGCTTTCTGATTATTGTTATTATTTCAGTATACTACCAAGAAAGACAGGATATTGTTTAGTTTATTTTCCCTTGGGTGGGCAAGAAACATAGCTGCAATGCCTGAGTGGCAATATTCCTCTCCATGGTCAGCTATTTCTGGAAAGAAAAAAAAAAAAAAAAAAAACTTCTGGGGAGAAGTGACTTACTGGAACTAAGTTCAGACCTTGAACTGGCTGCTTCTCTGATTTTTAAAGTCTAGGTGGCTACTTTGTACAAAATGGAGTTGCTCTAGTCATTATACATGTGTGTGTATCTGTGTCTGTGTCTGTATGTGTTTGTGTGTGTGTGTGTGTGTGTGTGTCTGTATGTGTTTGTGTGTGTGTGTAAAATATATATAATGCCGTCTTAGAAGGTCCTGTCCATCTCTGATTCAGTCATCTCTCTGACTTTCTCCTTTTCTTCTTCCTCTTAGTCAGCTGCTAGACTTTCCTGACCACTTTAGGATCAGATAGATCATTTCACAAATAAGCAATTAACAAAATAACCTATGCTTAAGTGAAATAAATGAACAATATTGCCGAGGAACCCAAGTTTTATAATGTTGCATAGGCCCAGGAAAGCTTGGTTTCTTGTTCCAGTCAGCTACTTTTCTATGATCAGCAGACTGAGAGCTATTTCCTAGGTTGACTCTTACTGTGGAAGTTTCCTGAGCTTGGAAGTGAACATTAAGGTTTGGAAATAACAGAGGAGTGGGCCATCTAACCAGTTCTTTTCCTGTTGTTTCCTCTGGTACTAGACACGTGACCCCTCTTCCTATCTTTTTAACATGGAGCATTATGCAACATGTCAACTGTTTCTAGTTCCACATCACATCCTTTGAGACTTAGGAAAAAGATTGTTTCTCTGTGACTTCTAGACTGGTCAAGGTCTTTTAGTGACTGAACTATGTGTGCTTCTAATTCAGGAGGTATCTTTCTGGATTTCAGGTATCAGTACCCCACTATGGATGAGCTGGCTGAAATGCTGCCTCCTGTTCTTACACACGTAAGGTAAGTTCATTCTGTAGCCTTTTCCCCATCATTCTATCACTCCTGATAAACAGATATTCTTCCATTGGGCTCTACATCCAGCCTCATCACTTTGTTGTTTTAGTTTGACCCTTTATATTGTCTGTGTTCATGCAAATGAAGTCATGAGCAAAACAGTAGTCACTATGTTCATCAGGCTTAGTTGGGAGATGGGCACACTTAATAAACAATTACAAAAAAATGCCTTTAACAAAGTGGGGCTGGAGTTTAGCTCAGTGATAGAGCACCTGTTTAGCATGCACTGTACTCTGGGATTGACCTTCTGCACCAAGCAACATCAACACAAAGAAGTCCATTTGGGTACTGTAGATTGTGAGCAGGATCCTCATAGATGAGGTTGGCTAGGGAATGCCTCTTTAAGAAGGGGTCATGCAAACTGAGATCCAGCTCAACAGAGAGCCAAGGCAAGGGGAAAAAATAATGATAAAATCGAGTGGGAGGAAGGCATATGGTAAAATTTGAAAAAACAGACACAGACCAGATTACATCGGTCTAAGAGATCAAAGGTTGGCATTGTTATTCTTTAGTTTAAAGGAAAGACACTGAAGGATTTTAGTCCTGGAATGATACATAAGTTAGTCATTTTAAATGATCACTGTAGAGGCTAGAGAAATGGCTCAGTCATTAACAATGAGTACTGCTATAGCAAAGGATCCAACTTTGGTCCCCAGCACTGTCATCAGGTGCTAGGGGATCCAGTGACCTCTTCTGTTTTTCATAGAAACTGCACTGGACAAAGTCACAAACAGGCACACACATAAACAATTATTGAAAATAAAATTTTCTGAGCATGGTAGCACAGGCCTTTAATCCCAGCACTTGGAAGGCAGAGGCAGGTGGATCTCTGTGAAATGGAGGTCATCCTACTTTACATAGCGAGTTCCAGACCAGCTAGGGATACATAGTGTGAACCTGTCTAAAAAAAAAAAAAATTTAATTAAAAATCCTTAAAAGGAGCTGGGTGTGGTGGCGCACGCCTTTGATCCCAGCACTTAGGAGGCAGAGGCAGGCAGCAGGCGGATCTCTGTGAGTTTGAGGCCAGCCTGGTTTACATAGTGAGTTCCAGGTCAACTGGCGCTACAGGGAGACCCTGTCTCAAAAACAAAACAAAACAAAAAAATCCTTAAAAGGGCCAGGCCTGGTGGTGCATGACTTTAGTCCCAGTACTCAGGAGGCAGAGACAGTAAAATCTCTGTGAGTTCAAGGCCCGCCTGGTCTACATAGCAAATTCGAAGTAGTAATCAGTGGATTACTGATGGATCTTGAGGTAGTAGGACAATGAAGATAAATTTAAGGTTTGAGGTATATTTCACTGAACTATAAACAAATTTTGAAAGTAGGTAAATATAGGTAGGGTATTGAAATTTGTGCCTAAATTCTCATAGCTAGTAACTGTCAGTGCCAGGATATGCACCCAGGTTGTATTCTTACCATCATGCAGTTCCACTGAATGTAGTTGACACTGGCAATTGTTTGTCTTTCCTGTTCATAGTGTGAAGAACATCATTGGTTTTGGAGTTGGAGCAGGAGCCTATATCCTCAGTAGATTTGCAGTAAGTATGAGGAGGGTAGGTCTCAACTCCCCTGGGGTCTTGAGTGGGTCACAGATATGAGTGCCGTGTTAAATAGCAAGGTACTGCTCTGGTCTTGCAGGGTGTGTGTGTGTGTGTGTGTGTGTGTGTGTGTGTATGGGTGTGTAAAACTTAATTTTTTATTACATTAAAAATTTTTATTAGGCCGGGCATGGTGGCGCATGCCTTTAATCCCAGCACTTGGGAGGCAGAGGCAGGCGGATCCTCTGTGAGTTCAAAGCCAGCCTTGTCTACAGAGTGAATTCCAGGCAGCCAGAGCTACAGGGAGACCCTGTCTCAAGAAGACCAAAATATAATTTTTATTAGAATTGCCTTCTTTAAAAAGTAACATGATTACATTGAAAAAAAAATGTGTATAGGTTGAAGAATTTGGAAAGGGACTGAATGGCGAACTAACATTACAGTAACAGTGAAATTTCACATTATTGTTGAAACTTGGTAGCACAGTTTTGTCAGCAAATAATATTCAAAAATTATAGTAGACATAAAGGATTGTGAATTTACAATTATAAAATACAATTATGTAATTTTAGTTTGAGAATTGTATCAATTTAGTTATTACAGTACTTTCCTTTTTTAACTTCCCAGACTGTGATTTTGATCTCTAGAAGTTCAATGAGGTGTTTTGCCTTTTCTGTAGGGCACAGGTGAAGGCACACTGGAGCTGTAGAAGAGTAGTGGAAAACTAATTGAAAACCTCTTGGTTTTTCCTGGGAATGGGAATGGTCCTCCTGAATGCCCAGGACCATATATGGAGTCAAGACTATAGCCAGCCCTCAGGGTGGTTGGGATGTCTATTCTAGAAAATCAGTCTTCCCAGGACCAGAATCTTCAAATGGCAGAGATCTTTCCTGTCTCCAGCATAAGCCCAGCACAGAGGCAAAGCCACTGCCATGTATAACCTGGGACCTCAGGGGAGGGGGCTGTAAGGAATGAAGTCACTCAGAGGAGGCTGAAACTGCTGCCAAACATCAGAAAGTCCTCCATCCTCTGCTCTGCTCCACCATCAGCCCACCACCAGAGGAATGTGGGACTGTGGCTTTCAGTAGGAGACCACTGAATTTCCTCCTAGGCGACAAAGCCTTTTGGGTGACGTTACCAGTTCAAATCGTTTCAAGAAAAAACTTTCAGAAGCCCTTGTTGGCCAAAGCAGCCCCTGTAAACCTGAGCAGCCTCACACCAAGGATTTCAACATAAGAGGAAGACCCCCTGTGACTTGAACAACAGCAGCATGCTCAAAGATCATGTCTTCCCTATGCATCCATACAAGGGATTTGATAGCATTCTGAGAGACTGGTTTCCAGATGCTAGTTCAGATTTCAAGAAGTCTCTTCTCCCTAGCACCTCCAGAAGTCTTCCTTTTAAACATGAGGTGTTGGGCATAGCACAAATCTGCTAAACACATTCCAGTTGTTTTAGAAGAAGCAGGGGCAGTGGAAGTCTCTTACAGTTTTCTTTGTCTCTCTCTCAGCTCAACCATCCAGAGCTTGTAGAAGGTCTTGTGCTCATTAACATTGACCCATGTGCTAAAGGCTGGATTGACTGGGCAGCTTCCAAAGTAAGTGCCAGATGATGGTGTCCATCTTCTGGCTCGTCCTCCTTCCCCTCCCCCTTCCCATCTCTTCCTCCTCTTCCTTCAACTCATCCCCTCTTTCTTCTTTTGGTGGTACTAGAGATTAAACCCAGGGCCTCATGCACACTAGGGTACCAGTTTATCACCAAACTACATCCCTTGCCCTCTTTTTTTTACTTTTTATTTTGAGACAAGGTCTCACTAAGTTACCCTGACTGGCCTCGATCTTGTGATCCTCTAACCTCAGCCTCCTGAATAGCTTGGATTTCAGGCCTCCATCATCAAACTAGACTTCTCTTGTTTCTTTGTGAATATAGCTTAGCTTTTAAATTTTTTATTGAGCTATATAAAAATTTAAGTCAAACATTTGATGTGTACAGCCTGATGAATGTTTATAAGGATCACTATTACCCAACCCATACATAGAATAGTTCCATCTCTTCAGGAGATTTCCTTGGGCTTTTTCAGGTCTGGCACTTCTTTCCCAGTAATGAACTTATTCTGACTTCTGTCAGCACAGATTGGTTTTATCTCTCCTGAAATGTCATCTAATTTGGGGCATAGATTACATATTCTTTTGTGTCTAGCTTTCTCCACTCACTGTCAGTAAGACTCATCTCTGTCGTGTATAGTGGTTCTTTTTAATTATTCTGTGCTAGTCTGTATATAAAGCATAAAATGAGCTAGTATGTTTCACTCTTAGGAATTAGGCTCCTCTCAACACACCTGCAGCACAGTCCCATTCTGATTGCTGCATATCCTCAGACATTTGACATTGATAGTCCTTTTCTTTTTTAAAAAAACATTCTTTTTTAAATTTTATGTGTTATGAGTGTATTGCTTGCATGTATGTAAATGCACCCATGTTGTGCAAATGCCTTGGAGGCCAGAAGAGGGTGTTGGATCCCCTGGAACTAGAGTTAGGATGGTTGTTAGCCACCATGTGGGTGCTGGGAACCAAACCCAGGTCTTTCGCAAGAGCAGCCAATGCCCTTAACCACTGAGCCATCTCTCCAGCCCTTCCTTTACTGTTATTAAAAAGATGTTTTACATATAATATTAATTTCATTACCCACCATGAATATTCCTTTAGTTATTAAAATAAACTAATTTTGGGGGGGTCTTTTTGAAACAGGATCCCTCTGTAGCCCCAGCTGAACTAGAACTTGTTATGTAGACCAGGCTGGCCTTGAACTCTGCCTCCCAAGTTCTGGGACTACAGATGTGGGTCACCTTGCCTGCCTACCATCTAAATTTTAAGTTATGCTCATAGCTAAATAATCCTGTTTTAATTTGCATCTCCCTGAGGAGTGATATCATTGAGTACCTTTATTGAATATACTGTTGTAAATGTCTTTTACCCATCCCCTGTGTGTACCCTGTTGAAAAATATTCTGCATATAAGTCCTCTGCTAGGTACATGTACTACTTAGTTTTATGTTCCTGTGACCAAAATAACCAAGAGAAAAACTTACGGGAGGAAAGATTTATATGGCTGGTGGGTTCAGACATTTGAGTCTTTTATGACAGAGAAGGGGTGGAAGAACAGAGCACTCACATGGTGGAAGGAAGAAGAGATGACAGAAAAGAAGCAGGCAAGATAGAGTCCCCACGGGCACCCCCTCAGAGGCCTGTTTTCCTACATTTACTGCCTTCCAGTTCTGCGATCATTTTATGCATGCAACAAGATCATTTGTTCCTTAGGTCAGCGCCCTCAGATCTAGTTGTTTTGGGAAGGTCTGTCAGAGAGACACTGAAAGGTAAGTTTTAATAAGTTTTCCTTTCTGTGTTTTTTGTAATATTGACAAGGTTTTACTCTGTAGCCCAGGACAGCTTCAAACTTGTGTCATTCCTCCTGCCTCAGCCCCCCAAGTATTGGCTTGAGCCACCACTCAGTTACTTAGTGTATGTGTGGGGCAGGGGGTGTTATCTTTTGTTCTTTAGCATAGGCTTCATGTAGCCCTGTCTGGTTTTGAACTCCCCATCTAATTGAGGATGCCCTTGAACTCCTGTTCCTCCCGCATTCACCTCCCAGAGACTGGTATTACAGGGCTGCACCACCATGCTCCACCCCTAAAACAACCAGCACATATATTAAGATCCGAGGACACCTTCCCCCTTGCTGAGGCATGGTCTCTTTTCTTTCTACCACCATGTGACTTACTCCAGACCATCTGGCTTTTTACATGGGTTCTGTATCTGAAGAGATGGCTCAGTGGTCAAGAGTATTTGTGGGTCCTACAGAAGACCCAAATTCGGTTCCCAGCATCCATGTTGAAAGGCTCACAACTGCCTATAACTCTAACACCAGGGGATCCTACCCCTCTTCTGGACTCTAGAGATTGACTCAGGTCATCAGACTTGGGTGGCTAGGCCATCTCCTGGCCCCAGTGGTAGGAAAAATGCCTCCTCCTCCTCCTCCTCCTCCTCCTCATTATTATTATTATTATTATTATTATTATTACTATTTCTATTACTGAGGCATGTGTGCCACTATGTACATGTGTAAGTCAGAGGACAATTTGCAGGAGTTGGCTCTTTCCCTCTACCATGTGAGTTCCAGAGATTGAACTCAGATCATCAGGTTTGGTGACAAGTGCCTTTAACTGATGAGCTGTCTCTCTGTGTTTGTTACTTCATTTTGAAACAGGCTTCTCAACATAGCACTAACTCTCCTGGTACTGCTGTGTAGGGCAGTATGGCCTTGAAATGGCATCAGTTCTCCCACCTCTGCCTCCAGAGCACTAGGACCACAGGTGTCCGCCACCATGCTTGGCTTCCTAGCCCTTCCTTAACACACCCAAGCTGGCATCACCCAACTAACACACCCAACTACCCATCATGTATTTACATCTCAAATGTCTTCTGTCTGTGGCTTGTATTCTTCTTCCCTTTATGAATAAAATGAATGAATGATCACTATCTTTAATAAGATAATTGTTGATGTTTGTTATATGGAAAAATGAAGGAATTTAATTAACCCTTAAGATGAGAGCAAGGAGATGGGAAACTAAAGAAGCATGTTAGTCTGTTTATTTATATAAGCATTCCCCATGCTAAACTAGAGTTAAGAAGAGATAAGGAGCCAGGTGAGTGCCAGGACAGTTGTGACTACAGGGAGACCCTGTCCCAAAAAGACCAAAAAAAAAGAGAGAGAGAGAGAGAGATAAGGAGGTTTCAGCAGGTAAAGGCATTTGCCATCAAGCCTGATCTCCCAGGTTGTCCTCTGACCTCCACATGCACACTATGGCACACATGCACCCACACACATTCTCATAGGCACATGCCCAAAAGCACATACACACACAGAAATTTTAAATATTTTTTAAAGGAGGGGGGAGCTGGGCACGGTGGCACACACCTTTAATCCCAGCAGCATTTGGGAGGCAGAGGCAGGTGGATCTTTGTGAGAGTGAGGCTAGCCTGATCTACATTATTGGGGAAAAAAAAAAAAAAAAAAAAAAAAAAAAAAAAAAAAAGGACTGGAGAGATGGCTCAGCGGTTAAGAGTGCTTATGAGTCTTATAGAAGACCCAAATTCTGTTCCCAGCACCCACATTAAAAGGCTCACAACTGCCTATAACTTTAATGCCAGGGGATCCTAACCCCTCCTCTAGACTCCAAAGGCACTTGCCACTCATGTGCACATACCCATATACATATATACACAGTTTTAAAAAAATAAGAGAGGGGCTGGAGAGATGGCTCAGCGGTTAAGGGCACTGACTGCTCTTGCAGAGGACCCAGGTTCAATTCCCAGCACCCACATGGTGGCTATGAACCGTCCTTAACTCCAGTTCCAGGGGAATCTGAAGCCTTCTTCTGACCTCTGTGGCATTGCACGACACGGATGCACTCACATACATGCAGGCAATCTACTCATACACATAAAATAAAAATCATAAATAAAATATTTTTTTAAAACTTTAAACAAATAAAAAAATAAAAATAAAAGAAATGCTAGGAGTTGGTGGTTGATGCCTTTAATCCCAGCACTCAGAAGGTAGAGGTAGGTGAACTTTGTGAGTTCAATGCCACCAGGCCAGTCAGGGCTACACACTGAGACCCTGTTTCAAATTAACAAATAAGTAAATGAAAAATTCTTTAAGAAAAGATGGGAGCTGGAGAGATGACTCAGAAGTTAAGAGTACTAACTTTCAGAGAACCTGGGTTCAGTTCCCAGCACCCATATGGCAGCCCAAACCCTCTGTAGCTCCAGTTTCAGGGGATCTGATGTCCTTCTTGCCTCTGTGGGTACCAGGCATGCACATGGTACACACATATATATGCAGGCAAAACATTCTATTTTATTATATCATATTTACATTGCTTAAAGTAATTCATTGTTTTTTAGGTAGGAAAGAAGTAGAGTTTTTTTTTTTTTTTTTTTTTTTTTTTTTTTGGTTTGTTTTTTTTTTTTTTTTTTTGGTCTTTTTGAGAGAGGGTCTTGCTGTAGCCCCAGGTGGCCTGGAACTCACTATGTACACCAGGCTGGCCTTGAACTCAGAGATCCACCTGCCTCTGCCTCCTGAGTGCTGCGACCAAAGGCATGCACCACCATACACGGCCTTTTCTCATTTTATGTGTGTGTGTATGTGGTGTGTGTGTGTATTGTGTGTATGCATGTTTTGCATGTGTTCAGGTGCAAGTGTATACATGTGCACGTGGAGGCCCAAGGTTGATGTTGGGAATCATCCTCTATCATTCTTCCTCCTTGTTCATTGAGACAGGGTCTCTCAAACAAACTCAGAGCTCACTGATATGGCTAGTCTTGCTAGTCAGCTTGCTCTGGGGATCCTGTCTCTGCCTTCTAAGGCTAGAATTACAGGAGCTGCCATGTCCAGCAAGTATTTATGTGGGTTTCTGGGGATCTGAACTCTAGTCCTCACACCTGCACAGCAAACACTTTAACCACTGAGCCATCTCCTCAGCCCCAACAATACTTTTTTACATTTATTTGTGTATTTGTGTGGGGATACACTCATGTCATGGCAGACAAGTGGATATAAGAAAACTCTCGAGAGTTGACGCTCTTCTTCCACTATGTGGGGTACAGGATCCTCATGCTTAACGGCAAGCACCTTTACCTGCTGAGCCACCTCAGGAACTCCAATTATATTTTTAATACAAAAACTGATACCTGGAGCTGCAGAAATGGCTCATCACTTGCTGCTCTTGTAGAGAACCTGGGTTTGGTTCCCAGCACCAACATGGCAGCTAACTGTTAAGGTTCAAATAGCCTCCTCACCAACAGGACCCCAAGGACTTCTCATGCTCCTGAGAAAAGGGAACCTAGCTGTTAAGCACCTTGGTCTTTGAAGTCAAGAGAAGCAGACTTTTCTCCACCCTTTGGCCAACACAGCAGGCTTCCCCTTTGATCTTTAAAGAGGACAGGTTTTAACCGTCCCGTTTCCCCCCCCCCCCCCCCCACAACTTTAAAAAAAATACATCTTCCTGCCTTCTGCAGGAAGCAGAAGCCTCCCTTTTTAAAGGACCCTAGCTCAAGACCCGGGCAGACATTTTCCTTGCCCAGAAGGGAATCTGTCCCATGTGTTCCTTTGCTAATAAACCCTATTTTGATGGAGTTTTATCTGTGTCCTGGTGCCTTCTCCATTCGCTCGTTCTCCACCAACTTTTTACCTATCACTAACAACCATCTGTAACTCCAATTTCAGGTGATCCAGTGTCCTCTTCTGGCCTCCATGAGCACTGCCTGCACATGGTACACTTACATACATGCAGGCAAAACACTCATACACATAAAATAAAAGTGGTCTGAAGTAGCCTGGTCTACATCATGAGACCTAGTCTGAAAATAAATAATTTTTAAAATGTTACTTGAGCCAAAAATGGTAACATATACTGTAATCTCAGTGCTTATAAGGCAGAAAGATTGTGAGATTGAGGCCAGTCTTAGCTATATAACTATACCATATCCCCCAAATTTTAAAAAGTATTAATTGCCTATTTAAGAAAATGAGAAAATTCCTTTTGTGTTTGTTTGTTTGGTCGGTTTTATTGTTGATGTTTTTGAGATAAGGGTCTCCCTATAGCCCCAGCTGGCCTGGAACTTGCTTTGGAAACCAGGGTGGCCTTGATCTCATAGAGATCCACCTGCCTTTGCCTCCTGAGTGCTGACAGTAAAGGTGTGCGCCACCACGCCCAGCTGAAAATTCTTATGGTAATTCGAAAATGGATATATAACATCCTAATTTTGTTAAATATATACATGCATTAAAAAAGGAAAATAATTTACTAGTGGTTACATCTTTCACTGTTAATATTACAAAGGACAGTTTTCCTGTTTTCTTTTTTCATAATTTTCTATAATAAGTACTTTTGTAGCTATTTAAAAATATCCTACCTACCAAAAGATCAAATTCTAAACAGTTTGTTTATACCTTTCTACACTTAAGTTTTGGAGAAATAATGCCATCTGTGCTGGAAAGCTTTAGTTGTCCACTTGACACACCTGGGTAGAGGGAGCCTCAATTGAGGAATTGCCTCCATTGGACTGGCCTGTGGCCATGTCTGTGGGGCATTTTCTTGATTGTTGCATGATGTGGAGGGTCCAGCCTACTGTGGGTGGTGCCGCCCCTGGGCAGGTGGCCCTGTATTGAATAAGAAGGCAGGTTGAGCTGGGCATGGAGGCATATGCCTTTAGTCTGTCCTAGTGCTTGGGAGGCAGAGGCAGGTGGATCTCTGAGATGGAGGTCAGCCTGGCCTACATAGTGAGTTCCAGGTCATTTGAGGTTACAGGGAAACCCTGTCTCAAAAAGACCAGAAAAAAAAAAGAAAAGAAAGCAGGCTGAGCATGGGCCAGGAGACCAAGTCAGTAAGCAGTGTTCCTCCATGGCCTGTGCTTCAGCTCCTGCCTCCAGGTTCCTGCCCTGAGTTCCTACCTTGGGCTCCTCAGTAATGAACTGTGACCCAGGAGATGTAAGATAAAATAAACCCTTTCCTCTCCAAGTTGGTATTTGTCAGAGTGTTTTGTCACAGCAATTGAAAAGAAACTTGGAACACCATCCCTATCTTTGCACAGAATATATTAACAATGTTATTGAGCTAGGCATGGTGGCTCGTGTCTGCAATCCTAATACTCAAGAGGCTGAGGCAGGAGAATTGCTGGAAGTACCAGGTCAGCTTGGGTTACATAGTGAGTTCAAGGCCAGCCTGGGGATAGAGAGTAAACCCTTTTTCATCAAAAAGCTACTGCCAGCTGCTGTGGAATACTCTCTCTCAGCCTGACTTATGTAAACTGTGTGCTCATTCCTGTCTAGTATGGCTATGTTAACACACACACTTTAATGGTGTATAACAATCTGATGAAATTCATAGAACACTTTGGGTCTATGAGCAGTATGAATTCTTGTGTTAAACACAGGAAGTGCCGGGCATGGTAGCACACGACTTTAATCCCAGCACTTGGGAGGCAGAGGTCAGTCTGGTCTACATAACGAGTTTCAGGCTACAGCTGGGCTGCAGGGAGACCCTGTCTCAGACCAAGGAACAACAACAACAAAAACCTCACAGGAAGTGAGGTGGGTTCTTCATCCTCCTTGTCTTTAATTTCTGACCTGTGGGTCTCTGGTGACCCATGGGAAGATTTCATGCCATCTTCTGTAATCTTTCACCCATGTCCATGCCTGTCTCCCGCACCTCCTCTTCTCCATCCTACCTGCAACTCTGATCCAAGGCCTCAGTAGGAATTCCATCTAAACCTTAGGAAGGATTGGGGGGATCAGCAGCAACATTCAGTTTGGAAAATTTTCTGAAAATAGCCTGTCTCCAGATTTATACAGATTGCTGCATTTATTAGCCTGTGAGGTGTGTCATTTTGAAATGGGAATAATTAGGAGAAAAATATTCAAAATGTAAGAACATCCTGTAAATAGAGCCATTTCTCCCACTCCCTGAATCAAAGACAGCTAAAACTGGAAAGAAAAAAATTTTTTTTTTGTTTTTGGCTCTTGGCTGTCTTAGGCACAATGTGAGTTGATCTCTTTCTGCCATCAACCCAGTGTAAATGCAGAAATCCAGAAGGAATGAAGTAGCAAATAGCTGTAAGTTCCAGGTCTCAAGTTTTCTAAGGAATGCTCCCCATTTCCTCCAACTCTATTTCAAAATAAGTTCTACTCTTAATGGGGAAAGGGTACTTAGGGGTTTTTTCCCCCCAACTCTTTTGCTTTTTCCTCACATTTCTTTGAAACTACCATCTCATGACATGCAATTGTGTTCTGTTTGTTGAGGGATAATATATGTACAATAAGTGCACTTCACTGAACACCTTGCAAAAATATTTACATGTGCTTACTCTCTTAACACAGTGTTTTTATCTTTTTAGCTCTCAGGCTTGACAACCAACATTGTGGACATAATTTTGGCTCATCACTTTGGGCAGGTAAGCACCTGTGCAACCCGATGCGCTGGGTTTCTTGGCTCATGTGCAAAGCCTTGTTAAGCTTTAGGAGAGAAGGGCTACCTTAAGTCTACCAGATCCTAGCAGATAACACTTCCTGTGCAGTCAGTGGTGCATGTGGCCCTGCAAATGCCAAGCCTATGGGAGAGGCTTCGCTCAGCCTCATGGATCTTGGCACTCAAGAGAGTGACAGAAGACAGCATCTCCCCCACCTGTCCGCTGTAAGCAGCATGCCATCTGCTAATGTTTGACAACACCACGTGCTCACCAAACATCTTTAGAGCCATCGGGAGGTTTAGGAAAGCCTTCACAGAAATAGCAATTCAAGAAGAAATGGGGGGGGGCAAGGAGTGGTGCACAGACTTTGGAGATCATGTTATTCAACACCCATGAAGTGGTGGAAAATCTGCAGCGGAAATGACTGTTGTCTGTGGATAGTTGTCAGTTGGGGGAGGCACCTCCAGTGCTGTTTTCAAGTGACGCAGTGGTGGAAAAAATGAGCAGTGAGGTCAAGAGGTGGCTGGAGTGTGGAGAGAACAGTCCAGAAAGGGGCAAAGCTGGTTAGTATGTGCACCTAATTCTCAGAGTCTCTGAAAGGAACAGAAGGTTGGGAGAAAGCAAGCTTTTACCAAGTACTGATTATTTATGTGCTATGCACTTTGAAAATGCTTTGGATACCCAAACTCAATTATTTTTCTCAGGTTTTGTTGGCCTAATTTTAAGATAAGGAAACTAAGGACCAGATATAATGTTATCCATATTATAAATGGAATTTACATTTTAAGGATGGTTGGTAGCCGCCATGTGGGTGCTGGGAATTGAACCCGGGTCCTCTGCAAGAGCAGCCAGTGCTCTTAACCGCTGAGTCATCTCTCCAGCCCCAGAATATTTATTTATTTATTTATTTGGTCTTTTTGAGACAGGATCTCCCTGTAGCCCCAGCTGACCTGGAACTCACTATGTAGACCAAGCTGGCCTTGAACTCACAGAGATCCGCCTGCCTCTGCCTCCCGAGTGCTGGGATTAAAGGCATGCGCCACCACGCCTGGCCCAGAATATTCATTTTTATTTTGTATGTGAGTGTATTGTCTGCATATGTGTAAGTGCACCCATGTTGTGCAATGCCTGTGGAGGTCAGAAGAGGGCATTAGATTCCCCTGGAACTGGAGGTACGATAGTTGTTAGCTGCATGTGGGTGCTGGGAATGGAACCTGGGTCCTCTGCAAGAGCAGCTAGTGCTCTTAACAGCTAAGCCATTCCTCCAGTCCCTCCAAAATAATTTTAAATAAATAAATAAATAAATAAAAGATTTATGCTTGTTGGTAAGGGGAGGGGAATTTCTATAATTCAGTTTTGCCTGAACTATTTCCATTAGTGATCCTGTCTGGATTTGCCCTTCATATACCCGTGATGCCAGGCAGTGTGATCTGGTAGCATGGAGACAGGACAAATAAAACCAAGGCCATATATTACGATTGTGACAGGCAAGGTCTTATTGGGATTGGCCAGAGCTGCTGACCTCAGCTTGAGCATAAGGAATCACAGTGGGTCAGGCTCTCACTCAATGAACAAAAAGAGCAGCAAGCTTTGTGTTTTCTGGGGCGGGCTAAATTTTGGCGGTTTTCTACTTGTTACAGACATCATTTCCAGAGAGGTCTTCCCCTCATTTGTAAACATTCTGGCCTTAATGTTTGCAGCCAGTGGCTTAACCCAGGAACTGTTCAGTCTCTCCTGTTTTGACAACATTGTCTTGCATAAACATCCTGGCCTTGTAGTTAGTTGGTCTGGGTCTTATGTAGGGCTGAAGGACTTGAGCTGCCACAACCTCTGAAAGAGTCCAGCTGCTGGGTAGAAGAAGCACATGCAATCTCCACGGTAACTGTGTATGATTGTGCTGCAAAACGTTTCTCAGATGACCAACATATCTGAGCTGAACAGGACCTGATCCAAATATTAAAACAGCAAAGGCAACAGACACAGATCCCAAGCTTCCTGTCCCATTTCAGTTGCCCATCAAATAGCTACAGGCTCAAATGAAGGGTCAGTGTTTTCATCAAGAGCAGTCTTCACGTTTCTGCAGTTACCTAGGCAACTGTTATCATAACCCACATATCAGAGGTGCCATCTATAGCAATAATGTACTGCCAACCTGCATGCCTTCTAAAATCAGTGATGTTTAAGTCAACTAAGGTTAACGAGCTAGAGGGTTTATTTGGTTTCCCATTGGTGACAACTCCCCCTTGCCTTTGACATTTGTGTGGTTATCTCAAACCCCACCAGTTTTGTAGATTCATCCAAACACAGGATCTCCTGGTCTGTAAACACTCCGGCCTGTGACTGAATCTGGTGTTTAATGACAAAGCTGTTGAAGGCAGGCTTTAATGGATCATAGGTGAAGAGTTCAGTTATTTGCATCTTGTCCCCTTGCATCAGTGTCTTCCCATCTTTCCAGTATCATTTATTCCCTCTTTTACCTCCAAGTTTGCAGCTCAAGTTCTTCTCTAGATCTTTAAAAGGGAAGCTGGTAGCTTATTTCACTCTGTTATTGTCATTTTTTTCTTATTGTGTGTGTGTGTGTGTGTGTGTGTAGGTGTGTGGAGGCCAGAAGTCAACCTCAGGTTGTGACTCCTCAGGAGCTATCCACTTTGTTGAAACAGGTTGTCTTGTGGGATCTGGTTCTAGCAGATTAGTCCAGGCTGGCTGGCCAGGGAACCTCAGTGATCTGCCTGTCTCTGCCTCCCCAGGATGAGGATTACAATGGTGTGCCTCCATGTCCAAATTTTTCACATGGGTTCTGGGGATTGAACTGGAATCCTTATGCTTGCACAGCAAGAACTTTACTGAGTTGTCTTTTCACCCCATTATTCTTTTTTCTCATGATTATAATATCTTTAGATTGAGATTGGAGCCCCAGCTGTGTTTCTTGAGGGTGATTTATTTCAGTGTGTTCAGTTTCAGGAAGATTGTCCTTAGTTTTTGTCTCCTTGACTCACTTCACCCAAGTGGTATAAAATGCAAATAAGCCTTCTTATTTCTGTTTCTCTACATATCTCTATATCTATTAACTTTCCAACTATCTCTGCTACTTTTTTTCCCCTCCAGTGCAAAAAATTTCCCATCTGCTTAAAATTGCTTACTGGTTTGTTTGGTTGGTTTTTGTGTGTGTGTGTGTATGTGTGCTGGATAGTTTCAGTGTCAACTTGACACACCTGGGTTGACGGAGCCGCAATTGGGGAATTGCCTCTATTGGACTGGCCTGTGGCCATGTCTGTGGGGCATCTTCTTGATTATTGAGTGATGTGGGAGGGCCCAGCCCACTGTGGGTGGTGCCACCCCTGGGCAGGTGGGCCTGTGTTGCATAAGAAAGCAAGCTGAGCAGGGGCCAGGGGAGCAAGTCAGTAAGCAGCGTTCCTCCATGGCCTGTGCTCCAGCTCCTGCTTCCAGGTTCCTGCCCTGAGTTCCTACCTTGGGCTCCCTGATGAACTGTGACCCAGGAGATGTAAGATAAATAAACCCTTTCCTCCCCAAGTTGGTAGTGGTCAGAGTGTTTTGTCACAGTAATGAAGAACAAACTAGGACAGTGTGTGTGTGTGTGTGTGTGTGTGTGTGTGTGTGTGTGTATGTTTGTGTGTATGCTCTGTAGCTTAGAAGACAATTTTTTCTGCTTGTTCTAGGAAGAGTTACGGACCAACCTGGACCTGATTCAAAGTTACAGACTACACATTACTCAAGATATTAACTAAGGAAACCTAGAGCTTTTCCTGCGTTCCTATGATAGGTACAGTTATTTCCCATTCTTTCACTTAACTGGAGACCAGTTTGAAAAAGATGATTGACATCTATGCGAGAAAGGGGAACATTTCCCATATTGTGTGACAGATTATATGTATTCTTTGACCACACTCCCAGAAAGCCAAAGAGAAGACTTGGATCTTGACTTAGTTGCTGTTTACTGGTTATCTCTCACAAGGCAGAACTAGCCTGCCGTGCTGGTCGATCCTTTTTTGTTTGTGGGCTGTAGAAGTTACTGTCACATCTCCCTCTTCACCACACAGGGTGAGGGAGGCACTATGGTTGTGTCCTGAGAACACCTGCTTCAAGGTGGAAATGCCAGCTACTCCTCCCTCTCTGGAAGGATGGAAAAAAAGCTGAGGAAATGGGTCAGCTGTAACTTTCCCAGAGCTGCACAGCCAGGTTTGAACCTCCAGACATTCTCCAGAACTCTCCAGACATTCTTAGTTTTAGTTGAAATCACAAAGCTACATCCTGTGCTAAAGGACAGGAATGCAGTTCACTAAGTAGAATGGTAGAATGCTTGCCTTGAGTCTGCAAGGCCCTGTGTTTGATCCCCAGCACTGGGGAAAAAATCTGGTACAAAGAAAGTCCTTTCTACCCCTCAAATAATAAAAATATATTATTCCCTACTCCTAAGCAATTTGTTCCTGTAAAACACTTGGAAAATTCAATGATTAGACTCAAAGATTTCAGTAGTGTTGCTGAGTTTTAAGGTTGTCTCCCTTTTTAGCACCCCTCTTCCTGCTCTGTATCACTCAGGATGCCACTGAAATAGCTACACAAGAGCACAGCTCAAGGGCCCTCCCCTCCCCAGGTGTGAAGGAAACAGTGCTCATAGGCCTTAATACTTTGGATCACCTGTCCAGGAAATAACTCGAGGTGCCATAATTTTGCCTTCAAAAGACATTAATTCTGCTTTGTTTTTCTAGACGCAGAGACCTGAAAATTTAAAGACCCAAACCAGGCCAAAATGATAACAAACTGAAAACATTAAAGTAAGTTTATCAGTTTCCCCTAAATTGCTAAATACGTGCCTGTCCTGACTAACCCAGTGTTCAGCAGAGTATAAGTGCTTACTTGCTGACACCTCTTCTTCTACCTGTACCTAGGTGTTCTACTTTACTGGTGGTAGGGGACAATTCACCTGCTGTTGAGGCCGTGGTAAGTATATACTGATGTGAGGAGGACTGTGTGTGGCATACCGCTGACACACTGGAAATTGGGTAAATACTGTGCTGTGCTGTGTGTAGTTGTACCTATCAGGTTTACTGTTAGACACTTCGAAAGTCCTCACCAGTCACCAGGTCTCATCGGGGTAGATCGGTGTGGCCCTTGATGTCTTGGTGTGCCACAGTCCACTCTGTGGCAAGTAGTACAGTGAAACACTATTTCCTGTCCTTTCTACCCCTCAAATAATAAAAATATATTATTCCCTACTCCTAAGCAATTTGTTCCTGTAAAACACTTGGAAAATTCAATGATTAGACTCAAAGATTTCAGTAGTGTTGCTGAGTTTTAAGGTTGTCTCCCTTTTTAGCACCCCTCTTCCTGCTCTGTATCACTCAGGATGCCACTGAAATAGCTACACAAGAGCACAGCTCAAGGGCCCTCCCCTCCCCAGGTGTGAAGGAAACAGTGCTCATAGGCCTTAATACTTTGGATCACCTGTCCAGGAAATAACTCGAGGTGCCATAATTTTGCCTTCAAAAGACATTAATTCTGCTTTGTTTTTCTAGACGCAGAGACCTGAAAATTTAAAGACCCAAACCAGGCCAAAATGATAACAAACTGAAAACATTAAAGTAAGTTTATCAGTTTCCCCTAAATTGCTAAATACGTGCCTGTCCTGACTAACCCAGTGTTCAGCAGAGTATAAGTGCTTACTTGCTGACACCTCTTCTTCTACCTGTACCTAGGTGTTCTACTTTACTGGTGGTAGGGGACAATTCACCTGCTGTTGAGGCCGTGGTAAGTATATACTGATGTGAGGAGGACTGTGTGTGGCATACCGCTGACACACTGGAAATTGGGTAAATACTGTGCTGTGCTGTGTGTAGTTGTACCTATCAGGTTTACTGTTAGACACTTCGAAAGTCCTCACCAGTCACCAGGTCTCATCGGGGTAGATCGGTGTGGCCCTTGATGTCTTGGTGTGCCACAGTCCACTCTGTGGCAAGTAGTACAGTGAAACACTATTTCCTGTGAGATTTCTGGCTCACAGCCTTCCACCTGGAGTAAGTTCCCACCATAAATCCAGCGGCTTGATGGCTGCTGAGAGCCTGTGACCCTCCCTGCCTCTTTCTGAAGTGCTCAGCACACTGACAGCAGTGGTTGAAGCACATTGCTAGAAGATGCTCATGGCAGATAGTGTGAAACAAAGCATTAAAGTAGAATGGGGAGTCATGATCCTGTTGCCTAAAGACAAACTATTTTCCTTAATGTATCAAGCCAGGCTTGGAGGCCAGGTTACTCAACACTCCTGACAGCCTGTTTCTGTAATGAAACATGCAGAATGTTCAGCAGTCTTGAAGGTGTACCGTTATTGACTTTATTCTCCTGTGTGTAATTTCTGAGTTTACACCACCTTTCCTGTTGCTTTTGAGAGTCTTTATAGTCTTTGACTGAATCTGTGGTTATTTCCTTCAGGTATATTTTCAGAAGTGAAGCTGCTGGGTAACAAATCATAATAAACCTAACCAGATGTTGCCTCAGCATTCAGGGTTAAAGGAGCATTTGCTAAGCATGCACATGGCCCCAGGTTCAATACCTAGCATCAAGACACCCAAAAATATTGATGGATACAGAAATTACTTCCCCAAAACATTTGAGGTCCCCGCCTTCATGGATAGACAGGTACACAATCCCACGCATGGAGATGCACCAGGCTGTCATCCTTAATTATGATGCACACAGCGAGAGAAGAATCACAGAGGAACTCAGCTTTGTCCTTAGAGCCAAAGACTCTGAGGCAGAAGAGTCAAGGGATAAGGGATGGCAGGCCCAGAGAGCTTGAGCAAGCAGGTGGGGGAGGTGCACAGGCTCAGATGATAAGGCCAGCTGGGCTGGGAAGGCATTGAGGAGATCCAGCAGGGCAGGGCTATCATCCAGTTCACTTCTCAAAGAAGGAAGGTACCGTGCTCACGTGTTATATAACCAATAGGAAGAATCTTTAGGTTCAGCATGCTGTTCTTTAAAGAATAAGAGATCCAGGACCGGATGTGGTGGCGCACGCCTTTAATCCCAGCATTCAGAAGTCAGAGGCTGATCTCTGTGAGTTCAAGACCAGCCTGGTCTACATAGTGAGTTCCAGGACAGCTGGGGCTACAGGGAGACCCTGTCTCAAAAAGACCAAAAGAAAAAAAAAAATTCAGAAGATGAAATTGCCAGATATTTATTTATTTATTTATTTATTTATTTATTTATTTATTTATTTATGTAGTGTGTGTATGTATACATGTGGAGATCAGAAAACAACCTGCAAGAATCAGTTCTCTCCTTCCATCATGTGGGTTCTGGAGATCAAACTCATGTTATCAACAAGTGCCTTTATCCACTGAGCCATCTCTCCAGCTAATTATCAGATTTTTAGATACACTCTGAAATAGCAGGTAAAACAAGAAACAGTTAAAAGCCATTGTGTATTTTGGTGATCTTTGGCCAATTTGGCCACTGGCAAATTGAGCTGTTAATCTTGTGGGATCATTGTGATACTAAACTAGACCTGGATTTCATGGCACTTTATGAAGTTGTTTTCTCTCTATTTTTTTTAAGGTTGAATGTAATTCTCGTCTTGACCCTAGGCACACAACTTTGCTAAAGGTAATGTGCCTCTTGTAACTCTCAACCACTTTGTGAGTTAACGTGTTCAAATTAGAGCATTTTCTGGAATGGTCGCATAGTGATGCATCTCCATATGAGTATGTCATTCTCTGCTTTAAAATTATTTCCTTAATATAGTTTTTTCTCATATAAAAATGAAAAATAGGAAAAACCAGTGAATAAAAAAATTTAATTGTTCATAGTACTAGTACCAAAAGATTATATATGGTAAAAAAATTGATATCTTTTCTGTACCATTTTATAGTATTAAGATTGGAAGCTATTTATAGTTCCATGTTTGTTTTCCTCACGTTAATGACACAGGCATTTCCCCAGGTCATAAAACACTGCACAGGGCTGGGCATGGTGGCACACTTCCTAAGCCTAGAGATACAGAGTTGGTAGAGTGCTTGCCTAAGGTGTACAAAGCCCTGGGCTCAATCCTTAGCACTGGTAAACTGAACTGGTGGTACCTACCTGTAATGCCAGCATGTGGGAGGTGGAGTCAGGAGGATCAAAAGTTCAAGGTCATCCTCAGTTACACAGCAATTTTGAGGCTAACCTGGACTACATAAGACCCTGTTCCCCCTTCTCCAAAAAAATAGTTGCTGTCTACTTAAGAAATAAAGTGCATGTATCCTAATTACCAGAATATTCTTGTAAGCTTTATTGCCCATACAGCAAGATTGAGATTGTAAAAAAAAGATTCCATCTAATTCTCTCAATATTGGATAATATTATAAACATTTTTTTCAGACAGGGTTACCCTGTAGCTCCAGCTGGCCTGGAACTTGCTATGTAGTCCAGGCTGGCCTCATGAGATTCCCCCTGCCTCTGCCTCCCAAGTGCCAGGCTTAAAGGTGAATGCTACCATGCCAGGCCTCGACAGCAACTCTTGACCTAAATTTCTAGATGAATATTAAGATTCTCCATTTTCGAGTGTCCACCAAACAGGAGCTGCAGCCTAACATTGTCTGAACCTAGCTTTGCTAATGTGGTTAGAAAACTGACTTGTTGCCTCCTGCCTGGACTACTGGAGATTCAGGTGCTGGTCTGCTGCTTACTGCCCTGGTTTCCACCTGCAAGATATTTACCTTTTTCTTTCTGTCTGAAGTGTACCTGAAAGGGAAGCACTGTCACTGGGAGCAATCACACCACAGGCTCAGTGCTCTGAGGCAGGGAGGCTCACAGTGCTCTGGGATCCAGATGATTAATGGGCTTGTCTAAACATGAATTAAAAGTTTGTGCTTTCAAATTAGTTTTTCATTGTAGGTTTGAATCAATATCAAAAACCACAAAACATAACTGTACAATAGCCATAGATGAGGTTATTTCTGGGTACACAGTCCCATCCACAGTAGCATGGAGCAAGGCAGATCACTCCTGTGGCAGCCTGATGAGACACTGAATTATTTGATGGGTATTAATGTATGATATAGTGTCTCCTGGGGCAGGGAGATGGCTCGGTGGGTACAGGTACTTGCCACTCAGGCTTCACAGCCTAAGTTTGATTCTCAGAACCCACATGAAAGAGGAAGGAGAGAACCAACTCTACAAAGTGTTGGGAGCTATTAGTATAAGCACAGCCATTATGTATGTTGAGCTGTGGCAGGCTTGCTTGTTTACTTTATGATCTTTCACCTTGACTCAAGAGTTTGTGTGTTTTGCACACCAGTACTGAATTGTTCTGCCAAGTCAGGAGGAATGTGTTGATAACTTAGGGAAGATGGTTAAATGGTGGAATTCACAACAAGTATTTGACCGTTCCCTGACCCTCAGATAAAGGTGGTAAAAAACAGCTGTTGAAGCTAATTGAGCTAAGCAAACGGTGGCTGTCTGATGTTCTACTGTATAAAAAGGCCAAGCAAAATAAACCGAGGCAGCAGTCTCTACTGACAGTCCTCCCAAGTATCCTTTCTCTATCTCTTGTTTTTCTTTCATCCTTACTCCCCCTTTCAGGTGCTGTTCATCTTAGCTGGCTGGCACCGGCAACAAAGTTGTCTTGACCTGCACACACTCACCATTTCATGTACTCCCACACATGTATCACACACACAAATAATAGATTAATTAAAAAAAATAGTTTCTCCTGGGCTAAGAAGGTATTCCAGTGATAAAATGTTTATCTCGGGGCTGCAGAGATGGCTCAGCGGTTAAGAACACTGGTTGTTCTTGCAGAAGACCCGGGTTTGAATCCCAGCACCCACATGGTAGCTAACAACTGTCTGTAACTTCATCCAATGGCCTCTCTGTCCTCGCGGGCATTGCACAACATGGGTGCACTTACCTAGAGGCAGGCAATACATTCATACACATAAAAATAATAAAATATTTAAAAAATGTTTATCTCGAGTGTGTGAGGTCTTGAGTTTGGTCAACAACAATGCAAAATCAGAAATAAAGCATATAGCACTGTCCAGTATTCTCTTTATATATGGGGACTTATATGCATCTAATCAGGGTTTAGGTCCTAAACTTCATTAAAATAAAGCCTGTGCCACTTAGGTCTATTAGATATTCGTGAGATTAAATATTGCTCACCTTAGTCCTTGAATTATAAGGTGACTGTTCTTGCTAATCTCATACTTTGGTGCGGTGTGGTAACTGTATGTGTTTGTATGCCCACGTGCCTGTAGGTCCATGTGCAGATATGGGGGGCAGCACCGAGCTCAGCATCAGGAGTCTTCCTTGAGCATGCTCCACCTTTTGAGACAAGGTCTCTTGTTGACCCTGGAGCTCCTCAATTACACTAGGCTGGCTCATTAGTGGGCTCCAGAGACAGAGCCACCTGTCTCTGACCGTTTCCCAGCACTCCTGGCTTTTATTTTGGTGCTGGGGATCTGAACTCTGGTTCTCATGTCAGCATGGCAGGCATTTTATCAAGCGAGCTACATCTACAGCCCCAATTCACATTTTTATACCTTCTGTGGCATTGCCCTATCTTAAATAATAGCCCCTCCTCCTTTTTTTCTCTTTTTGTCTTTTTGAAACAGGGTCTCCCTGCAGCCCCAGCTGGCCTGGCACTCACTATATACATCAGATTGGCCTTGAACTCACAGAGATCCACCTGTCTCTGCCTCCCCAGTGCTGGGATTAAAGGTGTACACCATCATGCTTGGCTAATAATAGCTCCTTTTAAAGAAGGTTGTTTTTTAAATTTTATTATTTTTATTTTATGTGTATGTGTGTATTGCTTGCATGTAGGTAAGCACACCCATGTGCAATACCCGAGGATTTCAGAAGAGGCTGTCAGATCCCCTGGGTCTGGAGTTACAGACAGTTGTTAGCTACGATGTGGGTGCTGGGATTTGAACCTGGGTCTTCTGAAAGAACAACCAGTGTTCTTAACTGCTGAGCCATCTCTCCAGCCCCTTAAAGAAGGTTTTAATTCTGGCAATGAAACCTGAAGATTCCTGTCACTTTAAGTAGAGGGAAGTCAGCTGATTAGACCCCTCTCTGAGGTCACAGAACAGCTGAAGAGGCTGGTTTCTGTTTGGCCACCTTGCCCTGGGAACCTTCCCATGCACAGACTAGCAGGCTCTGCCTCTCTGGCAGTGTTAGGAATGCAAGTTCTTGAGCCTTATCACAACAGACCTATTGACTCAATTACCTAAGACAGTGACCAGAAATCAGAGTTTAACAGGGAATTCCAGTGCACACTAGTGAAACTCTAGGACAGCCCAGTGAAAAGGCTTCAGAAGTCAGGAGCCCACCAGATGCAGCTAGGGAGGACAGGACCTGACCAGGGAGTTGGCGGGATTCGTTGAGATGACTCCCCTTCGTCATGGGCCGAGGGCAGTGTGGAGGTGAAAGGGGATCAGAAAGCAAGGCAAGGTGCACATGCCTCTATTCCAGCTACTCGGGAGGCTGAAGCTGAGGGTCACAGATTGAAGCACAGTCTGAGCAACATAACAAAACCCTGTCCCCTACTTCCTGGGGTGTGTCGGGGGTTCTCAGAAAGCGTGAAGCACTGAGAAGTCGGGACAGGCTGTTGAGGGCTCTGAAAGTAAACTTCTTTGGGTGCAGGCAGAGCCAGGGTGAAAGTGGTGCTTTACTACATCACTGTCAACCCGACAAGAAACCCTGCACAGGCCTGAAAGCCAGGCCCAGCATCTTGTGGAGGAAGAAGCACTCTGAAGCATCCTCTCAGGCTTCTAGCCAAGGTCATTGCTAACACTTAAGACTGTGCATTGTGTACTGAAGGGATGCAGCGTGGATGCAGCTAAGCATTAAGGAACTCAAATTCATTCCTGACCCCTTTGAAAGACTTGGCATGTTGAGAACATTGGCCTTCTGGAAGAAGCCCAGGCTGACTGTGATATTTTGCTGACTGTGATATTTTTCCTCTTCTAGATGGCAGACTGTGGAGGACTGCCCCAAGTCGTTCAGGTAAGAAAGCTCCTGCTTTAATGCTCCTTCTTAAGTCAATATCTCTCTCTCTCTCTCTCTCTCTCTCTCTCTCTCTCTCCTCCCCCTGCCCCCCATCTGCTACCTCTCTACCTCTGCAAAGAATAACACCTTCTTGTTTTGTCCCCCAGCCTGGGAAGCTCACTGAGGCCTTCAAGTACTTTCTGCAGGGAATGGGCTACAGTGAGTAGTATATACTTTCTAGTTAGCTAAGATTTATGGGTAATGGTATTAGTTTAACATCTGAGAGGCCACAATTATCAGGATACAACCTGTCTCCTAGTGAGCCTTGAAGTAGATAACAATAGGTTGTAGAGAATTCATCCATTACATTTAAGTTAGACTGACACTCAACAGTACTTATATTTGTCAGACAGCACATGTGGGCACAGACAGCAGCCCCACTATACTGAACTTAAACTGTAAAACATCTTCCTACTCGCTGAAGGTTTTGGTGACCAATATAGGTTCCCAAAGCCACCTTCCTAATCACTGTATGAATGGCCTGGGCACAGCTAAAAAGCTTTACTCTCTCCTTCGGGTTTCCCAGCCTGCTCTGGAGTATTATCTGGAGTGAATCCAGACACAGAGGATCAAAGCAGCCTTACATACATTCACTCACCTAGAGCAAATAGTTCAACCTGGTTGTCACCTCAGGTGGGATGGGAAAGGGCAAGTCTTTGGTGAACCTTGTAGGTTAGCTGAGCTTTATGAGGCTCCTCTGTCTAGTCTTTCGGTTCTTTGTTACAGTACCATCTGCCAGCATGACCCAGCTCCCCCGATCACGAGCCTACTCCACCCTGAGTGACATCAGCTCTGGACAGATTTATTTCAGCCAGCCTGTGACCAGCAATCTGTCAAATGGAACTCAAGAATCCTGTAGGACCCCCAATGTCCTAGACAGACACCAGACCATGGAGGTCTCCTGCTAAGCAAATACTCTTCCCTGGACCATGCAAGTCCCTCTTCCTTCAAATGACCACTCCATAATAGAACATTTCATCTTGTCAGCTGGCCTCTACTTTCTTTTACTCATGCATGGCCACAGAACCTCTCTCTAGTAACCTGGATTTGTCATTCTCTGCCTACACCCCTTTTTTATGTACCAAGAACCACACCCATGCCATTACTGTAACATTCTAATGTATTTTAAATTTATTTTTACATTTGTTTATTTGTACATGAGTGTGAGTGTGTATACATATGTTGCATATGCAGAGATCAGAGGACAGCATTTACAAGTTCTCGCCTTCCATCCTGGGGATCCAACTTGGGTTGTCAGGCTTGACAGCAAGCACTCTTACCCACTGAACCATCTCACTGGTCCCACATTCCAGCATCTTGAGCAGATCTGATCTCCCTATGCTCCCTCAACTATGTATCTGATAAGATTCTTTGACTCCCAACTACATGTGTGTGCAAGCATATGTGTCTGTGTCTGTGTGTGCATAGTTCTGTGATTTTAGACATGCTTTCTTGTAGGGCTTCTGCACAAATAACAAAGGGACTTTTTTTGCATTCTTGGTGGTGTTTTTAAGGGAAAGATGCAGAGCAGATATCTAGGTGATTTAGGACACAAGATTGGTTTTGGTTCCATGTGGGCAACAAGATTTGCAGAGTGAATTTAGGAGAGAGCGGGTCTGAGGAAGTGGGACGTTGTAATTACTGGCCAGACCATTGATTATGACCAGTTCCATAGATAGGCAGGCAGGGTGGCAGCCGCCTTCTCTGTCCAAATGGATCCATATCTGCTATTGTGTAAGTAAAGGAGAGAATGCGGCCTGCTGGAAGCCCCTGAGTGATGAGGTCTGCTACACCATGGAGTTTTCTCCAAAGGAGAAGCCTAACTGTTAGATTCTCTTAGCCCAGGAAGATGGAAAACAAAACACCCAAGGTCCACTCTGCAGAGCAAAACTACTGTCCCTGCAGCATCTGATACCACTTACCAAACATGCCCATGTCTGTAGGAAGTGCCTCCCAGGTCTGTGATGGAGAGCGGTTCTCCATCCCTCAGTCCCAGTAAAGGGAGGAGTATGGCTCTGACCTACACACGTGGGCTGTGGCACCCATACCCCCCACCCCCACAGAGAGAGAGAGGAGAGAGAATAGAAATGTTCATGATGCAGGTGGCTGCAGCAGAGCTGTATCTCTGAGTCTCCGGATACCCTCACATTAGTCTGATGAACTTCAGAGGTGTCTGGAGGTAGGAGTTAGAGGGGGAGTCACACCAAATTCTCTCCAACAACCTTATTTTTAATTTTTATTTTATGGTAATGAGTGTTTTGTATGCATGTATATAAGTGCACCACCACAGAGGTCAGAAGGTATCAGATCACCCAGAACCTGAGTTTCAGATGGTTCTTAGCCACCATGTGGGTGCTAAGGTTAGTGCTCTAACCTCTGAGCCATCTCTCCAGCCCCAACAACCTTGTTTAAATTAATAAATAGAGCTTACCTTCCTTACAGAAAATATGCCACCACTGCAAGTCCTTTAACTGCATGCTAAGTGACCAAGAAGTTAAAGATCCAACCAACCTTCCCAGGAACAAGGGAAAGACTGAGGGAGTTTCCAGAAAAGGCCATGGTATCTGAACTAGACTCAAGTGTTTCAGCACGACGGGCCATTTGTGGTAAAGTGCAGCTGCTGTCGGGCAGGCAGGGGGTAGGTGTGTCCAGTATAGTGGACCAAGGTCCAGGAAATTCTATTGGATTTTGTATAGCGTGTTTAGGAGTTTCAAACTTAAGCATGCATCAGAATCACCTGAAATACTTATAAAAACTTTGGGATTAGATGCTAGGCCCTAGCCAGATGTTTCTGATTCAGCAGGTCTGAGATGAGTGTGCATGCTCAAATTCCCCCAGATAACACTGAGGCTGCTGGGCTGGGCCCACACTTAGAAGACCACTCTCCAAACTTTTTTTGGTTTTTGGTCCTTGGATTCAAACTGGGGCCTGGAGTGTGCCAAACACACATCTACCTCTAAACTTCACACCAGCTCCCAAATCTGGATTTTCAAAAGCTAGTCCCCACACCAAGATGGGCATCACCTACAAGCTTGTTAGAAATGCAGATTCTTTTTTTTTAAATTACATTTATTGTGTGTGTGTAGGTCAGAGAACAACTTGTGGAACTCTTTCTACCATCAAGCCCTGGGATTGAATTCAAGTCATGAGACTTGTTGACAAGCACTTTTACCCACTGAACATCCCATCGGCTCAGAAATGAGCGGCACTTCAGAGTCACAAGATCTGTAGTTGAGCAAGATCCCAGGTGATTCCTATACCTAGGCTTCCTCTTTGGCTACCTGGACTCAGAAACTGTGAGAAGATTCCAAAAATCGCTAAGGTTGAGTGCTCTGGTGATTGCTGTGGTCAAGCCCTCACAGGAAACTCTTGCTCACCCCTCTGCATCCTTGGACCAGATCAAGACACAAAAGCCTGCATCAGGCTCGGGAAGAGCAGCAGCTGCTCCCCATAAACAGGAAAAGGGCAAGGTGGTGCCTCCATGGTCTGCAATACTGTCAGAGGAAACAGAGGCGGAGAGAGTGGGGAGGTTGTGAGAACCACAGTCTGCAGATGGGAGCTGGAGCTCTGAGGCGCTGCACCTGTGTCTGCACAGGGCTCAGATCTCTGGGCCTTACTCTCTGGCCCTGCTGAACTGGGGAGGACTGCCCAGTCACTTCCCTGAGGAACAAAGGATCCTGCTCCAGTTGTGTGGAGATAGCTGACCACTGACAGACTTAGCTACCGAAGCCTCTTCTGAGTAAGTCTGATGATCCTCTGGGCTCAGATCTGGATGTCCTAGGACCCAAGATATTGGCCAACTTGCAGAAAGGGCTGGCAAAGTTCTGACCTATCAGGCTAGCTTGAGAATTAGCTGAGCGCTCTCACCAAACTTCTGATGACAAGAAACTGGTAAGTATACTGGCTTTGTTTTCTGACGGAGTTATGGCAGGTGAGAAAAAAACGGTCCCTTTGAGATTGGGAGTGGGCCTTATTTGTAGTTAAGAACAGGGCCTGGTGGGGGAGGGCTGTAAAAGGTTTCTAAGGTTCCATAGAAACAGGCTGCTTTCCCCTCCTGACTGCCTCCAAGAGACTTGCATTCTTTCCAGCATGTGCTCCTGTGCCTGCTGGCCCCTTCCAATCTGTCTACTTGGCCATGTGGACTATTGGCCTCTGTCTGGGTCACAGTCTTAGGTCACTGAAGAAGACTCTGGCTTTTCCTCAAAGACAGTCAGCTGTAGCATCTACGGTTGCTCTTACAGGGTGAGATTGTAAATTTGAAAAGGGAGTAAGGCTATGGGTGGAGTTCACTGGGCTCCTGAGCTCTGTTCTCAGATGTAAAGCACAAGGATGTCATTTGTGGATTTGATCATTGCGTTGAAAATGGAATTCAGCTGAAACAAAACAGCCTGGGCAGTGTGCAGTGTCTTCGGGCCTTTGCCAGCACTCTTTCCACCTCCTTACCCAGATACTACACACAGTGCCTAGCACATAGTTACTCAGACAGATGTGCAAAATGATTTGATCTTCTGAAAATCTGGCCAACTCCTGCCTGTCCTAGACCTCTGTGCCACTGCTTGGGCCTCATCTTCCCTAAGAGTTTCCTAGCCTTGAACACACCAGGAAGTGAAGGTTGCAGAGTGCTGGAGCGAGCAGGTCCCCTGTGGCCCTGGGCCCTGGAGGCTGTGGCCTTGTTAGACAAGCCTTATCCCTGTCCAAGCTCCTCCAGTTCTGTCAACCCTGTGGAATCAGTATTATGATTTTTTTTGGTATTTTTAAAAAATATTTTATTATTTTTATGTGTATGCGTGTATTGCCTGTGTAGATAAATGCACCCAGGTCATACAATGCCGCAGAGGTCAGAAGAGGGTTTCAGATTCCCCTGAAACTGGAATTAAGGACGGTTTGTAGCCGCCATGTGGGTGCTGGGAATCAAATCCAGGTCCTCTGCAAGAGCAGTCAGTGCTCTTAAGCACTGAGCCATCTCTCCAGCCCCATAATTTTTAACTGTGTGTGTGTGTGTGTCTGTCTGTCTGTCTGAGTGTGTCTGAGTGTGGGTATGTACATGTGAGTGAAAATGCCTGCAGAAACCAGAAGAGGGCATCTGATCTTCTGGAGCTGTAGTTGCAGAAGATTGTAAGCCACCCAACTTGGGTGCTAGGAACTGAAAGCAAGTCCTCTGCAAGAGCACTGTTTGCTCTTAACCACTGAGCCATCTCTTTTGCCCCAGTATTATGATTCTTCATTCATAGGAAACACTCTGCAAGCTACATGCTTTGCCTAAAGTCAGACAACTGGCCTATGGCAGCCATAAAGTCAAGCATTTAACGTGGACCTCATACTCAAAGGGGCCAGCAAGGTTGGAGGTATCAGGCCTGTGAGCCAGCTGAACTGGAAGCCACCCTGGCAGTGAACAAATCCCAGCCCTTCGGAAGCAGCAGCACCACCTTCACCAAGGCTGCCAGATCTCCAAAGTCAGAAAGTCCCTGACGAGAGCCAACACCAAGGGCTAGACCTGTTGGTTACTCAACTTTGTCTCTGTGTATACTGAGCCTTCACATAGAGGCAACAGAGTCAGGTTGTATCTCTCCAACTGATGACATGGAGCTGCATAACAGCAAGGACAGGGCCTGGGACAGGGTGGTCCATCCTGCTAGGATGGGTCTCCACTCAGAGGGGATTGACCCAGGAGGCAATAAACGGCATCCTATGGCATTGACGGACAACATCTATCCAGGTAGTGTGAGGCCCAAGGAGAAGCAAAGTGCCCACTACGTCCGCCCATCATACCATCCTCCATTGGACCCCTGCCTGACAATGTCTATCACAGGGCAGGAATGCATTGAATACCAGGCATATGGGACCAAATAGGTGAAATTACTCCTTGCCCTACTGAAAACAATGAGACCATCTGAAAAGAAATACTCAACACCCTTCACCATGGTACTTTTACAATGTGGGACAATTAGCCTTACTCTAGAAACCTAAGGATTCATTTAGTCTGAGAAAAGGACACCTGTTCACTGTTAATGTGTGTTAAGGGTCTTTTGGGATTTCATTGAATGCTGAAGACAGAGGCACAGGACCAAACAGGGCATGGTAGTAGTCACAGGGCTGAGGTAGGGCTTGAGCCCAGGAATTTGGGAACAGCCTGAGGAATATAGCCTCAAGTCCATAGTCTCATTAAAAAAAAAAATCTTTAAGAGGGGCTGGAGAGATGGCTCAGCAGTTAAGAGCACTGACTGCTCTTGAAGAGGACTTGGCTTTGATTCCCAGCACCCACATGGTGACTAACAACCACCAGTTCCAGGGGAATCCAACATCCTCTTCTGACCTCCATGGACATTGCATGACACAGGTGCACTTACACACATGGAGGCAATACACTCATCTACATAAAATAAAAATAATAATTAAAAAAAATCTTTAAGAAATGAATACATAATTAAAACTGGAAAGAACACAACAGCAAATGAAAAAAGAGGAAATCCTGGGAGAACTTGTAACTAGGGACATTCGGGACCAGAGCAGAAATGCAGTCCCAGGCCTGGCTTTCCAGGGCCTTATCTGTGAGACCCAAATGTTGGGTGTGCTTATCCCCACTTCTCAGTTGAGGAAAAGAGGCACCAAGAAGGGAAGTGGCACCACTACCAGTCCCTCAGAGCCTTGCAAGTCACCACTATGTCAGACAAACTGACCTAGACCCCAGCAATCTGACCCTGTGTTGAGTGTCACCTTTGCTGTGACTCCATTCCCAACCCCCTCCACCCTCCCTCACCCATCTAACCCTGGTCATGACTCCTAGCTGCCTGTAGACACTCAGTGTATTGTCACTGTCCCTGCCACAAGTGGCAGAATGTGAGCTCCAGTCTGAAGAATGGTTCTAAGTGGGTCACGGGAATTCAAGGGAGGATTAGCACGTGCTGAAGATTCCCAGGAAGCTTCCTCAGTAAGGCCCAAAGGAAACGGAAATGGAGGACAGGCTATCCCGTGGGAGGGGACTCAGGCAAATACCCAGTAAAGCACAGCCATAGCCTCTGAAGGGTGGGATACAGGAAAATAGCCTCCAGCTCATCAGCAGTCCCCGGACAAGAGCTAGGGCTTAGTCCTGATGGGAGGGGTTATTCTCCTGTGAGGGCAGAGTATCTGGATCCAGGCTGGGAGCCATGGGCCCTGGCCCCACAACATCCCTTTTAGGTTTCTCTCTACAGTGTGTTTCTGAGAGTCTGCTGAGGAACAATGGGAAGTCTGCCCAGCAGAGAGAGAAGCCTGGCCAACACAAGCTCTAGTTCCAGCTCCTCTGGTCCAGGCCAAGGACATATGTCCACACAAGGAGGTAGGTCATGTCTCTGGGGCCACCAGGCCCTTCCCAGCCATCATGAGACTACACAAGCCTGGGCTTCACCACCACTGGCCTTCTTGGCCAACAACCCCAACATAGCACAAAGCTCCAGTGAAAGTCTACTGAATACCCTTCCAGTGAGCCAGACAGGGCTCCCCGCTTCTGAGTTTACAGTAGTGGTAAGCACATTAAAGAACCAAATAAATGAGGAAATATGGGGGGCTGGGTGTGGAACTCAGTGGCAGAGCTTCTGGTAAGCAGAAGGAGGCTGTGGTTCTGTTCCTACCACATGCATAAATTTTTTTTTAAGTTGGGCATCAAGCTAGCTGCAGTGACAGCTTAATTAGAGAATTAAGCCTCTAATTCCCTCATCCAGAAGGCAGAGGGAGTTTACAGATAGCCTGGGTTACATTGGAAGAGCCTAGATTTATTATTTTAGGTTAAAGCTATCTCATTAAAGAAATATCTTTGCAGAAATATCCAGACTGGTATTTAACCAAATATTATGTTACTTAAAATGCTATGTGCAACTGTGATGAATCCAGAAAATTAACCATCACAGATAATAAGGTCACCCAAACTCAGCAGCAGTTAGGACAGTATAGACCATAGGCTACGCTAAAGACTGCTGAGCCAAGATGTCTACACATCCAGGCTTGGCCAGGGGCTGTCCTCAGCCCCCAGATCTCCTCCCCATACCGTGGTGGCAGCCTCTTCCCTAATACCAGACTCCCCAGGATCATGACACCCTCACAGGAGTCCTTGGAGCCACCTCATCTGCAGGGAGAAGCCCGCAGGAAGAGACCTGGAAAGCACGCCAACCTCCCCTTTCACTCTAAGCCAGCTGCTGGCCCCAAGTTGCCAAGTCATGCTGGTGCTGCTGAGGGTGGTGAAGACCCCTGGCAGTGTACCCAGCCTCAAGGGAGCCTTTTTCTCCCCTCCATGCAGTTGCCAAGGAAGGGAGGACATTGCTCAGTGGAACTGCTTTATCTCAGCAGGAGTTTGAGTTTTTGGTAGCCCAGTCTGGGAACCATTTGTCCACTAGCTTTGCCTCCATCTTAAGCTTACTGAACTTACTGAGGGTGCCAAGCCATGTGACAGGAGCCAAGGACACAAAATGGACAAAACAGGCAATGCCTGCCCCAGAGACAGGAGATAAACCATCATTAGTGACCATTGTGTTAGATTTGATGACAGTGTTCAGGGATGCTGAGGATGTATGTGGTGAGGCAAGTCGGCAGACTTTCTGAGACAGTGAAGAGCGAAGGTGGGCCACCAGGCTGAGCTGGAGCCACTGGGGAGATTTGCCCTCTAGCCATGCAAAGCCACAGCTTTAGAAGGGAAGGAGCCTCATCCTGCTTCTTCGTTCCACCTTATTGAGGGCAACCTCCCCCAAAGGCATTGGGCATTCCCTGCTGCAGGCACATCAGGGCTGTGCTTCAGAGGGCTCTGGGTAGGCCTCAGACCCTGGGGTCTGAGGAGTGCCCACTGTAGGGAGTTCCTTGAACATGTGGGAACAGGTTCCTTCCTACCCACAGCAAAGACTTCAGTCCCCAGGGAATCTATGGATCCTCGTCCATTGGCTGCTTCCCCTACCCTCATTCCTGGAGTGGGGGGTAAGGGACGGGGTTCTCAGCTCCCTCTGGAGGGCATCCCAGAGTCCTGTGGGGCCTTGGCTAATTTCGGAGCTCCTTGGAGACAACCTTTCTTACTGGCTTTGGCTGCTACTCCTGGCCTATTGCTTCCATGTAGTAAGTATCTCTTTCAGGGAAATGACAAGGAAGGAAAGGGAGATGGGGCAGGTGGCATGGTTTTCAGCAGCCACTAGCAGGCCCCAAAGGCATAGGGAGGGTTTTTTTTGGGGGGGGTTCTTTTTGAGACAGGGTCTTTCTGTAGCCCCAGCTGTCCTGGAACTATGTAGACCAGGCTGGTCTTGAACTCACAGAGATCTGCCTGCCTCTGCCTCCCGAGTGCTGGGATTAAAGGCATGTGCCACCACGCCTGGCTTGGGAGGACTTCTTAAGACTGGGTGGGATGACCTGGGGTGCAAGTCCTGATTGTCCAGCCTCCAAATTGGACTTCATGTCCACCAAGTCCTTTGGAGAGTTTCTATTGTGTCTGGGGCGTTAGCCTCCATCTGGCTCCATGACCCAGGCCAGTCACTCCCCCATTGGAACCTCAGCCTCCCAGGGAGTCAGAGCCCTTCCTGCAAGGTGCAGCTGTCACCAGCCCCTCCCCACAACCTTCTTCCACAGCCTGGGCCTGTGAGACAGGGTGGCATGATGTAAGATTTATGCCTCTTCCCTTGCTAAGTGCCCCATCAGGGCTTTGAGACCTCTGCAGTGAGGATATAGAGACACTCACCTGGAGAGGGGGAGTGGTGAGGGCTAAGATGATGCATAAAATCTCAGGCAGGGCCCAATGTGCAGAGGCACATCCAGGGCTGGCAGGACCCTTAGTCACGTGTACCCATGCAGCACCTGCTCCAGGTGCTGGTTGTATTCGTTTGCTTTCTATTGCTATGATAAACTACTCTGACCAAAACCAACTTGGGGAGGAAAGGGTTTATTTCACCTTACAGTTTACAGTTCGTCATGGAGGGGAGCCAGGGCAGGAGTTCAGGGCAGGAACTGAAGCACAGATCATAGAGGAACTACTTACTGGCTTACTCCTCTGACCTGTGCTCAGCCTGCTTTCTAATATAATACAGAACCACCTGCCCAGGGGTGGCATCATTCACATTGGGCTGGGCCCTCCCACATCTCTTAGCAATCAAGAAAATGCCTTATAGACATGGCACAGGCCAATCCAATAGAGGAAGGAAATTTCTTAATTAGTTCCCTCTTCCCAGGTGTGTCAAGTTGATCACTGACGCTGTCCAGCACACTTGTGCTCTGTTACATCCATCCTAGCACTGAGTCACTGGGGCCCTGGGCTGAGCTGTGAGCCTTCCTGAGTTCCTTCCCTAGCTTCAAGAGCTAATATGCTGTCCATCAGAACATTCCAGAGGCCAACTCAGGCCCATGTTGATATGGGCTTATAGTCTAGGTGGTTTTTGTTTTGCCATAGTACCAGGGATGGAATCCAGAACCTTCGACATTCTAGGCGAGTGCCATACCAGTGAGCCACATCCCCAGGCCCAGAGCTGTAGGTTCCTAGTTTCACAACTGCAGAATCCCTTCATCAAAATCTCGTGAAGGTTATATACAAGGGGCACAGACAGCCAGGAGCCTCTTCCTGTAGATACATGAGCTTAAGGCCTCCATAGGGACCCTAAAAGCAATCTGGGCTCTCCCAAATTCTTCAGAGCCTGCTGAAAGAATTTCAGACTCCAGGGTGGCCTCCTGTAGGGTGCCTGTGGGAGGGTGAACAAGGGAGCCAGACCCATAGACTCCACTAGACCTGACCTCTGAAGGGAGGACTGGCCAAGAGAGTAACTGCCTCTATCCCTCCATCCAGAAAAGAAGATAGTCACAGCAGTGGCCCTGGGCAGTTTCCCGGCAGGTGAGCAGGCTGAGCCGTCTCTGAGACTGGGGGAGCCACTGACCATCATCTCTGAGTAAGTCCAAGGCACTGAACCCGAGATTGTACTACAGGAGAAGAGGCCCTCGACTACTAGCAGGAAAGCACAGGCCATTTTTTATTCCATTGTAAACATGACCCTGCGGTAGGTGCCAGGCAGCCTGATGTACTTACAGGGAGAGGCTGTAGGTCAGGCCTTGTAACAGGAAGCCTTGGAGCATTTGCTACCTGCCTGGCCCTGGCCAGTGAGGGGCCTGGGCAAACTAGTGTGAGGAATTCTGGGAAATGAGTAAGACAGGTGCTGCAGGATCCAGCCAGACAGGGTTCCTGCAAGCCCCAAATGAAGGAGGTGCCCTTCTGCATCTCTCCACAGGGATGGAGACTGGTGGGCAGTGCTATCAGAAGTCTCAGGCAGAGAGTACCATATCCCCAGTGTGCATGTGGCCAAAGTCTCCCATGGGTGAGTGCCTAGGCCAGCCTTCTGGACTTACTATATTCTCATACAAACCCTCTCTCTCTCTCCCCACAAGTGTTATCTTTATGGATAGCCATGTGCTGTTCAGAGTCTGGGCCCTGCTCTCCAGAGAAGCAGACCACAACCAGTCATGTCTTGCTCAGCTTGGCTCATGAGACTTGGGAGCCAAGAGGAGCCTGGGGAAGGCCCTGCAGAGGCAGTGTCGTGGTGTGGGCTTTGAAGGGTGGCCAAAATCAAGTGTGGAGGATGTTGAAGGGGACCCACAGGAGATGGGCATAGTCTATGTGAACATCCTGAGGTAGGAAAATGAGGGGCAATTCTTGGAAAAGTGAAGGCTTGGAAAGGATAGACAGTGGTTCTAGGGGCGGGGCAGTGAAAGGAGAGAGGCCTCTCCAAGGCCACTTGGGAATGCTGTCTCCAGAAAAGCTGAAGCTGACCCTTGAAACCTCTGGAGTCAGGACCCTGAGGACAGACCTGGGGGGCGCATCTCAGCCCCTGAGACCTGCTCTTTCTTCATGGTATAAAGAGAACTTTGGGGCCCAGGAAGCAAGGGAGGGACGATCTTGTCAAGGTCACATAGAGGGATGGAAGGATTCCATTAAAGCCTTCAGGCTTACCGGTCCTTGTCCTTTGTCCCCTCAGGTGGCTATATGAGGGCCTGAGCCGGGAGAAAGCTGAGGAACTGCTGCTGTTGCCTGGGAACCCTGGAGGGGCCTTCCTCATCCGGGAGAGCCAGACCAGGAGAGGTAGGTGCCCCTGTCCTCACCCAGAGGGACTTCAGGACAGAAGCCTATTAGAGGAGAGTGGTTCCTCACAGTCATCCATTTTCTGAGTCCAGGCAGGTCTTGCCTGTAAGGGGCCCTGAGGTGAAGCCAGGCTAAGAGGGCAGAGGAAAGACAGTTTACCTGGAACAACTGGGAGGCTTCGTGGTGTGGGGATCTAGCCTTGGAGTTGGGCCACGTTGTTTCCATGAGAGTCCTTTAACAGGGCAAAGTGAGACTGAATGTCCCAGCATTCACTCATAGGGATCCAGGCTTAGCCAACACTTTGGCAAATGGGATTTACTTTGACCAGCAGTGATGCCTTCCTTCACAAGTCATGGCATGATCTGATCTCTTGGCAAAACATTCATCTCAATTAAGGCTCCCAAGAAAGACCTAAGGGGAAATAATGTAGAGTTTGTCAGTCACAGCCTAAGGAGGCGATACATGGGCGTGAGGGCAGGCCTATGTTTGCCCTAAATTGAACCTACTGTAACAGTCTATAGTGGCCCAGGTTCTCTACCCACATTCTGCATGCCTTTGCCTCTCCTCCCCTTCTCTCAAGAGCTCTGTGGGTTTGACCTCTCCCCTTGCCTTTCCTACTAATTTCCAAGCAATATTGGTCCTTCACCTTCACTTACATCCATGGGCTGGATGGGGGAGGGGGCTGGCTGCGGTGCAGCAGCTGCAAACAGGAAACCTTAGTGGTGCTGCTGATTGGGACAGGCACCCTGCAGAATGACTTGCTGTGAGCTAGAAAGCCACAAGTGCTCTGTGCTCAGCTGCCCCACCCCACCCCTTCTCTGGCCTGGTGCTGCCCCAAGAATATAGTAAGCACCCCTTGCTGTCATCATTCTATCCCCCTTTACCAAGAAGGTGCACATATAGTGGGGAAACTCGAGTAGTGAAGGGGAAAGCCAACAAGGTCCACAGAGATCAAGGACCTATAGGCATCATAATCGCTGGGACCAATGTCCCTGTCACCAGTACCAAAAGGGAGCAATCAGAAGGCAATTCTGATTTAAAAAGAAAAAAGAGAGAGAGAAGACCTTGAGTAGGGTGTGGTGGTGCATACCTGAAACCTCAGCACTTGGGAGGTGGAGACAGGAGGATCAAGATTTCAACGTCATTCTCAAATACATAAACAGCTCAGAGTATGTGTGGTCTGCACGAGACCCTGTCTCAAACAACAAGAAAACTGGGCATGGTGGTGCACTAATTCCAACACTCAAAGGTCGAGGCAGGAAGATTATCTAGAGGTTCAAGGCCAACCTAGGCTATGTAGTAAGTTCCAGGCTAGCTGCTAAAGGTACAGAGTAAGCCCCTCACCTCAAAAACAGGGGTGAAATGGAGTGATGGCTCTGTCCATAAATTGTTTTTGTTGCAAGCATGAGGGCCTGAGTTTAATCCCCAGCACCCATGTAAAAAGCCCAGCATGTTGTGTACTTGTATATCTCAGCACTGGGAAGGCAGGACAGGCAGATCCCCAGGGCTTGCTATCCAGCCAGCCTAGCCTAAGTGAGCCCCAGGTCCCAGTGAGAGACCCTGTCTCAAACACAAGATAGACAGCTCCTGAGTAAGGACACCTAAGGTTGACCTCCATACACACATGCATACATATGCATCTGCACGCATGCATGCACACACACACACACACCAAAAAATTCTCATGCTAACCTTCTAGAATGGTTTCTATCTCCCTGGGCACTGACTGTGACCTCTCCTCAGGGCTTCTTTTGGGGCTGTGCTGGTTAAACTGTTGGGCATACCCTAACCTGAGCATAGAGATCACTTTAGTTCACTGCTTACAGACCTGAGGTTCTCCAGTCAGGGGTGCAATCACCTGCAGTACTGGTGAGCAAAGGGCAGTTGGGTGCATACCCAGCATGCTGATTCAGTAGGTCTGGGGCAGGAGCTGAGCCTGTTCCTTTCTAATGCTGCTGGCCTGTAAGCTCGCTTTGAGAACTAGACCTTGGCTGCACATTAGGGGAACTTTATGACCCCTAGATATCTGCACCCCAAGCTCAGTTTGATTTAATTGGTCAGGAATTCTGGGTTTTGGAATCTGAAAAAGCACTCACAGGTGGGACCCACTGGAAGGGGCACGTTTGTACAGAAATTGAGCAGAAACTCCAGGGCATGACTGTGACTGGGGGTACTGGTGCACCAGACCTGATTCAGATATTTAAATCTGGGTTAAAGCCTTGGGTTTACAGTGTTTATTTTTATTCTGTGGTTTGTGTTAAAAAAAAAAAAAAACAACAACCAAAATTGACACCAAAGCTCTAGGGACCCGAGTGACATTAGAGTGGCAATTCTCAGACCTGAATGCACAGGAATCATCAGGTTGTGCTGGACGTAGTTGACAGTGCAAGCTCTTGACCCCACCATAGATCTACTGGACAGGCTCAAACTGGGAGCAGAGGCCAAAAATCACCTTCTCTTGGTGGTTCTCTGTTCTCTTAAAGTGATAAAGAGGGCCGGGTGTGGTGGCACATGCCTTTAATCTCAGCAGAGGCAGGTGGATCTCTGTGAGTTTAGGCCAGCCTGGTCTACATAGCAAGTTGCAGGCCAGCTGGGGCTACAGGGAGACCCTGTCTTAAAGACCAAAAAAAAGTGATAAAGGAAATGGAATAATGAGACATCATTCACTGAATCTGGAGCTCACTTGGTTTTCACCCAGGCTAGCTAGCCAGTAAGCCCCAATAATCCTCCTGTCTCTCTCTACCCCAGTTCTGGGATTATTGGCAAGTGCAGCCACAACTGGAATTTTTTTTCTTTGGTCTTTGAGACAGGGTCTCCCTGTAGCCCCAGCTGGCCTGGAACTATGTAGACCAGGCTGGACTTGAACTCACAGAGATCCGCCTGACTCTGCCTCCTGAGTGCTGGGATTAAAGGCGTGCGCCACCACACCCAGCACAACTGGATTTTTATGTGGGTGCTAGGGGTCCAAATTCAGGTCCTCGTGTTTGAGCAGTAAGCTCTTATCTACTGAGCCATCTTCCTCGGCTTCTCCTCAGTTTTTGAGACATGGTCTCTCACTGACTCTGGAGCTTTCCATTTTGGCTAGAATGGCTGGCTAGTGAGCTCCAGGGTTCTCTTGTTTTGCCTGAATGTTATATACATGCAACTGTGTGGTACAATGCCTGCAGAGGCCAGAAGAGGGTGTCAGATCCCCTAGAACTGGATTTATAGATGGTTGTCAGCTATCATGTAGGTGCTGGGAACCAAATCCAGGTCCTCTGCAATAGCAGCCAGTGCTCTAACCGCTGAGCTATCTCTCCAGTCCTCACACTTGCCTTTGTTTTAATGTTTATTTTTATTGTCTTTTTGAGACAGTTTCTCTGTAGTCCCAACTGGTCTAGAACTTGCTACATAGACCATGCTGGCCTTGAACTCACAGAGATCCATCTGCATCTGCCTCTGCCTCCTGAGTGCTGGGGTTAAAGGCGTGCATCACCACATCCAGCGGCTTTTCTTTTTTAAATAAATCTTTTTTTAAAAAAATAAATCTTAGCTGGGTGTGGTGGCACACACCTTTATTCCCAGCACTCGGGAGGCAGAGGCAGGCGGATCTCTGTGAGTTCAAGGCCAGCCTGGTCTACATAGTGAGTTCCAGGCCAGTTGGGGCTACAGGGAGACCCTGTCTCAAAAAGATCAAATAAAATAAATAAATCTTAAAACTTTTTTATTTTATGAGTGTTATGCCTGCATGTGTATAAGTGCACCATGTCATACAATGCCCAGAGGACAGAAGAGGGTCTCAGATTCCCTGGAACTGGAGTTAAGGATAGTTGTTAGCTGCCATGTGGGTACTGGGATTCAAACTCCAGTCTTCTGTCTTTTAAGTACTAATTATTTATTTCCTTTCTTCTACATAAATTTATTTTCTATTATAAAATTGAAACTTAAATAATTAAAATTTTTTCTTCTAATGTAAGGATTTAAAGTCACATACGTACCTTTAGGCACTAGTCCCAGAAAATTTGGTGCCCCCCACCTCGTTTCTGAGTCCTTTGTAATTTTATAAACCTTTAGCCATTAAACCAAGATCAAACAACCTGCCAGAGGAAAGCAGCTTCACGAGGATACTGTAGTCATCAGAAATGACCTCAATGACTGTACTTGAGAAGCCTCTGCTCCCCACTGTCCCACATGGGTCCTCTGCTGTTCCCAAATGATCTGACAATGCCTCTTCTTGTGTAGCTGCAAAGTCCCAGGATGCAGTCCATCACTGCGGGAAGGCATGGAGGCAGGCATCTGAGGCAGCTGGCCAGATTGCATCCCCAGTTAGGAAGCAGAGAGATAAATACTCTGCTGGGTGTTTGTTTTTGGTATTGGGAACCAGCATGACAGGTAAGTGTTCTACCAGCTGTTTACCGTGGTCAGATAGAACTTGGGAGGCAGAGGTAGGCAGAGCTCTGTGAGGCCAGCTTGGTCTACATAGTGAGTTTCAGGCCAGGTAGGGCTACAGGAAGACCCTTTCTCAAAAAAAAAAAAAAGGAAAAAAAGAAAATAAAATAAAGGCAGTACATGCCTTTAGTACCAGTACTCTGACAGCACAGCAGAGGCAGGCCTATCTCTGTGAGTTGAAGGGCCAGTCTGGTCTGGTCTACATAGTGAGACCCTGTCTCAAATAAGAGAAATACTTTCTATATTTGCTGATGGTCTCTCCTTTGATAATATGGATTCTTTCCAATGTTTGCTTGTCTTATGTTGGGGCCTGAGCCATGAGCCTTGTACCTTGAACGTACCTCATCAGAGGTCATACATAAACCTGTTCAATTTTCTTTTTGTTACTAGTCTTGAATTTATTTCTGTGGTGGTCAGAGAATATAGTTTCAATGATTTCAGTTAATTTTTGAGAAAGAGTCTGTCTTTGAACTTTCTATATAGCCAGACTGGCTTAAACTTACAGCAATCCTCCTGCCTCAGCTTCCCCAAATGCTGGGATTACAGGCATGTACCACCATGTCCAGATGATCTCAAGCCTGTTAAATTTTTGTTTTTATGACCAGAATTACAATCTATTTTGAATATTCCATGTGTAATTGCAAGAAAACGTTGGGTTCTATGTCAAGTCAAATTGGTTGACTGTGTCACCCCAGTCTTCTACATCCTGGCTGCTTTTCTGTTCTATCAACTACTGAAGAGTGTCATAGTATCCAGTAGTTATGGATGTCAGGTCAGTTCTGTCAGTTTTCCTTCATATGTACTTTTAGTCACTGTAATTGATCTTTTTTTGTGTTCCTCTTTATCTTTGGTTATATTTCTGGTCATGAATTCTACCATCAGTTATTAATATAGTCAACTTTCCTGGCCGGTTCTATGATCTGTCTTTTTACTTTCATCTATGGTTTAATATGTGGTGTTTATAATCTCGTTAGGTTTTGCTTTGTAAAATCATTTGAAAATATGTGATTTATTTTTTATTTTTGCCATGCTTGGGATGGAGCCCAGGCTCTCACACATGCCAAGCAAGCACTTTACCATTGGGCTATACCCTCAAGTTTCCCCAACTTCTACCTTTTAATTGGTAGATCCCTTCCCTAAAGCAAGTGCTTCCTGAAACTGAGAAGTATCTTTAGTTTGAGAAACACTGTTTACATCCCCACTGACCCCACCTTGTGTTTTTAGATGAAGTTTTACTCTGTAGCCCAAGCTGGTCTCCAACTCTTGGATGAACCTCCTGCCCCAGGCCCACAAGTACTGAAATTACTGGTATGAGCTACCTCTGCTGGCCTGGAACTCACAGAAGTCCACCTACTACTGCCTCTGCCTCCTGAGTGCTAGGATTAAAGGTGTGCACCACCACGCCCCAGCTTATTTTGGTCCCAGAGGAAAAAACTGACAGTGTCAGTCCCTCTTCTGGTAGATGCCATAGTTTTCTCATCTGCGCTGCAGGGATAACTGAATCTACCTCACAGAATATTTAAGAGATAATCCATAGAAAGGCCATAGTAAGTACTCAGTAAGGAAAGGCAAGACAGCTTTAGATCAAGAGAGACAACAGGATAACAGAGTAGTGCTGTCCCTTCACTCAGCACCTCTTCCCATTTGGCACAAGAAATGAATCCAGGCTGCAGAGGCAACTCTTGGTACAGCATCTTCACTATAGCATATGCCAAGCTCTGGGTTTGATCCCTAGCACATTTTTAAAAGGGGAGGGGGGCTGGGGAAATAGCTGTTGATAAAGTGTGTGCAATGCAAGCATGAGGACCTGAGTCCAGTCCCCAACACCCATATAAAAGCCTGGCAGCTTGGTGCAGGAATGTATACCTGTGCAATGCCCTCAGGGATCCGAAGAGGGCATTGGATCCCCTGGAACTGGAGTTACAGTTGTTAACTGCCATTTGGGTCCTGGAAATTGAACCTGGGTCCTCTGCAGGAGTAGCCAGTGCTCTTAACTGTTGGGGACTCCTGCTGTGTAAAGTAGCAGTTTCTCCATGTCCGGAAAGCCCACGGGCTTGGATTCAAATGCAGAGACTCCTTTTCCAGCAGGATGCTTTTCTGGCATCTTCCTGACTCATCTTTTGAAGCAGCCATCACAGAAACATGGCCTCCGGCTCTGGAAACTGCCAGCCTTTCCTGTGTGATTTTCAGATAGTCTGGCAGCCTGGCAGGAGCCCACCTCTACATGTAAATAGGGTATCCCACAAAGTACCTATCAGCTAAGGTTTTTACTACCACCCCCACAGTATAAAGTATCCTGGTTTTTCCTCAATAATCGGAGCTGGATCACCGAGACCTGGAGCCAAGCTAAGTCACTGAATAAAGGGGCTGTACCACTGACTGAGCTGAGTTCTGTGTCTTAATGCCTACGATCCAGCTTCCCCGGGGGGCGCTATCCTTCCGATATCGACTCACGGAAATCCAGCTTGAGCCGTCCCGCACCTCTCCTCGAGACCCGGCAGCTGACGGGTCCCGAATTTAGAGAGTGTGCACGGGTGAAATTGGGGCGGAACTCGACCGGGCCAGCCCCGGTAGCAGAGACCCACCAGCAACGCAGAGCAGACGCACTGCGGGACCCGCCTCTTCCCAGGTGCGCGCAGGAGACCGGTGCCACGCTAGCAGCTGGCGCCCCGAGATTCCCCGCACCCCCATACTTAACCACCGAGGCATCTCTCCTGTTCTTTAATTTTAAATAGAATCATTCTGAATGTGTGCTCTGTAGCTTGTTTCTACTTACTACGGTAGCCAAGGCTGGCCTTGAACTCTTTATCCTCCTGCCTTCACCTCCCAAGTGCTGGAATTACAGGTGTGCACCGCTCTCTGCTCATTAGTTTACAGATTTTATTTATGCTTATGTGTGTAGTGGTTATCAGTGTGCTACACAGTAACACTGCATTCTCTAGTCCACCGTTCTTTGTGTATGGTTGGGGACTGAGCCTGGGGTCTGTACATGGTAGGCAAATACTCTACCACTGAGCTACCTCCCAGCCCTTTGTTCACTACTGAGTTCAGACAGGCTGTTTGAAAGTGTGGTACTTATAGGGTACTGCTGTGAAGTTTTCTTCATATGTATCAAAGGTAGCTTGCCTAAGGTGGGGGCTGCTGGGTTTGGAGGTAAGCACACATGCTTGTCTGGTTAATGATAAACTCTTTCCAAAGTGGCTTTCTCTAGGGCCATGTCAACATCTACCTGACGCCTTTTCATTCTAACACTTCTGCCACCTAAGTCTTTATTCTAACAACCAACATTTAATGTTCATTCACAAGGGCCACAGAACCAACTCTTCTTTTACAGAGATACCACTTACCCTTTCCTCCTCAGGCTGTTACTCCCTGTCTGTCCGACTCAGCCGCCCTGCATCGTGGGACCGGATCAGGCACTATAAGATACAGCGTCTTGACAATGGCTGGCTGTACATCTCACCTCGCCTTACCTTCCCCTCGCTCCAGGCCCTGGTGGACTATTACTCTGGTATGGCTTTTTCTCTGTAGTGGACTGGATGAGGGGCCTAGGTGGTAACCAGTTGTGCCCTTAGATGCTTGACCTGCAGGGGTATATCCCAACAGAAGCAGCTTCCCTCTCTATCCTCATGCTGAGATGGGGGTGGGGGTGAGGGTACGAGCTGGGCCTCTCTATCCCATGCTGACAGGAGATACAGGCCAACTGTGAGCTTGGCCAGTACCTCACCTGCCATGGTGGTGGTTTGGAATCTAAGTTCCCAGAGTCCTCTCCACAGGAACTACACTGTGCTATTTCTGGGTGCAAGGTAGTCCTCTCCTAGTGTTTTCTAGTGCCTGTCCTGTACCCAAGGTAGTATCAAGGGGATAAAAGGGAAAACCTCTTTTGGGAAAATTGACTAGGAGTTTCTACAAGATTGCCCTATACAGTAGACCCTGACAGGGCTACAGGGTGATCATTCCTTAGCTTTCTTCCCAATATCACGGTGAACTATTACAAAACCTAGCCTGAAATGAACTCTTAACCATATCTCATTGCTAACCATGCCCAACATACCAAGTATGGAAAGCAGCCAGGGCAGGTGCCACATCAAGGATTTGGGTCCCTTCTCTTCCTTAGAGCTAGCGGATGACATCTGCTGCGTGCTTAGGGAGCCCTGTGTCCCAGAGAGGCTTGGCCCACTACCTAGCGAGGACATACCACCACCTGTGACTGTGCAGAGGTCATCACTCAACTGGCAGGAGCTGGACAGGTGAGGGGACCCCTGCAAACATGAAGGCAGAAAATAGGAAGGACCCACTCAGGGAGCCTATAACCCAGAATGGGCCTGTCACATCCAGGCATACCTGGGAACCAAAAAGCTATGCCCTCTAGAGCTCACTGCAGTGGAGGCCAAGGTATTGTCAGGGAAAAGAGGCACAGAGCCCAGGGTGTGAGGGTCAGAGTGGGTTCGGGAGATTCCTGAGGGAGGTCAAGGTGGGGTTTGATCTGACAAGAAACTGGAGGCCCAAGTTTGTTGGGAGTGGTGTGGCACTGTTCCAAGGGCTTCATGAACTGTGTGGTGAGCACAGAGGAAGTTGCTTCCTTACCTGCTCTCCCCCATCCACAGCAGCCTGTTTCTGGAAGCACCTGCCACTGGGGAGGCATCTCTCCTTAGCGAGGGGCTCCGGGAGTCCCTCAGTTCCTACATCAGTCTGACCGAAGAATTTTCCTTGGAGAATGACCAGTCTAAAGGCAGAAAACGAAAGGGGAACCAAGCCTGTAGCACCTAAAATTCCAATCCGGCTGAACCTGAATGCACACTCTGGAAACAAGGCTGTGGATGCAGAACGGAAAGCCGGGACATGGACATATGCAGGGTCCCACCCGGGCCCTCTGTGCAGCCTTCTCTTGGCTCTGCGCCACTTTCCTCCTCCCAAGGCTTTAACCCTGCCTACAACCTCTAGCCCACATGCGGCACAGTTCAAAGTAGGGATAGGTCTCCACAGTAAATGTCTTCTGGGGGTGTCATGAGTCAGTTCCTGGGAGTGAGTTCCAGCATGGCCTCTGTCCCCTGCTTGCTGATTCCCATCCCCCATCCCAAGAGTTACCCAGCCCTACTAACACAAAGGAGAAAATGAAAATTTTTAGGAATATTTACAAGTTTCATTCAGAAATCCACACACCTCAGTGGTAGGACAACAGCTCAAAGCAGCTGTGGCTTACCATGGCAGATCCTGGCTATCCAGCCTGCCCCTCACCCAAGCAGAGAAGGACCACTGACAATACAGATCTTTGAATGTCTCCTCCCATCAAGGCCCTTCTCTTGACAGCCTGAGCTCTCTATCTCATTTAGTGTAATATTCAAACATGGCCAAGCTCTCCCAACACCCTAGTTTTGCCATCTGGTGGCCAAATACAAAATGACACCTTTTGAGTCTAACACATTGTAGGCTAGTAACCACTCAGTGCATGGCCAAGGGCATCAAGTAGTAGATTCTTTACAATGCCTTCACCAATCTAGCCTGATTTCCCTGATGCCCCAAAAGAGAAAGGCCTAGGTTAAAGCTGCTAAGGGAGCAGGAGGGGAAGGAAGAGGGATGGGGTGGGAGGCACTATGCCTAATGCTCCCTACTAGGTTTTGAGGCCACAGGTGGGGTGGGGAAGGCTTTTACCAGGTACTGCCAACAGATTTTCAGTTAAAGACTTATTTATTCAAGTATCTGAAAACATTCTACAATGGAAACTGTTAATTGGATGGCTGCTTGTACTGTGCTATGGACCACGCACATGCTGTTTTCAGAAGACTTGAAATGCCACTGATAGTTTAAAAAAACTGTACACCTGATGGATAACCAAGGAAGGCAATGTTTCATCCGGATCCAGAGGTGCATCAGATTAAACAGCAGCTCCAGTTGGCAAATAGCTGTCACATGATGGTATCCAAGAAAAAATGGTTGGTAATGGACAAATTCAGAAATTCCTCCCCAAAGGTGATGGTTCTTTGAAAAGTTTCAATCACAACCCTTGCAGAAAACGCTGATTCTCAGTCCAGGAAACATGGTTCTTCTAGGTTCCACATGGCAGCGGTGTTCCAACAAGCATGTTTCTGTGCTATAATTAAAAGGGTCCTTTGGACTGGACAGGAAGCAGGTGGAAGCCGGACACCATCAGTCATAGTGGATGGCAGTGTAGAAGATGATCCAAATGACCTAGTGGGGAGACAAGCAATGTTTACGATGTCACCTGGATCAACAGAGGCCCCAAGTCCACAAAATGAAAACGAGACACACGAACATATAGATAGTACACTCCCCAAGGATATCAACATAATCTGCTAGGAAGTCTACGCAATTTCTCCTAAACCAATCCTATGCTCCCAGAGGGACCACCAAACTAGCCCTTCCCTTACCACACAGCACCCTGAGCCCAAGGGGGGAAGGGAGGTGTAGCTGTGAACTGATGCAAGTTGCACTGCTAGAAGGCCTTAGGGTTAGTAACAAATGTGAACTCAAATCCCCACCACACCTAGGCAGCTCTCTATCAAAGCAGAAACTCTCCAACTGGACTACCCAGAGGAGTTACCTATAAAATACACAGATGCCACGTCTCTATTTTACTGGTTTGGGTTAGGGTCTGGACGCATAGGTATGTACATAAATTCTTAAAAACTGAGATATAATTCACTAAAGCGTATACTTTTTTTTTTTTTTTTTTTTTTTGTTTTTGAGAAAGTTTTTTTTTTTTGGTCTTTTTGAGACAGGGTCTCCCTATAGCCTCAGCTGTCCTGTAGACCAGGCTGGCCTTGACTCAGACATAGGTCCCAAGTGCTGGGATTAAAGGTGTGTGCCACCACACCCGGCTTCAAGTGTATACTTTTTAAAAGTACAGAATTCTGGCATTTTTAGCATATAAAATCGCATAAGCATCCGGTCCTCAAAACATTGCTCCAGAAAGTAAGTCTGCTCCATGATCAAGTCTTTTTCTCCCTCCCCTCAGCCACTGGGAACCACTGACCTACTTTCTGTCTCAATGGACTTATATACTTTGGACATTTTATTCATCAGATAACAGTCACGTGTGTGGGGGGGTACTTTTTCCCCTCTTAGGAATAATGTGTGCACACATATTTTTTGTTTATCTTTGGGGGACAGGGTCTCCCTAGGGACCTCAGGTTGAACTCAAATGTGCAAGCCTGCTGGCATTATAGTTGTGCATTACCAGATTTGGCTCCATAAATATACTTAAAAATGTTTTCCTAGTTTCTAATATGTAGTTGACAATGGGCCCTGGATTTGCATATTTCAAGGGACTATACAGTACCTCAGACATTGGAGACCCTCAAGAGAAACCATAAAAAAAAAAAAGAACAGCACCCCAGCCACATAGCACAAGTCCATTAGTGGCACCTCAAGAAATGAACAGAGCTGCTATACAACTGCCAGTGACACATACCATGAACAAGGCAAAAGATGTCATAAATCCTTCTTTGGTAAGCTCCCATGTGCCACCATATTCCTCCTCATCGATCTGTAGGTAGTTGCTGAAGTAGAGGTACAGGACTCCTGCGTTGATCAGGCAGAATCTGGAGTGGGGAGAATAAGCACTAGGATAAGCCTCCAGCTCTCAGCAACACTGTTAGACCACTGAATTCTGCAGTTCATTCTTTGCCTATACATCTCCCCAACCAGGCAGGGGATGACAGAAGCTTCAAGCTCAGAAAGACAGGCTCAGCGAGTTTACTTGTTATGAAAGCTTGTGCAACTCTTTATAGGGGGCTCAGTTTTCTCATCTGTAAAATGGGAAAGCTAAACAGTATTGTGGGAGAGGTGGATTAAATACACAAAAATGTCTAGACCTCCTGCGGAACTGCCCACCTGATTAAGAGATTTTTTTTTTTTTTGTCTTTTTGAGACAGGGTCTCCCTGTAGCCCCAGCTGTCCTGGAACTCACTATGTAGACCAGGCTGGCCTTGAACTCACAGAGATCTGCCTGCCTCTGCCTCCCAAGTGCTGGGATTAAAGGCGTGCGCCACCATGCCCAGACTAAGAGATTTAAGGAAGGACAACTACTTTTTGTCAACCAGCAAAAAGAAAAAGAAAAAAAAAAAGGCAAAGCATGGATCAGGTGTGCTAATGGTAGAACACCTATCTAGCTCATATAAGACTTTGGGTTCCATTCTCACCACTGTTCCTCACTCCCCAGTTTAAAGCACACTAGTCTCTAAGCCTCCAGAATGACGCCTGTGCTATCCCAAACAGGATCCACACCAGCTATAAGTCTCTGTATCACTCCAGCTCAGGGGTGTTCTGGGGACAGACACATGTTTAGCTGCTGGAACAAGAAGTTGCATTGTTCTCTGCATAATCCCCAAGAAGAAACAATTTCTGAACGTCTACTGTCTGCTACTGCACAGGTGAACGTGCACCTTTGCCTTCAGCTTACCATCCATTAAGGACCAGGGACAGCAATGAGTGCAGCTGAAACCAAGATTTGTGGTTTCAAAAGCCACAAAAAGCCTGACTCCCACGGTGTATTTAGCTGATGCAGGGACTGGAGTGCAATGAACCTATCAACCTCTCAAAGTGACTGAGGCATTCTTGTGACTTTAAAACTTTTAGTGTATTGCCTGCATGTAGGTAAGTACACCATGTTGTGCACTGCCCGCAGAGGACAGAAGAGGCTGTCGGATCCCCTGGAACTGGAGTTACCGACAGTTGTTAGCTGCCATGTGGGTGCTGGGATTTGAACCCAGGTCTTCTGCAAGAGCAGCCAGTGTTCTTAACCGCTGAGTCATCTCTCCAGCCCCATGACTTTTCTAATCTAATGGGAAACTATGAGTCTTGGGGTCACTTTCCTTCTGAAGGCAGAGGTGGAAAAAGCCTAGATTAGGGTATAGCTTGACAGAAAAAGGAAAATAAAGAGACTAGCTTCCTTCTAGTGAATGAAGCATGGAATGGTGTGGGGAAGTGTGCTGGGGCCTGATGGAATAAGCATCTGTGCCCTAGGGATGCTCAGAGGTAGGGTATCCGGACTTCACAAGACTAGTTTGTGAATAGTGACAGAATGGCCTTTCCCTTGAGTGGAAGGAATAGGAGTAGGTAATCTGGTTTAGACCTGTTATGCATGTTTCACAAGAGCAAATACAGGGTGAAAATGAGACGTGCCAAAAGCTTTTTAAGCCCAACAGGCTGAGTGTGTAATAGTTCCGATAAGAAAGGCAGGGAGTTGGAAGAGTGGTTTTTCTTGGATTTCACATGAAATACTGTTCTTGGCTTGGCAATGCTGTGGCCACATCCTTATCTCCTGCTAGAAATCTTGGGACTTGGTCAAATTTGGCCACCACTGCCTGACTGGAGCATCATTCTGGACAGCTGACTTACTGGCTCTGGCTGGAGACTACTGATGGAAGCTGGGAATGATACTTGGAAGCTCAGGCATTAAGCTAGGCTGGGCATGGTCACTCACATATGTAATCCCAGCACTTGAGAGGATGAGGCAGATGATTGCTGGGCTGTAGAATAAGACTGTCTCAAGGGGTGGGGGGGAGACAGTAGTAAGCTGGCATAGGGCACTATGGAGTCAAGAAGTGGGGCTAGCCTGGGCTTGGTGGTACACACCTTTAATCTTAGGAGGCAGAGGCAGGTGGATCTCTGAGTTTGAGGCCACCCTGGTCTACACAGAGTTCTGGGCTAGCTGGGGACTGCATGGTAAGGCCCTGTCTCAAGGGAAAAAAGTGGGCATGACAGAAAAAAGGGCTGACATAGGCACTACCTTCCAGACATCACACCTGAATAGAAAGAAGCCACAGTAGTAAAGACATTTAAACATAATGTTTGGAGGCAGGGTCAAGAAAGCAGTAGAAGGCCACATACTAACTGAGCTTCAAGGATGCGCATAAAGAAGAGTTACACAGCAAATTTAATGTGATAGATTGAGAGTGACAGAAGAATGTGAAAAAGGTTGAGTCTAAGCTGGGTGTGATGGCATATGACTGCAACCCCAGCACTTAGAAGAGGCTGAGACAGGAGGATCTTGAGTTGGAGGCTAGCCTGTGCTACACAGTAGGACCTCCAAAGGCTAAGGGTTGAGGTAGGGTGGCACAGGGCTGTAACCCCACTATTTGAGAGGTGAAAACAAGATGATCAAGAGGTTAATGGGCATCCAAGTACTTGGAAGGCTGAAAGAGGAGGAGGACTGAGAGTCAAAGGCCAGCCTGGGCAACACAGTAAGGCCCTATCTCAACAAACAGAAAACAAAAGGCCAGAGAGATGGTTCGGTGGGTAAGGGTCCTAGGTGCCAAGTTTGACAATCTGAGTTCAATCCCTGGAGCCCTTGTGGTGGAAGGAGAGAACTGACTCTCTTAAGTTGTCCTGACCTCCATATGCATACCCCCTCCATACACACAAAATAATATATACATATACACGTAATATATGCTACATGCATATACATGTATATGTAATATATATTACATGTATAAGTATGTATGTATTAAAAAGAAAAAAGTTTTAAAAAAGTATTCACCAAGTACACAGTTATTATAAGCCAAGCTCTGGGAGACCCAGAGGTAGGGTCTTTAATGCAAAACCTTAGAAGACGAGAGTACTGTCAGCCAGTTCTCGGGCAAATTAATGAGACCTGAGTAAGTGCTTTGCCCTAATTGGTTCTAACTGAATGGTCATGAAAGAATGAAACAAAGCCAAGATGGGATCTGGACAGAAGGCTAGTTAAAGCAGCTACTGGAGAGACAAGAAAAAGTCACCAGAAATAAGCATCAGGCAGTACTGCTCAAATTACGGGTAGCTGGGTCACACAGACAGGGAAGCTATGGAAAAACAAGAGCAACGTCTTTGGCCTTTCCACAAGCAAAGGAAAAGTGCCAACCCAAAGGAAGTTGAGATTTGTCCAGAGAGAAGCTGGTTCTGGCAGATAGCATGGGGCTGAATCCCAGAACAGGCAACTCTGGCAGTGTGGTACCAACACACTGGGTAGACAGTCCAAAGTTCATTCCCTTCCAAACATCCAGTTTCTTGTTCTCTCAGCCATATTTTACCACTTTTTATAAATCTAATTATGTAACAATAGCAGTCAAACTACTTATGAAATGCCTGATGGACCAAACACTACATTTACCAATTACCCCATCACCTTGTTTTTCTTCTTCGTCACTCTGTCCCCATCTTACTGATGAGAAGACAATTTTTATTTTTATTTGTGTTTTTGAGACAGAGTCTCCCTGTAGCCCCAGCTGTCCTGGAACTCACTATGGAGACCAGGCTTACCTTGAACTCAAGAGATCCACCTACCTCTGACTCCCAAGTGCTGGGATTAAAGGCGTGCACCACCATGCCTGGCTATTCATTCCTTATACTCTAGAAGTCCCTCTAGACCCCAGACCCATGAGTGCTAACATTCTGGAGGCCACTTTTTTTTTTTTTTTTTGGTCTTTTTGAGACAGGGTCTCCCTGCAGCCCCAGCTGTCCTTGAACTCACAAAGATCCACCTGCCTCTGCCTCCCAAGTGCTGGGATTAAAGGCGTGCACCACCACGCCCAACTTTCACTTCTTTGTTTTAATTGTTGTATGCACACAGCTGCAGTGGTATGGACTCTTTCCATAAATGGAAAAGAAAGTCTCTATTTGAAAAGAAATGAAGAGCCAAGCACAATGGTACACACCTGTAACCCTACTGCTGGGGAGGATCAGCCATTCCAAAGTCAGTCTAGGCTACATGAGACCTTGTCTCTGAACAACCAAAATTAGTGGATAGACACAGAAGACAGATGTACCATGAGAATGTGAGCTACCCAAGACTTACCCTGCTATTCCCAAGAAACCTCTCAGGGGCAGAATACCCCAAATGATACCCAAGATCACAGCGATGATCTGTCGGAACCAGTAGATCACATCTAAAAATTCATCCTGCAGAAAAGACAAAATGCACATATTATCCCAAGTGGATGCTACAAGACAGCAATAGATGGGGAAACAATATTAGGATTCAATTCTTTGATAATTATTTGGTTATTACAATGATAATAGTTATTTGGTTATTACATCATCTCATGCCCATCTGTGAAGGGAAACAATATACTTAGACCTTAAGTGATTACTTCCAGAGCATGTGCTCTAATATATTTTAGAGAAATCATCACTTTTAAAAAGAAAGTGCATAAACAAAACTGATGGCCAAAAAAAAAAAAAAAGGGGGGGGTTGTAGTCACAGTGCTACTGACCACAGATCACCCTTAGCTGACCAGACAGAAGACCTGAACAGAAAAACTATTATCCTCAGTACCCACCCTTCCAGTACACTGAATTTTGAGAAGTGAAGTTACCAAGGAAAGATGTTTGGTGGGGGGGGGTTGAGACACCTGCTGGCACATTTAAATTTCACCTGACAGAACACAGGCTTGTGAATTGCCCTGAACTTACAATAGGGAAGAAAATGACACAGCAAATCACAAGGAAACAAGGTTTTGCAAGAGCTGGGCAGGGCTGGGGGCAGGACAAAGGCACCTTCAGGAAGTGCTTCCCACCACCCCGCCTCCAGCCGCAACTGAAGGAAGGAAAGCCCAACTTCAGCAGTCCAGTCTAAGGACTGCAAATACAACATTCTTTCCAAACCATCTAGAATCAAACTGCACGCTGATAGACTTCGAGAGCAGAATGGAGCAAGGGTGGGAAGCGTCAAGGCTCAGATCCTCTGAATGTGACCAAGAACATCTTGAAGTCCCATTTCTTACCCACGTCTAGAGCATTTCTTCCTAACACACTTCCCCAAAGGCGGTCTCAGTCTCCGTCTCGGCTCGCATCTCTCGGTATTCAGACTTTCCCCTCCCATCGAGCCAGGGAGCGCACGGAAAGTGCGCCTAAATAGCTTGGTCGCCCGGCCCCCAACTTCTGGCTCGGGCTGAACCCGGGGGTCTAGGCTCTCGCACCCGGGCAATCTCCAGGTTCGAAGCGCGGAGCCGGCAGCTTTGGCGCTAACTTACTCGGGATCCCGCTGGGAACGGAAGCACGGACGGCAGAGGCCGCAAGAGGCTCCGCTCGCCCTGGCACCCCGCGATGGCAACTCCGCCTGGCCCTCACCGCGGCGGCGTGTCCAGACGGGTCCTCTGCCGCCGGGCGGCTGTCAGGCCCTGTGCCCGCCAGCTTCGCTTCGGGCCGGGCCACCCGCCCCAGCGGTCGGGGTGAGGGCAAGCCAGGTCCACCCGCCCCGCGCCCGGCTCCTCCAACCCGCGCCCCCCGCACCTTGTCTTCCCAGGCCGCGTCGCTCCGCAGCACCTTGCTCCACACAGACACTTTGAGGGCCCCGTTGGCCAGCTGCGGCTGCGACGGCTCCTCCTTCCGCCGCCCGCCGCTCATCCTCCCGTCGCGCCGCCCGTGCCGGGTCTAGGGCGCGCGGGCCGAGCCGAAGGGAGTCGGGGGCTGGGTTCGCGGGTCACAGCGCGTGGAGCGGCGGCAGCCTCAGCGTGGGTCCTGCAGCACGCCGCGCTTCTTTGCCGTCCGCCAAGCCACCCGGCTCCGCGAGCTCTAAGGAGCAGGCTCCCGGAGGGAGGGACAGCGTCCTGTGCTGACGTGCGCACGTAGCCAGTCAGGGACTACGCAGTCTTCCGACCCACAGCGCGGTGTAGCCGAGGTACCGGCGCTCGGCGCCGGGCGGAAGTCATGGCCAACTTCCGCCAGGTGCACGGTAGGGTGAGAGAGCAAGGACTCGCGCGGCGCGGAGGCGAGCTGAGCGCTAGGAGGCGCTGTGGAGGCCGAGGAACAGCTACTGAGGTGGAAGCCGGGGTTCGACGTGGTCTTCGCGCTCTCCGCCGTGACTGGTCAGTCGGGCCACAGGCCCAAGCGGCCTTGCCTTTCTTCCTTGCAACCTGCTCGCCCCACAGCCCGGTCCTTGGTCTCTGGGAACCCCAAGCTGCCCTCTGGAGTTAGCTTAAAGTTCTGTAGCGCATTCATGGTTCCTACACGCGGGAAAGTGACCTCAGCCTGGCGGTGGCACAAACCTATCATCAACCCTCTGGAGGATCATGAGCCCCAGGCCGTGGCGCCCTCAGGATACATCGAGGACCCTGTCTCAAAAGAAAATAAAAAAAGTTAATGCTTCAGTGTAACTTCACATCTCATCTTGCCCGGCACCCTCTGACAAACGTGAGGTCGAGGCCCCAAGACAGAAAAATAATTCTAAGGATAAGGCAAGTTGGAACCAACTGAGATCTCCATCGGGAAATCATCGCCAAGTGTTACCCGGCAGGATACTTGTGTCCTCACTGTGTGCTAAGTCAGTGGTTTACAAAATCTGTTTTGGACCACCAGCAGCATCTGCACCTCCTGGGAACTTGTATAGAGGTACAAATTTCAGGGCATCCCAGCCCGTAGTGCTGCACACCTGCAATCCCAGCCCTCAGAGGACTGAGACGCGAGTTTCAGGCTAGTCTGGCTACATTGCAAGGTCCTCTTTTAGGCTGGAGAGATGGCTCAGCGGTTAAGAGCACTGACTGCTCTTACAGAGGGACCTGGGTTCGATTCCCAGCACCCACATGGCAGCTAACAAATGTCTGTAACCCCAGTTCCAGGGGAATCTGATGTCTGACCTCCACAGGCATTGCACTTACACTCACACAAGAAATTTTTTAAATTATTTTTTTAAAAAAGCATCCTGTCTCAAGACTTACCAGTGTTACATAGCAAGGCCAGCCTGGAATACAAAGTGATAGGTGCTGTCTCAAAACAACAAAAAATCCCTCCAGATGGTGCCATACACTGTGTTGTGTAGTAAGCAGAGCCATAAAGATACATCACTTTTTGCAGAGAGTTTATAAAGGCAAAGTTACTTGCCTGGAATCATTGGTATGTGGGTCTAAAGATTTATTTTAGGCCTGGCGTGGTGGCACATGCCTTTATTTATTTTATTATTATTTTTTTGGTCTTTTTGAGACAGGGTCTCCCTGTAGCCCCAGCTGTCCTGGATTCACCATGGAGACCAGGCTGGCCTCGAACTCAGAGATCTGCCTGCCTCTGCCTTCTGAGTGCTGGGATTAAAGGTGTGCGCCACCACGCCCTGCTATGTTTTTAATGATGAAAAAAATCTGCATTTAGAATTAGACTACTGTACTGCTTAGATGATCCCAATTTTGTTGGCAACATCCAAAGCATCGTAATCAGGAGCCAGATGAACATAGGCCTTCTCTCTATCAGGTCTGATCAAGGTATTGACCTTGGCCACATCAATGTCCTAGAGTTTCTTCACAGCCTGTTTGATCTGGTGCTTGTTGACCTTGACATCCACAATGAACACAAGTGTGTTTTCTTCATCTTCATGGCTGACTCAGTGGTCAAGCTTGTTTCTCCTGGGGGGCACTCTTGTGAGGGTATTTGGGCTGCCTCCGGAGCCACAAGGTCTTGGGTCGCCGGAAAGTGGGTGACCTATGGATCTTCTTTTTGTGGCTGTGAACAACTTTCAACACTGTCTTTGCTTTGGCTTCGCCTTTGGGAGGGACAGGAGCTTCCTCCTTCGATTTCGACACCATGTTGGAGAAAAGGGGCTCAACACCTTTAATCCCAGCATTCGGGAGGCAGAGGCAGGCAGATCTCTGAGTTCGAAGTCAGCCCAGTCTACAGAGCAAGTTCCAGGCTACCTGGGGCTATAAGGAAACCCTGTCTCAAAAAGACCAAAAAAGAAAGATTGAAGTTGAGTGTGGTGGCACAAACTTTTAATCCCAGCACTCAGGAGGCAGAGGTAGTTGAACTCTTGAGTTTGGGGCCAGCCTGGTCTACACAGCGATTTTCCAGGCCAGCCGGAGCTACATACTAAGACACTAAATCAAAATAAAAAATAAAAAATATTTATGTATATGTATAATTGTATGTACATGTAAGTGTGTGCATGTAGATTACTCAGAGAGCTGGAGTTGCAGACATTATTGCTTAGGTGCTGGGATCCAAATGCCAGTCCCCATAATTGTGCAACAAGTGCTCTTAATGGTTGAGTACTCTCTATAGCCCATGAGCTCTTAACTCATACTTTAAGTCTGAAACAGTGTCAGGCCAGGGATGGTGATTCACACCAGTAATCCTAGGACTTAGATGGAGGCAGGATCAAGAATTCAAGGCTAATGAGCTACATACAGAATGAGATCCAGTCTTTAAAAAAATAAAAAAAAAAATTACTGGGGCTGGAGAAATGGCTCAGCAGTTAAGAACACTGGCTTTCTTGCAGAAGACCCAGGTTCAAATACCAACACCCACATGGCAGCTAACAACTCTCTATAACTCCAATTCCAGGGGATTTGACAGCCTCTTCTGGGCATTGCATGACACGGGTACCCTTACCTACATGTAGGCAATACACACATACACATAAAATAAAATAAAATATTTTTTAAAAGTCAGATCTCAGTTTTGCATTTCCAGTCTCACCCTTATGCCCCACCCCCACCCCTGCCTCCCACCTTTTTTAGACAGAGGCTCCCTATGTATCCCTGGCTGGACTTGAACTATGCAGCCAAGGTAGCCTGCTTCAGCCTCCTAGGCTGGGATTACAGGCCTGTGCCACCAAGCCTGCTTATTGTGGTTCTGATAAGCATTTTCCTAATGATTAGTGATGTTGAGCTTGTTTTTTCATGTACCTCTTGTGTACCTTTGGAGAAATGTCTATTCAAGAGCTTTGTCTATTTTTGACTTTGTTGTCTTGTTTTCCATTCTAGATATTAATATCAATATATGATTTGTACTTTTTAGACCATTCTGTGAGTTATTCTGTTGATAATGTCCTTTGTTGAGTAAAAGGATGTTTTTGTTTTAGACAGGGTTACTATATATATGTACATCAAGCTGGCCTTGAACCCATGATCTCCTTGCCTCCCTAATGCTGGGATTATAGGCATGTGCCGCCACATCTGGTGAAAGTTTACATATATATGTATATAAATATATATACATGTACATATTTATATACATATATAACAAATATATGTATTGTTGTTGGGTTTTGTTTTGTTTTTGAGACTGAGACAGAAAGCGATGTCTCCCCATGTTGCCCTGGCTAGTCCCAAACTCTTGGGCCCAAAGGATCCTCCTGTATCAGTCTCCCAAGTAGGTAAGATTACAGACCAAATTTTAAATTTAATGAAATCTAACTTCTCTAATTTTTGAACTTTTAACAAGTTTATTGTAATGCATCCTGCAACTTTGCTGAATTTATTAGTTCTAATAGTTTTGGTAGACTCTAGTTTTGTCTTGTTTCAAAACAGGGTCTCACTATATAGCTCTGGCTAGCCTGGAACCCACAGAGATCCACCTGCCCTTAGAGTACTGAGATTAAAGGCATGCACCACACCTGGTTTGTAGGGTTTTAAAATTTTTATTTTTTTAAAATTTTAAGTATTTTTGGTCTTTTTGAGACAGGGTCTCCCAGTAGCCCCACCTGGCCTAGAACTCACTATGTAGACCAGGCTAGCCTCAAACTCACAGAGATCCACCTGCCTCTGCCTCCTGAGTGCTGGGATTAAAGGTGTGCACCACCACACCCAACTTACAAATTTATTTTATGTGTATGAGTGTTTCACTTGCTTGTATATAAGTGCACCTGTGTCATGCGGAGACCAGAAGGCACTGGATCCCCCTGAACTAGTTGAGGACAGTTGTTAGTTGCCATGTGGGTGCTGGAAACTGAACCTGGGTCCTCTGCAAAAGCAGCCAGTGCACTTAACCACTGAGCCATCTCTCCAGCCCTGGACATTTTTTTTCCCTTTGGTATTAAAAAAATTTACTACATTTACTAATTTGTCGGGGAGGTATATGTCGAGGTCAAAGGACAACTTGTGGGAGCTGGTTTTCTCCTTTCTACCATGTGGGTCCTGGGTCTCAAACCCAGGCTTGGCAGCAAGTACCTGAACCTGAGTAATCTTATCTTTTTCCAATTCCTAAAATAGTTTATTTTACACATATTTATGCATGTGTGTGCCACAGCATACATGTGGAGGTCAGAGGACAGCTTTCAAGAGTTCCCTCCATTCATCATGTGGGTCCTGGGGAATGAATTTAGGTTGTCAGGCTTGGCAACCTTTACCTGTTGAGCCATCTTGCAGGTCCTTTGTAGGGTTTTCTACCCACAAGATCAGGTATCTTTGAACATAGGCAACTTTTGTTTCTATTTTATTTATAGGCAGAGTCAGTCTCATTGAACTGTCTGGCTTTGCACTTACTATGTAGCTAAGGATGACTTTGCATTTCTGATCCTTCTGCTTCTCCCTTTCCAGGTCTGGGATTACAGGCATGCACAACCATTCCTGCTCAGTTTATGCAATGCTAAGGATGAAACCCAGGGCATGCTGCATACTAGACAAGCACTCTACCAACTGAGCCACATTCTCAGCATATTTATTTATTTTTTGAGACAGGGTCTCCACCTGGCCTGGAACTTGCTATGTAGACCAAGCTGGCCTGGATCTCAGAGATCCGACAGTCTGTCTCCCAAGTGCTGGGATTACAGACGTGTGCCACCAAGCCTGGCCAAATCCTCCACATGCTTATTTATTGAGACAAGGTCTTATATAGTCCAGTCTGGCCTCAAATTCACATCTGAAGATGGTCTTGAACTCTGTTCTCTTCTACCTCTGGAGTACAGGGATTATAGAATTGCAATACACAACCGACAAACACAAATAGCTTTTATGGGAAAAAGCTTCCTTCCTTCTGTACTATATATTATGAAGTTCAACTTTAACTTTCTCTTTTTGATTTCTCAAATTTGTGTTTACATAGTAGTGGGTGGGGTTATTGACTGTTTTAGAGCTGAAGGAACCTAAGATCCTTCAGTGTAGCACAAGGTCTCACTGCAAATTAAGAGGTTAAATAGACACCTGAAACCTGATCTGTGTTTCTGTTTGGTTTTCTAGGAGCCTACAAAGTCAAGCTGGCAGGCAGGGGGATAAGCCTTTCCCTAGAAGGTATGTGACTAATGTGTGAGACTCAGATTTGTTCCCTTTCTGAATTCTCCCAAGGTCTTATCTTAGGAAGTGAGGAATCTGGCTGAATCCCAGAGCATCCATCTGGCTAAAACAAACATCTTGGGTGGCCTAAGACAGAAAAGAACTTGATGAAGAGTCAGATTTGGAGGTGGGAGACAAATTTGGAAGTAGGGCACAATTTGTCTCTGTGAGGTGTGGTCTCAGCTGTACAGCTGAGTACTTCCTTCCCACTGAATGCCTGTGTCTCTACTGGCTGCTTATAGTGGGGTCTGGACAGGAAGGTATGCTCAAGGGTGACACTGTGGCCCCAGACCACAGATACCTGAGGGTCCTGTGGGAAAGCTACCAGCCATGTTAAACTGTGAAAGACAAAGAACAGTGTACATGTGCAGGCCACACACCTTAGCTCACAGCTAAGGAGGGTAGAGTCATTAAAGTGCAAAGCTCGGGAAGTGACTTCAGGTCATAAACCTTTGAGAGAACAAAAAATTCAAAAGGTTCAGGAAAGACCCTTTTTCCTCTTATAACTGACAGACTGGGGGCTAGGGGTATAGTTCAGTTGTAGAGTACACTTAGCAAAGAGGTGTTTGATCCCCCCACTCCCCATACATACACTAAAGAAAAAAGCCAGCCTGTAATCCCAGTACTTGGGAGGCTGAGGCAGAAGTCTGTGAATTTGAGGCCAGCCTAGGATACAGAATGAGACTCTGTTCCAAAAACCAAAACCAAACTCCTATTTCCTGAATGAAGCTGCTACAAGGAAGGAGGACCATGTGCTTAGCTTCAGAAAGGAGTACTGGTCACAGTACTCTCACCAGCTTTCTAGAGGGTGTACACCAATCCAAAGCTTGTCAGTTTCTTCTCATATAGGGTCTTATGTATCCCAGGCTATATAGGTGAGGACGACCTTGAATTTTATTATAATTTTTTAAAAGCATGTGTTTTGGTGTGGGGGCAGAGCACATGGGTCACAGAGGGCAGGGGAAGATCAGGACAACTCGCAGGAGTCACTTCTACCATGTGAGTGCCAATGGCAGCAAGCACCATTTCACCCTCCACACCAGTTCATACCTGGCTTATCACTCCAGATTTATGTCATGTTAGAGCTAGAATCCAGGGCTCCATGCCTGCTAGGCAAGTAAGTACTCCACCATCTGAGCTACATCTCTAGCCCCAGAAGACAGTTTTGTTTTCAGTTCTTTGAAAGGTATTTATAGCTGTTTCTCCTTAGGCAGTGGAGCCACTCAAACCACTTCTCTTTTCTAGGGTGTATTCGTAACATTTCTGTCACTGTGACAGAAAAGAAAAAAAAAAAAAAAAAAAAAAGGATCAGGAATGCAAGGCCAATCCAAGTTTATATGAGACCCTAGCTCCAAAAAACTCAAAATTCCTGGGCTGGAGAGATGGCTCAGTGTTTAAAACTACTGGCTACTTTTTCCAAAGGACCAAGGTTTGGTTTAGAGCATCCACATGGTTGCTAACAACTCTAGTTCTAGGGGATTTAATGCCCTCTTCTGGCCTCTCTGGGTAGTGCATGCCCATGGTACACATACACATGTGCAGGCAAAATACCATACACATTTAAAAAGTAAAAAGATTGAAAAAACAAACAGCCAGGCATAATCCCAGCACTTGGGAGGCAGATGCAGGTGGACCTCTGTGAGTTCAAAGTCAGCATGGTCTAGATACTGAACTCCAGGCCAGCTAGGGTTACATCCTAAGACTGTCAAAAATAAAATAAAAAGCCCCACCAACCAAACAACAAAAAAGCTGATTTGATTATTGAAGAAAGTTGTATTTCGCCCATACTGATGTTAGGTAGTAGACATTAGTGGTTAACCATCTACCATTAGCTGAACTAGGTCTTGGGCAGAACTCAGTGATCTTGAAGCAAAGACTTGAATTCAAATTCTAACTCCAAACCTGTATTTATAGGCTGAGTTCAGACAAGTGGCATAAATTCCCACTTGGTTGCTTTACCTAAGGGATGGGCATCACTCCTAGACATATGTCCAGTAGGAGTAATGAGCAGGGCCCACAGCAGTTGTTTACAATCATATTTTTTGTACTTTTAGATCACAACTGTTATCTGGATGGGGCAAAATGTATCTACTACAGCTGGTAAAAACAAATGGAATTTTGCTGGCTGACATAAAGGGAAGTGGAGGCCATTATGGCTTCAGTTTGTGTCTGAAGCAAATATAGTCTGCATATTTGTGCTGGTTATGAAACTGCAGTGAGCTCTTCCTCACTAGGGGAAGACCAAGTTTCCAGTTCTGAAGTCCACACCCTCTTCACTTAGCAAACCCAGTGCTTACCTGTGGGTCCCAGGCAAGCTGGCCAGGCTTACGTGCAATATATCCCTGTGCACTGTGCTGAATGGGCTACTGAAAGGGAGCGAGAAGGAGTGCAAGACACACTTGGGCGGCTAGGAGAGTGAAAGGAGTAAGGCAGAGTAAACTCAGTGACTGCTCTGTCCTCAAAGCACAGTAGGTCAACCAAGAACTCAGTTCAACCTTAAAAATAAACAAAACTTTATTTGACAAAAAAGTTATTTACAGTAGTTTTCTTTTTTTGCTCAAATATTGTTCAACGGGATGACTGTGCTTCTCTAGAATTACCTTACAAGCAACCTAAGCAGAAGACGCCCCACCCCCAGACGTCCCATTTTATACCAGGAGGGGAATGCCTAAAGAAGTCAGCAGCACGGCTCCCTCCCTGCTCCCTCTGCTCAGTGCACTGTGGGAAGGAAAAAACAATCCCATCCAGCCAATACACTCCAAGTCTCCTACTGCAGCCATTATGGGACCTGGGCTCAGACATAGCCAGGTAGAGGTGTAGGCAAACAGCAGCCTCAACCAACCCTGAAACTGCCACATTTATCCTTCCCCAGCAGGGCCTCAGTGTGCTGAGGACCCTGATCACCAGAGAGGCAGGAGAGAGTGCCTAGGAAAGAATCCCCTACAGAGAGCAAAATGCCCCCATTCCCATTCCCTCAGCAAGGTATGGGCTATACCACTCAGGAGAGATGGAAGAAGTCTCCTCAAGGGTGCCAGGGGGCTCTACAGAAAGGCCAGAATAGTGTTCTACCTTTCTCTGGGGCAGGCACCCCAAGTCAGTCCCCTGCTCTGTGTTCACAACCTGGCAACCTCAGGAAACTCTTAAGTCAGAGCTCCTCAAGTCTTCTGGTTATTTAGAACATATCTTGGCTAATGAAAACCTAGGATTAGTGTTTCTTAGGATATATAAAGATGGGGTATAAGGCCCTTGAAAACTATCAGAAACAAAACAGCAAGTAAAAGGTGAGAAAAGGGAAGAGATTAAGAGCACCTGGAGCTGTTTTGCTGGGAAATTCTGGCAGGCCTCTGCAACTCCAACTTGAAAGGAGATGAAACAGACAGCCCCAGGCTCACAGCTCATTTCTAACTTGGCGCTGCCTCTGTAGGCCCTAGCCTTTGCTTCCTCCAGGAAGAGAGCTTTCCTGCTACCTTTGTGAGTCAAGCGGCCTTTCCCAAGGGCCTCCTGACCAGCAGATGGCCCACTTCTCCCCATGGAGGAGATCTGAGAGCTTTTGACTTTCTCGCCAGGTTCCCACAGGAATCCCAAACTCACGCCACAGGACAACATCTTCAGGAACAAAGGGGAAAACATTAAAAAGATAAAGGAAAAAAAACAAAAACTGCCTCATTCTAGGTTACCACCCCCAAAATACAATAGATACAAAAATAAAAACAAACACCTGTTTTTAATCACCCTTCTCTGCCCTGCATCTAGTAGGTTCACATATTTTTTTCTGCCTTTTATAATGGGGTAAACCAAACCATTCCCACTTGGAATTTCACACTACTGCAGAGATTCAGCTGGTTCCTTATACAGTCATCCCCAGGAGCAGTGGGAGATCACCCCCAGCTTATCCACCTCCACACCACATATGCATGCTCTCCCCACACCTGACCTACCTACTGCCATCAAGGCAAACCATAGTAAAAAAGGGGAAATAAACAGTTTAACAAAATCTAAACATTCAACTGGAGTCGGTTCTGTGACATCTGCTGGGTTCTGTTTTTTTGTCCCTACTTAGGAACTTGGAATGTGCACACCTGGCTTGTCCAAAGGAGGCACAGCTTCGGGGCAGCTTGGACCCAGCTTGAGTCTCAACTTGGCAGGTTTCCTGGGTGTGCTGAGGAAAGCCGGCTGGAACACAGGTGTCCCAGGGCATCTCTGGAGAAGCAGCAACAAGGCCATGTCTATCTCAGTCCCTTGGTCTACTCCAGGCCTGAAGGAACAGCAGTCAGCAGAGGACAGGCCCCCTTCACAGTGCAGTGACACCAGCTGGGGTTTTTCCGCTGAGAACCTCCAGACAGAGCTGACCCCAAAGCTTGGCAGTGGTCTGTAGAAACCCTCTGTATGAAAGAGAAGCGAACCAGGACCCAGGATCACTGGCCTGAGCCTTGAGCCACCTGGCAGCAGGTGCTTACTTGGGGTTTTCTGAGACTAGAGTGAGAGGAGTGTGTAGTAGCCGGGGCGCCGGGTCCTGCTGCTTCTGAAGCTCCATCTCGGCAGCCCTCTGTAGTGCCACCTCCACCAGCAACTGGAAGCTGCTGAAGTCCTCCTTGTCCTGCTCTGGGGGTGTGGGTGGCGGTGTGTTGAAGAGTCCACCTGTGGGGCTTCCAGCCTCAGCCCTGGTCAGCAGGGTAAGGGTGCTGCCAGGGGTCACCAGGGCCTTGGGGGGCTCCAGGTCTCCTTGTGGGAAGGGGGCTGCTGGCTTCTCACCTTGGCCTGAGTGGAGCGGCACAGAGCACAATGACAAGGAGAGCACGTTGGTGGGGGCGGGTACAGACACAGCCAGCATGGAAGGGCTGCTCCCCCTGGGGAGAGCCATGTCTGAGGTCTTACCCCCACGGCGGGAAATGGTGAACTGATTAGGGTCTTTGCCATCCTTCCGGAGCATGTCTGGGAGAAGACGCCGCCGGGCATTGATGAACCAGTTACATATCTGGAACAAGTTTGAAGAGACTGATCAGTTCATTCCATCCAAAACAGCTGCAAAATGCTCACTGTTCCAGGCCCCAAGAACACAGGAACAAACATTAGCGACAAGATTCTGGCCCTCAGAGGTTCACAGGGAAAAGAGAGTTACATAAGAAACCATACACACACATACAATTCCAACTATGGTGGGGCCAGTGGAGGGATGGGGCCAGTGGTGTTGAAGGAGCCAATGGTGGAACATCTAGCCTAATCTTTGTGGGCTTGAGGAGATGCTCTCTTGGGAAGTGACTCTTCAATTGCAATCTTAAAGACAAGGAACTGCTGACGTGGAAGATGGGTGGGTTAGAGTAGCAAGGGCAACAGGGTCCAATGAGAGATGCAGAAGGTAGGCCCACGGGGCTGGGCTCAGTGTGGCTATTAAGAGTCACCTCTTAAGGTGAAGATTTAGGTTTTCTATGGACACAGGGAAGCCATAGTTGTTTTTCCATTTTTTTAATGACATTTGTTTGTGCCCATGTGTGTGCTCAGAGCACCTATAGTGGTCAGAGGACAACTCTGAAGAGCTGGTTCTCTCCTCCTGGAACTAGAAGGTCATCAGGCTTAGTGGCAAGCACCTTTACTTGCTGAGCCACCTCACTGGCCCTCAAATAATCTGGTACCACAGGAGGGTTGTAAGCAAAAGAGTGACTAGGCTGGAAGAGGGAGATGGGCTGGTAGTTCAGATTACATTAAGAGAGGGGGCAAGAGGAGGACAAATGGGGAGTGAGATGCAGGCCTGTCGCTGTAGAGTGAAGAGACACAGAGGAACAAGGACTATCAGGGAGAGGAAAAAGTTTACAAGCAACACCAGGATGGCATGCACTTTCCTATGGTACACTGCAGTATGCTGCAAAGCTCAAGGTGCCTATGGTCTGGGAACATGTCCAACACTTTCCCCTTTATGTCCAGATATTGATTTTGCAGTGTTTGGGATGGAACCCAGGACCTTGCTCGTGCTAGGCAAGTATATACAACTGAGCTGACCCAGAACCAAGGTTTTTTTTTTTTTTTGGTCTTTTTGAGACAGGGTTTCCCTACAGCTCCAGCTGCCCTGGAACTTGCTATGTAGACCAGGCTGCCCTCAAACTCAAGAGATCTGCCTGCCTCTGCCTCCCGAGTGCTGGGTTTAAAGGCATGTGCCACTAAGCCTGGCTGAACCAAGGACTTTTGGCTTGCTTGCTTATTTTTTTTGTTCGAAACAGGGTCTCACTATGTAACCGTGGCTGGCCTGGAATTCACTATGTATAACAGACTGGCCTGGAACTTACAGAAATCTGTCTGCCTCTGCCTCCACAGTGCTGGAATTAAAAGCATTCACCACCACGCCTGGCAAGGACTCTTTTTTTTTGAGACAGGGTCTCCCTGTAGCCCCAGCTGTCCTGGAACTCACTATGTAGACGAGGGTGGCCTCGAACTCACAGAGATCTGCCTGCCTCTGCCTCCCGAGTGCTGGGATTAAAGGCATGCACTCTTTTTAAAAAAGATTTAATCTGGGGCTGAAGAGAGAGCTCAGCGGTTGAGAACACTGTTCTTGCAGAAGACCCGGGTTCAGATCCTAACACCCACATGGCAGCTAACAACTGTCCGTAACTCCAGTTCAGGGGATCCAACAGTCACTCCTGTCCTCCGTGGGCATTGCACGACATGGGTGCATTTACCTACATGCAGGCAATACATGCATACACATAAAATAAAATTTAAAAAAATATTTAAAAAATAAAATCTTGCTGGGCGTGGTGACGCACACCTGTAGTCCCAGCACTTGGGAGGCAGAGGCAGGCAGATCTCTGTGTGTTCAAGGCCAGCATGGTCTACATAGTGAGTTCCAGGACAGCTGGGGCTACAGGGAGACTCTGTCTCAAAAAGACCAAAAAAAATAAAGTCTTAATCGTATATATATATATATATATGAGTGTTTCCCTGCAAATACGTATGTGTACCATGTGCATACTTGGTGCCCGTGGAGGCCAGAAGAGGGAATTAGATGCCCTGGAACTGGAATTATGAGCCGCCATGTAGGTACCAGGAACCAAACCTGGGTCCTCTGTAAGAGCAGCCAGTGCTCTTAACCTCTGAGCCATCTCTCTGGCCCCAAGGACTCTTTAATATCTCCAGCTTCATAGCTCTCCTGGCCACTCTGCTGGTTCCAGTCTGCAAAATGGCTGATGTTCCTGGCTAGAAAGCAGCTGTTTTGTCTCTTAGTGTCTACCAGTGCAAGTCTAGACTCCAGAGCCTGGGCATTAAAGCCCTCCTGCCAGCCTGTCTTTGCTACCCCACCCCCCTACCACTCTGCTTTTCTGCTGTCAGCATGGGAACTGCTTTGGGGCCCTGCTCATTTAAAAAACAAAAACCCAAACCTGAAAATCTCCATGCCTTCTATACACCACGTTCCCTTTTTTCTGGAATGTTCTCCTGCCCACCTGCGAAACAAAGTAAGCTTTGCACCGCCACTGTAGACTTTTGCCAACAGCTGCCACTAGTTGAGCACTGTGCATCTAGTTTCTTTTAACAGTGAAATGTGTTGGACCATATCCTGTTTTCCTGGTGAACAGACCTGAAGCCCAGCCTAGCAATGAGCCAGGATTTCATCTGGCAGGACCTGTCTTCCCTTGGGGCTGTCACACGACCCCAGAGTTCAGCCTGCTGTTTTCCCTAGTCAAGGTTGAGCCTCCCACCTTTCCCGGCTCTCCCTTTCAGAGCTTCTTCCTCATTCAAGTATATTGATGTGCCTGCTCTGTACCAAGTCAGTCCTTAGCGTTTGCTGGGGCTGATTTTTAACAGCTATGTGACCTGCTCTGTGGCACTGACATCCATCTTGTGCAGTGGTAGTAAACAAATAGGTGAATGACCATCAGTACATTCCAAGAAAGAAAGAAAGGAAAAAAAGAATTGTTTATAAACGTAGGCGACCCCCCTTTAACTACTTCCTATGGGCCATGAAGAACACCCTCACCCAAACAGCCCACTGCTGTTGCTATGACATTCTGTTTCCTAAATGACCAGAAACATAGCCAAGTGATCACAGACTGAACTCTCAGAGAGTATGAACAAAAATAAATCCTTCCTTAATTAAAAAATAATAGACATAAGGGGTCTGACTAGAAGGCTGAGGCTGAAAGGGAAACAGAGGGCCAGAGTCAACCAACATGGAGCACTAACGGAAACAACAGCAAACACTAAAGGATACTGAGCGAATGAAGCTAGGTACGGTAAAGCACACCTGTGATTCCAGCACTTGGGAGACTGCGGCCAGAGGATCGCTTCCAATTTGAGATGCACCTGGGCTACTTATTGAGCCCCTGCCTCAAAAACCCCACATAATCTCAGGCAGAGGAAGATGGATCTCTGCAAGTTTGAGGCCAGCCAGGCTACAAAGTAAGACCCTGTCTCAAAATAAACAAAATGACTACTAGATAGGGATGTGGTGTGTTGTTTGTGGTCCCTGCTACTCAGGAGTCTGAGACCAGTCTAGGCAACACAGTGAAACCCCAGGTCCAAGAACAAAAAGGTCAAACAATGAAGCGGCAGGGCCAGTCCTATTAGCTGGGAACACCATGGTAAACTACGAAGGGGCCTAAACAGTGGTTTGAAATTTCACATGCTAGGTCCTCTGTCCTCAGCAGAAACCTACAGACCAGCTAAGCTGCTGGAGGAGAAAGAATGGTCACAAGACCCTCTTCACTTTCTGAGCAGGTGGCAGGAATGCTAGTACTTCCCTACTATCTGCTAAGCAGATAAAGACCCAGGGCTCTTGAACCATTTCTGTCCCTAGCTCTCACCAGCCTCTTTTCTCTGTTGTCAGAGCAAGCCCTTGGGTACAGTCTCATGGGATATCTGCCTCTGTCTAGCCAGAGACAGAACTCGTGCCTGGCACAGGCATAGCACCTTACCTTGCTGGCTATAGTTATACCCATTCTACAGGTGAGCCACCATCAGGCTGAGAATAGAGTCAGAAGCATCTATGACTCTCTGCTCCAGCATGGGGAGCTTATTCCTGGGGTTCTTTCACCCCTCTTCACCTCTGTGGTCTGCCAGTATAACCAGGAATACATGTAACAGCAGGTACTGGCAGACAGTTGCTTAGATGAATCTAGCTAGAGTTTCAACTGGGTCCTAAAGAAAGGGAAGGCTAAACAGCTAGGTGGGAAGAAGGAAGGAAAGAAACATATTAAGCACTTTCGACATCAGGTATCTTGCCAAGATCATGTTTAATCTGCATACAAACCTGGGAAATAGTAGGTAGTGTTCCCAAAGCCTTATAGAGGTGGAAGACCTGCCAAAAGTCACAGCCTTGGAGGATCCAACCCCAGTCCTCTGCACGAGCAGCTCTTAACCACTGAGCAGATTATATCTCTAGCCTGTTTTTGTTTTTTTTTGATACAGCAGTCCTGACTGGCCTGGAGAGCGCACTATATGTAGACCAGGCTGGCCTTGAACTCAGAGACCCACCTGTCACTGCCTCTCAAGTGGTAGAATTAAAGGCCTTTGCCACCATGCTGCAGGGAAGGTTTTCTTTTTGTTTTAGTTTTTAATTACTTTTATTTTATGTGTATGAGTGCCTGAATATATGTAAGTGCACCCATGTAGTGCAATGCCTTACTGGAGGTCAGAAAAGGGTGTTGGATTCCCTGGAACTGGAGTTACAGATAGTTGTTAGATAACATGTGGGTGCTGGGAATTAAACCTTGGTCTTCTGCAAGTGTAGCCAGTGCTCTTAACCACTGACCTACCTCTCTAGCCCTTATTTGTTTTTTGAGACAGTGCAGGCTGGCCAATCCCTCCTGCCTCTGGAGATTATAGGCATGAGCCACCACATCTGGATGGCAATGTACATTTCTAAACAGGGGATCTAGAGGGCTCTGTTATCCAGGCTTAGGAGCTATGGTTTATCCCCCTGGTATAACCTGTTCTTGTGAGCATTAAGAACCCTTTTATTTAAGCAAAAATGTCACATAGAAGCTCAAAAAAATACACAGAAAGGCCTTAGGGAGTGGGTTGACAGGTTGTTGCCTGTGGAAGGCAGCTAGCTCTGGAGCCTGAGATTGTAGAGGGGCAAGACAAAAAGATAGTCCCTGGATGCCCTGGGGGCTAGACATACCTCCCACTCAGCCTTTACAGGCTCCTTTCTTAGCCCAGGGCCTTACCAGAGGGACTGCTACATGACCTCAGGGCTCAGGAAAAGCTTGTCAGGAAGGGACCAAGGTGCCTGTTCTACTAGCTTTTCTAGCATACAGTACTGAGGAGCCTGGTTCACAGCATTGCCCAGGTGGTAACCCAGGTCCAGAACTCTCTAGGCAGTTCTACAAACAGGAAACTAGAAGAGCCCAATAAATTGGGTTTGAATGTCCCAGGTACCTGTGAAAATCCTTCAGGAGATACTTTTTTATTTTTTGGATGTTACCCTCCAACTGCCTAGCTGCAGGCAAGTACCAGCAAACCAGTAACTTACCTGACTCACTGATTTGCTAATGACATCACTCCAGGCCAGTTAAAGGAGACAATCAAAAGAGATGTCCCAGGAAGAGATGAAACCAACTTAGCAAAATATGGTATCCAAAAAAATGGATACCAACTGAAGTCAGTGCTGGAGTTCATTTTAATATTCTCTTCCCTGGCGGCTAGGAGTGTGGCTCAATGGTAGAGCACCTGCAGGCTTGAAAGCCTCATCAACAAAGGAAATTTAGAGAAATGTAAATACACACAAACAAAGATGCATGACTGAGGAGCCACTGTATCTTCCCACTTCTGACATTTCCAACACTATTTCTTTTCTGCCACTGCAATTAGAGCCCCTTCCTGCCAGATACCAAGCAGCACAGGAACTACAACGAACTAAACTAGGTCTCTGCTCCCCATACCCTCAAAACCCCGTGCCATCTAAAGGAGTCAGCTAAAGGTCCCAATGCCAGTCCAGTGCCCAGATTCTGTGGAGCACATGACTCCTTCAGGGGCCTGTTCAGAGAAGGAGGGTGGCAATCAAGATGTACATCAGGAATGTTGGGGTCAGGGATCAGGCCAAGTAGCAAACAAAAGTGCCTTAGTTACGCTGTAGGAGCCACTGAGGACTTTTTTTGTCTTAGACTAACAGGAGATCTGTCAGTGATGACAGGGAAAAGCATGGGATCAAGAAGTTGCATTTCTACACTTGAGGGAAATATACACAGGTATGGGAGAACCTAAGGAGCTAAGAAGGGGAATCATTTAGAGAGGCACACAGCTGACTGAGGCTGATGTGGAGTTTATGGTACTATGCCTTGGAGAGTGCCAGATGGTCTCCATGGTCCCTAACGCAGTAACTCTAGAGAAGGTGGTCACCAGAGATCCACTGGCTGACCCCTGTCCTATACTTGGATGCTGCAAGTGGATCTATGGTCCTAGGGATCTACTGGTTCTCTATAAGGATGCTTTAGCTACTTGTTTCCACTCTGATCATAAACAGGGACATCATAACCAAGGGGGCCAGTCTCACTCACCTCCAGAGCCAGTGCCTTTGTCCTACTACACACTCAGAGCAGGCAGCAAAATATACTGGCCCCTTTAGTGTAGTTAGGTGAACTCTTACTGCTTTTACATTTATCCACTTTGTAAAACAGATTCTATTGCTGTATGTAAGAGCAAAAGTAAATTTTTCACTCAGTTTTATGTTTGTACATTCTTGTGATGTGATGATAAAGATTCAAGTTAACATCTCAAGGGGAGGTAGAGCCACAAGATAGTTCTTTTGTGCAGTGCTGAGGACTGAACCCAGTTCCTCTGGCATGCTAGACCAGTACTCTACCACCCACAGCCCCACCCTGATTCTTTTTTTTTTTAGAGTTAGTGTATTTCTCAGGTTTGAGAAAGTGTCCCTGAGAAGAAGCAATTCCAATACAGTATGACAAGTGGTTTGACAGGACAGGTATGAGGTACCCTGGGGCTATAAAGAATGGCTCAAAACTTAGGCTGCAGATCCAAGTGCCTACAAAAGACAGGTGCTTGAACAGAGTGAGGCAAATGAGGAAGGTGAGGGCTGTGCCTGGCTGTTTACAACCAAGGGAGAGGGCTCAAGGGCCAGGAAGAACTGAGGAAGCTGGGGTACTCTGAAGTAGCCTGGACCCCATCTGAGGACAGTGGGTTCCCTGAAGTGTGTGACATGATCAGATTTGTGCTTTAGACACCAAGGATAAAGGCTGAAGGCAGGGAGACCAGCAGAGATGTCTAGGCAATCCTAGTCTTAAACTTGAGGCCTTTTACTTTTGCCTTTGTATATCTGGAGCCTGTTAGTTCAAAGTCATCTTTCCAGGGACACCTGCCTGGGGCTCTAGGCCCTGCCCCTCCCAGTGTCTCCATTGAGCTGCCTTTTGTCTCAGCAGTGATCAATTTGCAAACCTACTCTGAGCTCAGACCAGCTAGCACTCTACCACCCATAGCCGCACCCTGAGTTTTTTTTGCAATTTTCAAATTGCTCTTGTGGGTGTCCTAGAGGCAGGAGCTGGACCCAGGGGAGGCACTCAGGAATTATGAATTCTTCTGTCCCTCCTCCTATACCACTAGGTGCTCAAGCATCTCCCCATTTTCAGCTGAGGAAAACAGTAAGGCTCACAGTGACAGCAGCAGCTTGACCAAGGCTCAGGCTTATGGCTAGGGTAGGATACAAACCGGGCCGAACACAGACCTTCTCTTGAGACAGCCTTGGGTTAACCACTGCCTAGAGAACATAAAAGCTAGGTCACAGGAAATCCACAGGTTGAATACTTATCATGGCTCTTCATGGAAGGAGGGACAGGGGATGGAAGTAGTAGGCTCAGAGTAGGGTAAGAAAAGGTAGGAACAGGATGAAGAGACGGCTCAGCAGTTAAGAGCACTGGCTGCTCTTGCAGAGGACTTGGGTTTGGTTCCCAAGCACCCACATGGTGGCTAACAACAGTCCTGTAACTCCAGTTAGGGGGATCTGATGTCCTTTTCTGACCTCCATGGGCACTCCACGACATGGGTACACTTAACACACATGCAGGCCATACACTCATACACATAAAATAAAAAATAATAAAATACTTTTAAAAAGAGAAAGAGGGAACATCTATGGGTTAGAGTAACAGTATGAAAGCACAGAGGCGGTCAGAAAGGCAGGTTTGGGAGGGAGCAGTGGGGCCAGCAGGCCAGAAGTGGCCTCTGGTGCTAGACTGAGGGCCTACTATGTATCTCCCAAGGAGGTCAGAGTCAAACTGGACCCAAAGTAGTGGTGGTTCAATGTATTTTGCCTCGGCACCATGTAAACAGCAAAGATTTATGCAGGTCGACAACAGGAAAATTAAAAGGAGGTACCACTTACAGCACACATCTTTAGAGTATGCTCCTGTATGTGACTTACAGAGGTCCTTTACAAAGCCAGGTGTGCTGGCGCACAACTTTGATCCCAGCAGCTGGGAGGCAGAAGCAGGCAGATCTCTCTGAGTTCAAGGCCAGCTTGGTCTATATAGCCAGCTGGGGGTACAAGAGAGACCCTGTCTCAAAAGGATCAAAAAACAACAACAACAAAAAATTAACAACAACAAAAAAACCCTCCAAAGGTCCTTTTACATCCAATTCAAAATCTATTATGACAACTCCACCAAACACAGGAGAGGAATCTATCAGCAACCTTTCTGCCTCCACCTTCTGAGTGTTGGGATCACAGGTATTTACCACCATACCCAACTCCAACTCATCAAAAAAAAAAAACCTCTTTTAAAACAAAAAAAGAAAAAACAACTGTATTTGTGCATACGAGTGTCCAGAGTCCTGTTCAAACAGCGCTGTGGGCTGGGGCTGCATCCCAGAATCTCAGAATCTCAGCTACTCAATGCCTTCTGATCTTCCCAAGGCCTCCAAGATCAACAATGACACTAATGACAACTCCTATCCCTTCAGAAGTGCCAAAGCCTGAAGTCCAGCTGCAGTGACCTCACTTCGCTATCTTCCTTTGGGGCCTGGAGTGGATGTTCTCACCTGAACCCAGCAGGGGAGGTGATGGGCCACTACCACGGTGAGTCAGGAACAGAAGCAGAGAGGAAGAGCTGGAGAGGACTCAGTCTCCTCTTACCTGCAGCACTGAGAGGTTGGTCTGTCCGGAGAGGCTCAGCTTCTCCTGCTCTGAGGGGTAGGCGTTGTAGCGGTGCAGGTATAGCCAGTCCCGGAGGATCTTTACTGACTCTTTGGGCAGGTTCCCTCTGCGCTTCCTCTTGCCAGCCAGTGACAGGAGGCCTTCATCCTCACCTAGATCGCTGTCCGACATGGTGCCTGGGGGCTAGGCTGAACCTCCTTGAAGCCTGGGGACAATTCAGAGGAGACACTTCTTAAAGCACACATATCTTTAGTTTGTTCCTGTGCATGGTTTACAAAGGTCCTTTTAGATCCAGTTCCAAATCTATCTTCCCAACAGGAAGACAAAGGGGACGGAGACAGCATTACAACTTCATGCCTGTTACCTTTTTCCTAGTCTCCTAATACGTTCACCATGACTACAGCCTGGGACATCAGAAACAGGAGTCACAGTTCTAAATCTTGGACTGTATCATGGCTTGAACAAGGCAGAAGGAGGAGTCTTAAATGCCACATTTCATGGAGCAGTGAGGTCACTGAAACACAGAAGGCTGCTACGATTATAAATGGAACACAACTGGAAAGAACTACAGTGTTCAACTGAATGAAGCTCTGCTGCTTTCTTTTATTGACAGTCTGCATAAGGAGCCCAGGAAGGCCTTGAACTCATGATCCTCCTGCCTCTGCCTCCCCAGTGTGCCACTAGGCCGGGACGGAATTCTGTTTTCCAGGCTGTCCTAAGCACCTCACTCTATTACCTCATTTAATTCTTGTGAAAGCTCCTGCAAGGAAGAAACTTACCATTGTATAGATGAGGAAACAGTAAGAGGGCTAAAAGTACCCAGGAATTAGCAAATGACCCAGTGACTTCACTCCTATCTGCCCAAGAGAAATGCAAACCTAGGTCCACATGAAACCTGGTGCACAAATCTTCACAACAGCCAACCAAGAGCTCATCAATAGATGACTCAACAAGAGAGGATATTATTTGACCATGAAACAGTCCTGAAGTTTGCTACAACATGGACCGGCCTTGCAAACATTAAGTCAAAAGAGGCCAGTCACAAAAGACCACTACTATGTGTTTCCACTTACAATGGAAATGTACAGAACAGATGGAGAGAGAGAGAGAGAGAGAGAGAGAGAGAGAGAGAGAGAGAGAGAGAGAGAGAAAGAGAGCAGATTAGCAGTTAATTACGGCTGGGGGGGATAGAAGGGTGAAAGCTAAGGTGTGTTCATTGGACTTCTACAATTTTACACACACACACACACACACACACACACACACACACACACACACACACACAGTTCTTTGATTAAAGTTAACCCCCTACCAATTGGGGCTGGAGAGATGGCTCAGCAGTTAAGAGCACTGGCTACTCTGCACAGGACCCAGGATGAGTTTCCTTAGCTTCAGTTCCAGGGCATCTAACACCCTTTTCCGGTCTTCCTGGGCATTGCATGCACAGGTGCAGTTACATGCATGCACACAAAACACTCATACACGTAAAACTACAAATAAGTAATTTTTAAAATTATTTTTATGTGTATGAGTGTATTGCCTGCATGTATGTTACCGCACCTTTGTCATGCACTGCCTGAAGAGGTCAGAAGAGGGTGTCCGATTCTTTGGATCTGGAATTACAGACAGTTGTAAGCCGCCAGTTCTCTAACTGCTGAGCCATCTCTCCAGTCACACAAATAATTTTTTTAAATAAAAATTCAAAAGTATTCCCCACTATCCTCTTAGCCCCTTCCTCCTCCCACCAAATCCTTTCTTCTTCCCCCTCCTACTTTTATGTCTCATTTTGTTGACCCTGCTGTATTTAATTAGGCTTGCCTGCATGAGTATGGTGTGGGGCAGTATTTGCTTGAGTGGGAGCAAGGGACCAATGGCTGCACTACTGAGGAATAGGACTCCCTCTCCTGCAACTTTTAACTGGGGGCTTCTTTATGAGGTAATAAAAATACCCTAAATTTGACTGCAGCAATTGTAGCACATAGTTATAAATATGCTAATAACCAATAACATCTACCCCCCTCATGTACATATTAAATTGTATTTACTTAGTAATATATATACTTTTTACTTTGGGTTTTTTTTTTCTTAGACAGTCTCACTATATAGTCCTGGCTGGCCTCCAAGTTACAGATATCTGACTGCATCTGCCTCCTGAGTGCTGGGACTATAGGCATGTGCCACCATGCCAAACTTTCTAAGTTTTGCCTCCATGTATGTAAGTATACTATGTACACATGATGCCCAAAGAGGTCAGAAGAGGGCATCAGATCCCCTGGAACTACAGTTACAGACAGCTGCTATGTGTGTGCAGGGAAACAACCCCCCCAATCTTTTGCAAGGGCAGGAAATGCTTTTAATAGCTGAGCCATCTCTCTAGCCCCTTGATATATATATTTTAAATGGGTAAGTTATGTAATGTAAGTTATAACACAGTGTTGTTTTGAGATAAGGCCTTGTTATGTAGCCCAGGCTGGCTTCAAACTGGCAACTCTTTTGCCTCAGCCTCCTGAGTGCTAGGAAACAGGAGTGAATCACCATGCCTGGTTTTTAAAACTGTTATTTAAAAAGAGAATTCCTATATCCAAGATAGTTATAAAGTAGGATTGGGTATCAGGTAGTTTGCCTCCCAAGGCCCAATGGCTGGTCTGGAAACTACCGTCACTATGGTCTTACAGCAAGCACTGAGCACCTACTGTGCATCTACAGAGTAGTGGGTCAAACCCACTGGTTACTTCTTAGACCACTTTCTTGGTCAGACCTCCCCCGGCCCCAAATCTGGTCCCTTTATCTCCACCTGGCTCTGTGACCTGGGTCAAGTGCCTTCTCTAAATCTGAGGCCCACCTCCTTTGAAGAAAGGTTTCTGCCTAGCTTAACTCAGCTCATCTACCAGATGAAGGTCTGGTTTACATAAGCAAAAGAAATTTACATTTTAAAAGCAAAAGTTCTAGGCCAAGGGAATGCCAGAGCCTCAAGGCTCCTCCCTTCTTTGCGTTTTAACAGCTCCCCAGCAGGCCTGGCCAAGACTCTGGCATCTCCCAGGTTTTGTTTCCTTGATTTGGGCCTGAGCCCAGATCTCTGGGCTGGCTAGGCCAGGCTTTCGAGGGAAGGGTCTATATTCAGCCAGGCCACCTCGGGGTGAAATGGGTACTGCTTAGATATGCAACTCCTCAGGATCACAAGTGGGCTACTTTCTGAGATCCAACATTTCAAGCCACCAGGACAACTGGGATTCTGGACCAAGGATGCTGCCCTGGCCGGCTGTTAGTTTACTAAAAATTATCTATACAAATTCCAATCTGGCCAGCAGCCAGAAACCGGTCTTCAGGTTCCGAGGCGATTCCTGAGGATGACCCCTCAGTAGGAACGTCCTGATCCTGCACCCCAGGCCTGCCTGCAGGTTTCCCACATACCCACCTCAGTCATACCTGAACATCACCCACTCAGGCTGAATGCCGCTCACAAACCGACCCGACCCACTACTCACACAAACAGGGCCCCCGATTTTCGCCGACATATACGGCACTACACACTGCTTACACCCCACATACCTGGGACTAATGCCTGCAAACCATCAGACTAGCCCAATTCCAGCACTCGCCTGCCCACCCACGAACTCCAAAGAGACTTGCCCACCCACAATCTCCGACGTGAGAGCTCGCACGTCATCACTCTGGCCATCAGTTTTCACCCGAACTGGGCTGTGGGGGCACCCCTTGGACACTGCACCCCGAGCACCCTCCTACACACTCCCACCACGCCACCTGCAGCCACTCCCACAGGAACTTTCTGTCAACTCCCCCAGCTCCAGCGACTCTGCCCCCGGCTGCACTGTGGGACTGGAGTTTCCAGTAGTTCACACAAAGCGCGCAACCTCCCCCACGGCCCAGACCCAGCAGAGCACATGGCTCCTGGGGCGGCGACGAGTCGGGCAGCGCTCTGGACACCCTCACCCCCGGGTCCCCTACCAGGGTCACACTATGTGCAACTGCTCACCCGCGGGAACGCCATTGTGGAGGGGGAGGGGGAACTCTGGAAGAAAGAAAACTCACACGTCCATTCCGGGGCAGAAAAAGTTTGGTTCCCAGCCCTTTCCCCCGTGCGCGGCGCAGGCTGATTCTCCCGGCGCGGGGCCGGCAGAGCGGGCACGCTGGGCTTTGTGCTCGGAACTCGGCCCAGAGGGGGAGGGGAGTGGAGGGGAGGGGGCTGGGCTCCAAACTCCGCAACCCCCCCCCGCCCCCGCCCAGCACTCAGACTCCATGTTGGCCGCCCCTCTGCCCCGGGACCCTGCGCCGCCCCCAGGGGAGGGTCGGTTGTCCGTCGGCAGACCCAAGGTCCCGACGCGCACAAACTTTCTCCGCGTAGCCAGCCCCACACGCCCCGCTGCCTTGGCCCGCCCGGGAGTGACAGATGCCTCGGAGACAGACTTTCCTTTGTTCCAAAGGAAAGGGGAACTCGCTGCGGGCTCCCCAGCCCTCCCCCGTCGGGGCCCCACTCGCGGCCCCCACCCCAGCTGTCACTCGACGGCCCCCAGTCCCGCTCGGCCGCTGGAGGGGGGGAGGCCCAGTCGGCGGTTAGCAACGTGCACTTTTCAAACCAAACGAACCCGCCCCCCGCGCGCCCCACTGCGGGACACCAGCGGCGTTCTCCTAGGGCGGGATCTCGGGGAGCCAAGGCCCCCCCAAAAGAAGCCGGAGTGAGCCCCCACCTCCTACGCCATCGCTCAGCGGTCGGGACCCACACACACCCCCGGGCTCACACACCCACCGCCGCACGCGCCAGGACGACGCCCCCTCCCCCGCCCAGCCGTTCCAAAAAACTTTCCAAGTTGTCCGCGCGCCGCCACCCCCCACCTGGGTCGGCCGGCGTCCCGCACTCACCTTCCCCGCCGGCTTTCCGGCCCACGCAGCCGCGGGCAGGGTGCTGGGTGGGGGATGCGGGGCGGGGGGCCCGGGAGAGTGCGCTGCGAACCTGCCCGGCCTGACACCCGCCTGACAGCTCCCGGCTGGAAAGCACCTCGCGGCCTGACGTCAGATCCCTCGTCTCCTCTCGCGCCCGCCGCCCTCCCCCACCGCCCGAGGCAGAAACAAACTTTGTAGAGCGGCCAGCTACGCCCACCCCGGAGGGCGGGCCCGCGGCGCCGAGGAGTGGAGGGGTGGGGGGCTTTGCCCCGCCCACACGCCGGAGGGGGCGGGCCGGCACCTCCTTCCTGTGCCCACCCCCCTCAGGAATGCGAGGGCCGGGGGGCGGGGGCGGGGGCGGGGCACGGGGACCTTCACTCGGGGTGTTTGCTCGCTCGGGGGCAGGAAGTGGCCCGCTCCTCTTTTCCGAGAGCGTTTCCGGAGCGCCTACTGTGTGCGCCTCGCTGGGGGTAGGGCGTTCGGTGCCCAAACGGTGCCCGTCCCGGGACTTGTGTGAGTTGGGTCTCTCCTCTGGGTCCCTGGCCCGTGTGGGGATGAGAAAACTGAGGCATCATGGGTCCGGAGACAGCCCCAGCTGGTGAGAGCCCTGGCTTGGAGTGCGATTCCTGTTTTGTCAGCCCATAGGGGCGCGGCGAAAACCCCGTCGGATGAGCCCCAAGCCTAGGGTCGACGCCGAGGGGCCAGGGGTGAGGACAGGCTGAGCCCTAGGAGCGTGGCCCAGGCAGCCGGGCAGCACGCCGGTCGCACTTTGGTGTAGACGGTCTGTGCAGTGCTCAGTTATCTTGTGGGTGCTGGCTGACTTAGCACCGTCGCTAGGGTCCATTGACCCAGGTGGGTCTGATGGTAGAGCCTCAGCCTTTCCCATGGTAGCTAGTGCTAGATGGAGACAGGGTCAGTCTAGGCGTTTCCAGTGTCCAGGCTGCTGTCTTTTTTTCTTAAAAGGTTTTTCTTGCCCTCCAGCGTCCCACACCTCCTGTCTCTTAGTCTGTGCATCATAGTTTGAAGTGCTTGCTGACCCAGTGCTTGGTGGTCTTAACTCCAGGGTGGAGGGGCCTTTCTGGGCCTTCCCAAGACCCTCGAAACCAGTTTTGGGCCTTTTTTCCTTAATGCTTCCTTTTACTGTTGTTGAGATGGGGTCTTGCAGCGCTGCCCAGACTTGTCTCAAACCTGTGGGCTTAAGCGCTGGCAGTTGCCTCAGCTTCATTAATGGAGATGGCACTTGTCATTGCCACATCTGGCTCAGCTTTGTTTTCACTGCACTTTAGTTGCAGAAACTCTGGAAACAAAAGTTAGTTTTCCAGCCGGGATGCTGATTAACTCTCAAAGTGCACCCAGGTTTTATAGCAGCCAGACTTCCCTGCAAATGTTTTAAACCAAGATGGCGGTGCTGTTCTCCATGGGAAATGTCATTGGCTTGCCCAGTGTGCTCTCCATTGCTCAGCTGGCGAAACCGAGACCCAGAGAGGTGGTCATAAGCAATTTCTTGACCAAGTGGTACTTCGTCCACAGCCCTGTGGAAGAACAAAGGAGACGGGAAGTCTTAGGTAAGAAAGGTAAAGCCCACTGGGGTTGAGGGAGCCACTGATGGCCAGATCCAAGCCCACAGAACTCTCCCTAGATTCTACTAGAGGTAGCCTACTAATGCTGCTGTTCCCAAGTCCGCTCAGTTGGGAGATGGAGGGAGTGACCGGTTCTTGCCCTTCGCCTGTAACAGACCCAAGTGAAAGCTGGCTCTGATAGCAGGTCTGGAGCCCCTACCTAACCTTCCTAGAGGGACACAGTGGGGGTGAAGAAGGCTGGTCTTGTCTCAGGATTTCATATAAAACAAATTCGCTAGCCTAAATATACCAAGAATTTGACAGTTACCAGGTCAAGTTTCTCTGTAAATATCATGGAGTTTAAGATACCTGCATTCTTTATACCAGACATTCCATTTCTGGTTTGATATTTTGAAAAGTAGCAACACAACAAAGATAAAGCTTGTACAGATTGTTCTTCACAGCCTTGTTCGTTCTGGAAAATTGCAAACATCTAGGTGTCCCTCTATGGGCTGCATGGTTCCAGCAACATCAGAACGTTGTAATGGGGTAAGTCTGTGAACTAAGCTAGGGGGTCTGGCTGCTGTGGATGTATTGATAGCTACAGTGTTCTACCTAGAAAGCGCTTTGGACACACTTGTTAAGAACAGGAAAACTTTTTCCAGCTGTTAAGTGTTTATTTTGATTTGGTTTGGTTTGCTTTGGTGTGGTTTGGTTTGTGACACAGTCACTGTGTTACCCAGGCTGATCTCAAACTCCTGAGCTTGAGTGATATTCCTGCTTCAGATTCCCAAGCAGCAGGGACTGCACACATGAATGACCGTGCCTGATGATAAGGGGTTTTTTTTTTGTTGTTTTGTCTTTTTGAGACAGGGTCTCCCTGTAGCTCCAACTGGTCTGATACTTTCTATGTAGACCAGGCTGGCCTTGATCTCACAGACATCTACTGGCTTCTGCCTCCCCAGTGCTGGGATTAGAGGCATGTGCCACCACCCCTGACTTTAATAATTATTTTTTTCTACTCAACTTTTTTCCTGAGATGGAGCTTTGCTGTTTTGTGATGTTATCCAGTCTGGTCTGGAATTCTTGGGTTTAAGTGTTATTCTACTTCAGCCTCATGAGTGCTGGGGCTACATGTGTGTACTACCACCCCTGGCTCTCATCTAATTTATATACATGCACACTTGTTTTTTTGTTTTTCTTAATATTTTATTTATTATATTTATTTTATGTGTATGAGTGTATTGCCTGCATGTATGTGAGTGCACCTGTGTTGTGCAATGCCGCGGCGGTCAGAAGGGGGCTTTGGATTCCCCTGGAACCGGAGTTAAGGACGGTTTGTAGCCACCGTGTGGGTGCTGGGAGTCGAACCCGGGTCCTCTGCAAGAGCAGTCAGCGCACTTAACCACTGAGCCATCTCTCCAGCCCCACACATGCACACTTGTATAGCATGGGTGACACCCCGAGTTTGATTCCCAGCACTATGTATGCATGTATACACACACACACACACACACACACACACACACTATTGTGGTAAAAAACTCCTCTTTTCTCCACATATTAAGAAGCTGCATCTAGGACTGGGGCTGTAGCTCAGTGGGAGATTTCTTACCTAGCATGCATAAAGCCCTGGGTTCGATACCTAGCACCACCAAAAACCAGCAACAAAAAGGAAACCATTCACATGAGGTTTTCCTGACAATTTGGTATGGTGACGCATGCCTGTAATTCCAGCACTCCAGAGTGAGTTCAAGGACAGTCTTAGCAATAATGAGTTCTACCAACCTGGACTACGTAAGGCCCTGTCTCAAAACAAAACAAACAGAAAAAGAGAGAAACAGCATCCTGGAAAGAAGAAATTTGCCTGATAATTAGCTTGGGGTCCTGATCTCTGGGGAATGATCCAGAGTGAGGCAGGAGAGGTGGAAGTGGTTGTTGGATCATCTTAGTCCATCCCCTGCTCCATGCTGGAGAAGTGCAGATTAGGTAGAGCTCTTGCGTAGGGGAGTCTCTGTCCATCCTGCCAGTGTCTAGTGTACTTGAAGGCCACATAGGTGCAAGTGAATGTCACAGGACTCCACTTTCATTACAAAAAAAGGAGGGAGGGAGAAAAAGAAAAAGAAAGAACGAATGAACTAGCTACTGTCCTTTTTATGGATGTAGGGAAAGGACCAGTAGAAACTAAGAGTCAGGACAGGCCTCACAAAGGATGTAGGGTTCTATGGGGCAGAAGGGACTGTCTACCAAAGGTCAGGATAAGTGAATGATTCAGGAAACAGCTAAGTCTGTAAGTCAGACACTATAGCTGGCCTTGAAAGCCAAGGGAAGAATCTGGATTTTGCAGTGTGGGCAGCAGGGTCCTGAGCTACTTCTGGGGACAGGGGCCCAGGAAACTTAGGAAAAGACTAGAGGTGGGGTGGTCACTGGGGCCACAGTGAGATATCAACAGCTTCCTAAAGGTCTCCTGCTATCTTGTTGGTCAACCACCAGTGGCTTAGCTTTCACCTAGTTATTGGACATTTACTCATTTAAATAATTTCTCCTGCCCCTTCTACCTCATTGCTGGGGATGGAGCCCAGAACCTTCTACATGCTAGGTAAACCCTGTCCCATTGAGCCATACCCAAGCACCTATTTAATTTTAAAAACCATTTTTTTCCTTTATTTATTTTGTATGTGGGCACATATGTGCCACATATACTACAGGTGTCAGAGGATAACCCGCAGGAATTGGTTCTCCCTCTACTGTGTGGGTGCTGGGGATTGAACTCAAGTTGTCAGGCTCAGCCACAAGACCCCTTACTACTGAGCCATCTTGCTGGGCCCCCATTTAATTTTTAGTGACTACCTTGTCAAGCTGTGTGCTTGAGGCTCGGGAGCCCATTGGTTGGCCTATCCCAAGAGCCTGGGCCGTAGTGCCTTGTGGTGGCAGCATGTAGTGCTGGGACTTGGGGTAGCAGCAAGTGATTTAAGTAAATTTGCCAAACCCTTTGAATGTCAGTGTTCTCTCATCTGTGGAAACATCAGGCTTCAGTGAGTCAAAGAAATTAGCAGCTAGGGGGCTGGAGAGATGGCTCATTGGTTAAGAGCACTGACTGCTCTTGCAGAGGACCCAGGTTCGATTCCCAGCACCCACATGGTGGCTCCAAACCGTCCTTAACTCTGGTTCCAGGGGAATCCAAAACCCTCTTCTGACCTCCATGGCATTGCACAACATACTCATACACATAAAATAAAAATAATAAATAAAATATTTAAAATAAAAAAAGAAATTAGCAGCTATGAAAGGCTTCTGTGAGTAGCGTCTGCTTATAGGAGAGTAGGTGTCTCAGCTCTGCACCCGCTGTTGCGTGTCATTCTATAAGACCAGATTTTTTTCTTCATCCAATAAATAAGCTTACACATAATAAACCTAGAGGTCTCTTCTCTGGCACTCTGTCATCTAAGGCTTAAATGTTTTTGAAAGGTTATATGTGTGTATATATATACATGTACATGTGTGCACACATGTATGTGTGCCCATTTGTCCACAATGTAGGCAACATTTGGGGTTTATTTAATTTGCTGGTTTAGGTGATAAGGAATATTACTAAAAGTTGTGTTTCCCAATGACTTTCTTAAAGTCAGCTCCAGCCTTGGCCTAGCTGTACTAGTGAGAGGA